CCAACTTAAAAGTTTATATCAAAATATCTGGTGACCTTTTTAAAAGATAATTGTGAAGGATGGTATGACACGTTTTCGCTTTCAACATTTTTACTGCAGATGACCTACATTTTACTAACATAAAATAAAGCAGTTATGGAGAATACAATCATTGTAATATATACATGTATATTAAAGTCATGTGTGTTTAACAGAGTCAGTACAGTGCTCGGTAGTTTCCTTTTCTAATTTACATATATGGACTATAAGAATTTCCATATAAATGCCCGTTCAAAACTGCATAAAATGTAGACTCGGTTTATTGTGACTGTTCTTGGACAACAGAGATTTGTGCATGCAGAAGTCGTCCATTTTCCCATCTAATTAATTAATTGAACTGAATCGACTTTAGAAGTGGTCAACACAAAAACATTACATTTGTCATGTTTAAATATTTCCATACATCCACTTATGTGGTCATGAAACATTCAATGTTCAATGTAAGTGGCATTGCATGAATTAAGATGCGCGTAGTAGTGTTACCAAGAATTTAAACATATAATGTGATTAAAAAACAGGCTATGGAAAATGAATAACAGACTGCTTGAAAAGCAGGAAACTGATAATGAGTCTGACTAGGTTTCAAAACAACTACAGCACTTTGTCTTGTGAAATTATTTCTAAATCTTCCCTCATATTTAATTCAAAAGGCTATTCTTTATTTCTAAAATATACAATACATTGTTTCTTTAGCTCGTATATATAGATTTGAAATTCTATCCTTTTTATAGAAACACAGGCTATAATCCAAGTTTGATAGTATTCTTTGCCTCAGTAACATTAAATGATCATTAAAATACAACAACAACAAAAGAAACAAAACAAAGAATACAACATTTTCTCCGATGCATAACAATGCGATGCGACACATGATGATTATGAAAGAAAAAATATAGCTTAGTTCTTACAACATACATTTAAATCAAGTGTCACATCACCACATCTCGTGCCGTGTTGTATTTAAAGCACATGTTAGAAGTCAGGCAACTAATTTCAGTAAAATTCGAGTTAGTTTATAGCACTAAAACGGACTTTGTTTTGATTATGTAGTTGTTTATACCGTAGAATATAAAAATTATCATAAATACCTATACATTCTGTGACTGTTCCTGTTAAGAAATATACGAATTTTGTTAAAAAGGTGCTCGGAAACGACAAAGTTGAAATATATTTTTTATATATTCCCCTTTTTTGAGAAATTGCCTATCCCAACACGTAGTTTCCGACATTTTTTGGGCTTTTAACTATCATAACACGGGAGGCAACTCATAAATCTTTACATATATAGTGAATATGACATTACTTCCCTGTGAGTCAACACATGGTGAGTTAGGTCTAAAAATATATTTTAAATGTTTCTAAAAATGAAACGATCTGAAAGAATCCGAAATATAACATCTCTGACTGAATACGTGACACAGCGCTGATGTGACGATACAATAGCGTAAAACGAAATATCTTAAAAACACCCAAAACGGCCAAATAGAAAATGGTGAAAACCCTACATGTTAAGATTTCTCGAAAATGTCAAATTTAAACTTGAAATTAAACACTTTATATACCACACACGCAATATTGCCAAAATGAAGAAAGACCATTTTAATCTCACTATTCCTTTCATTTATCATATAGGTAAACATTCACAGTAAAAATATAGAAATGTCATTCAAAATCAATGTTAGCACAACCGAATTATTTATGTCCCTTCATTATATAATTTATTAATTTTCTTGCACTCATTTTGGTAAAACAATATAAGCTGTTTTCTTCAATTAACTCCACGCCTGTCTGACATGTTTGATATATGGCCATAATCTTTAGTAATACGTGTATTGACTATATTATAATTATAATACAGAAATAGCTTCTGAGAAAGAAACACTAATTCACAAAAAGTGATTAATAAAAAAAAACACACACACAGAATGTTTCCTCATCGAATACAGACTTGAATCATTGTCATGCAACAATCTATCCAGAAGTTACAAAAGACCGGCAGGGACATTTCAACTCAATGAATTCCCTATTTCACACCGTATTACCGGCGGCAGTGATGGCAGATCACTGCAGTGATGGCAGATAGCTGAAATTAACCGCTCGGTACAGGTAGGTTATAAATTTCGTTGGTATTATCATGTTACACAAATACGGCCCATTTAATTGCTATGAAACTATTGTCCATTGACTGGAGATACTGTTAAGTAATTTTGGACTTTTTGGATTTTTTCCTGTTTTCAGACTATTTTGAGCAGGATAAAAGTGACAGCTTTGGAAAAATCCGTGAAATATCCGTTTTTTTGTTCAAAATATCTTAAGTTTTAACTAAATGGCAGGATTTCGTGTTATTAATATAGACGTTCATCCATTGAGGTCACGCAAGCCAAATATCTATCCCGTGAGTCTTTTCTTGAAAGTTTTACAGACGTTCAATCTGGTCCGGTTGAAGAAAAAATGCTGCCGTTGTAGGCAGATACTTATTTTAAATGCTGCCGTCGATGGCAGAAATACCATGAAAGTGGCTAACATTCTTACAGAAAATCAAGGTCAATCTTTTATCAATTCCTCTATTCTTTGCGCCCTTTTAGTCGGAATTGAGACGTTAAACTATCATTTCTAATATTTTCTCAAGAAAGAAAAGTAATTAATGCGGTATGTGCATCGAAAAAAGATTTTTAGCAACACGCAGATACAAAACAAAATGTGATGATTCAGTACGACCAAATTGCACTATAGATAGAGCAATTAAGATGAAGAAATTCAGTTTTCTATATTCATGCATGTGTGCTTGATCTGTTGTGTCTGCTTCATAAATTCGCGATTTCAACTTCATGAATTCACGATTCACGATTTCACCTTCAAGAAATCACATTTGAATGAAGTTGAAATCGTGAATTTATGAAGCTGAAATCGTAAATTCGTGAATTCCATATGTCAAAAAGGTGAATACACAAAGTTAGACTGTGAATTCCCGAATATGAAATCGGGAATTCATGAAGTTGAAATGTCCCAAACGGTCCTTTGTAAGAAGTAATAACATTTTTTAAAAACTGAGGGAGCACAAAGACTAATACTTATGTCACGACAAGCACTATTAGATCAAAAGATAAAGTTTTTGATGTGTGTGGATAGTAACGACTTGAAAAAGACAAAATACAATAGATGTACAAATGTATAAAATTAATGAATCTGAATCATAAGTAAATCATTTGCCTACATCTTCAAGCATTTATGGAAAAAATTATTTCACGAATGATAGTGCTGATATAAGTTTATATTATGTTGCTATTAGTTGATACCTGATGTTGAACAAGAGTTACTACACTTTTCTAAAGACGTTTGTAATGTATGGCTAGTTGTAATATATAAGAGTTTTATTGATTGATTAATTCGTCATAAATTTAGCACATTGCCAGCAGTCATTACCATACTTTCTTCTAATTTTGCCCCTCAAAAAAATAATGAATAATAATAAATCTTATTATAATATTTATAATATCTCTTTCTTTAATAAGGTCACGTCAATAGTTTTCAACCAAGATCCAATAAACATTAGTCGCCTGAATGTAAGCCGGCAGGTAAAGTCTTATATTATTAAACATAAACAGTGTTAATCCTGTGACAACTCCATAGATATACCGAACAGCTGATCAACCTTTACAACTTCCAAAGACCCGCACTGTAATGATCAAAGGAACGTTCTTAATTATTATAATAATATTCTTCTCTGGAAATCTCCCATCCATTAATTGGATGCAATGGCTACTGAGCGACCATAGGAAATACGCTCGTTGGTAAATTTTATTAATAACAAGAGCATTATATTTCATGATATTGTAATGCAATAACAGACACATATTAAATAATGGCATACATAGAAATGTTTACACAGATATATAAGTAAAACAGTTAACATTTTATCTTCTTGACAACTATTTTCGAAAGAACTAATGACCATTCTCTTAAGTAAGTGACATCTTTTGTTTTTGGTTATTAGTTTCATTAACCAGAAAAAGCTTGATGTTAGCACTTTAATGATATACCGCTGCCTGGTTATTAAATTGGGCATAAAACGCTGCATAGTATCTTTTATTTCTTTGAAAAAAAGGAAGAAGTAAATGATGTGTATGATCTCTATGTTCAAGTCTAAATACACCAATCGATTTGTAGTCAATAATGTCTCGGGTCACCAGTGCTGAATAAATAATTGCACTCTTTCTTTTAGTAATGGTAAATAAACATTACACCATACATATACCATTTAGAAAGTTTGCATCATTTAAACTGTAATAATGTACTGTATGATCAATAACTTCAAAGTGATCTCTAAAAACTTTTATGAAAATGAAATGATAATATAATTAAAGAGAAAAATACCGGACACCAAGTATTATTACTTTTATGTAATCAATAGCATACCATTTATGTATCACTAACGAGATTTTAAAATAAACATTTTTTGACAGTAAAAGGTCGAAAATGTCTGAAAGATCTATTTGATATGATTATGTTTTCTTTTAATATGTCTCATACACTGTCATTGTATTGTATTAACATGAATACCCTGTCATTTCTTTATTTGTATAAAGGTTACTACATAAATAAATTTACCTACAATTGAATGGAAGAAGGTAAATGTAATTTAAATTATATTGAAGAGGGCAGTGCTTATGTACTACGTATCAGAAAGCATTTACACTATTCCGTTGTTCAGTTTAAACTTTGTCACAATAAAAAAGGAAAGTCTTATTTGGCCGCTGCAAGACCTGCGCTGATAGCCAAACACAGTATCGTCGTAACTATTGTAAAGATGCTGAAGAAAACAAGGCAGAATGCATCAAGTCCGTCTATCACTTTTTTCCAGGGGATACCTCTTAAATTTCTCTTTTTCCTATTATTTCTCTTAGCGTCTCCTTTTCCCTTTTGGGCAAGCATCCACTTTTGGCCATTTTTTTCCGAATGTTTTAGTTTCCCCCTAAGTTTGACAATGAAAAAAGCCATTTAGGAATTTTAATTTCATCTTCATCAAAAGTTAAAGCCCTTTCCTCGAATACAGCAATAATTGTTACTACTGTACTCTGTGCCGTCATCAATATTACATAAATCGAGAAAACTGCCACAGATAAGGAATTGTTTGGCATTGTTGCCTCAACAATGGTTAGGAAGATAGCGAATGCAAGGAATACCGTAACAGAGTAGCTACTTTTGTCGGCGGGTAATACAAATACAAACAATTTCAAAACAGATAAAAGCAAAATAGGAAGTACCACGCTCAACATAGCGTACAAAGATTTTCTTTTCATTTTGATTGTAAATGATAAGGCGATGTCTTCGCCGATCTGTTCTTCGGCAACTGAATTATCAAGAATATCCCAAGACGGGCTTTCTTCGTAATTACTGAAGTCTACTCCACCACCATCTTTTAAGTAGACCTAAAATCAAAACTAAATTTTGTTAAAACTGAATAAAAATGAAGTTGCTATAGTGTAGACAAGACAAAATATGTTAAATTGTAAAGAGGAATATTTTTACACACAAAGTACATGTAATGACAAGGATATGAATTGGTTCGCATCGTATTTGCAGATATTATTTTCATTATTGTAATATATATTATAAATTAAGTTACTTTTCTATCTAATTAAATTGACACTTTTGACATTTGGATTAAACCTCTGAATGTTTAGTTTATTAAATAAACAATAGTATACAGCATTTCAAAAATCCTCGTTTTCAAGATGATCTATTTTGGCTATTTTATACCTCATCTGGTCCATAACTCCAAGCTACAAACTTCAAGTGACATATCTGGACATCAAATGGGAAATATGTTATATCCACAGAGCAGGTGGATGTGAAAATCTGTTGAAAGACAACAATTCGATCATGTGATTATATAAATATGTAGCAATATAAAAGAGCAAGACCAATCAAAAACAGTAATAGCGATGTTGAATGTTAATGGAACGCAGCCCCAATAACATCGATCACCATAAAACACAAAATATTGCATTGTCTTAACATATTTAACAGGAGATGTCGCAATGCTTTACCATTGCTTTGCAATGTTCCTTTTTGATGTAACTATATTGACGCTCATAATAAAGTTATTAATATTGACGCTCATTATAAAGTTATTATTATTCTTCCTTCTTTTTGAGATGGAAGAATTATGTTTGTTGAACCTCACTGAGACGTGACGATATATAACTTCACACAGACTTCCAAAGAATTCGTAATGTATGGGCGCAGACATCTTGATTTAAGGAGTTTTAATGTAAAAAATCGAGTTAAGTAACAAAATGGCAGATATGTTATTCCTCATGTATACATTTTATCTCAATATAAATGTCATTCTTGATTGTTTTAATGATTTCTTCGTTTTCTGTAATTACACAGTATTCAATCGGGCAAGTCCTTATGTTTTATTGCATCATAAAAAACATGGTATAGTCTAGTCTGATTCCCTTGGAAAGCAGTGTAGGAACTCCAGACCACGTATAGTATTTTTAAGGTTAAATTGTTCGGGTAATTATAGACCGTTTCAAAGTTAAAGCAAACAACGTACTATTGTTATATAATTGAACGAAGAAAGCAGAGTTAGTAAACGATTGTTAAAAAGCTTTTAGTGCAATTTCACACTGGATGATATTAGAAATAAATGTTTATTGACATCAGCAACATTTACGCCTACTACGATTTTGTTTCTAAGAACTTTACTAAGCCATTTTCAACAAATAATTTTAAAGATAAATCTATTCCCGGGTTCTGTACTTGTAGTCCTGTTTATGACCATTTTTATAAACATAATGTTGTCCAAGAAGGAATTTTTTTTAGGTTAAACTTGTTCTTAGATATAAGATTCTTAATTCATTTTGATGTAATTTTTAATTAAGTCATATATGCGATAAACTTAAAATTCGAGTGTCAGTATTTTAGATACTAGTAATCCTACTAGAAGGATTTCTTTTGCGATAGAGAATTAGTAGATCGTTAAGAACGGTGTAACGCTGAACCTTTGAATATATTTAACAAATAGGTCACCTCAAATGGATACCACTCGATAGTTCCGTCATTACTGACTTCAACATTTAAAGATGGAATTCCAAGTGTTGTGTAGTCTTTGTTCGAATTCTTCAGGGCGATATCAGGCTTCCATATGTTATCCTGAGACACAAATATTTCATATGATGTTGTCAAATTATGTACGTTAAAGCCGAACATTCAATCTGTTACTTGTTGCAAGAAGTTTTCAAAGAAAAAATTATAAAGAGACGCTTTGATTGAACAATATATTTTCTTGCGCGTTCGATTACTGAGAAATAAATACAGATATATTTAATAGCCTATTAAAATACATTCAATGTTAAATTGTGATTACCAGAAAACGTATGCTTAAAACAATATGTCGGACAAATATACCGGTAGCGGCCGCGTAAAATTACAACTCAAATGCTAAAATAAAACATATCATCAATTTACTTATCTAATAAATTACGTATCTAATAAATTATGTTGGTTATTTACAGAAGTTAGTCGTCTTGGGACCTTTACAGAATGCATTTCTACATACATTTACGCTGCTAAGCCACTGTTTACAAATTATAACTGTCATTATGTAAAGACATGATTTAAAGACATATTATTACACCAATATCAATGTCATCGGAAAACTCATACACGATTGCGAGGCTAACATTATGCTTGTGAGATAATGTCAGTGTGACGAACATGTAAGGTTGAAACATGAATGTAATAAATTTTATTATCAGTGGGGAAATGGTGATGCATACCTGTATTGATATTGAATGGTGTCTTATAGCACAGCTTGACCGTTTGTCGATCAGCCAGGTATTATACCAAGTACAATTCTTTTTTCGTTTACAAACGAAGTAACAACTTTTACAAAGAGAAAGTACGATAACACAAAGATGACCTTTATTGAAAGTATCATTTCTACTAAAACTTTTACAATTACCTCTGGTAACTAGTGAAACTTATATACCTGGGGAAAGAATGTCGATGCAAGATTACCATAGGTTGCGGGAGTCCATTGTAACTCACTGTCTGTCCATAACACTTTCATGTAGGCGGTTGTTGTCAAAACCCCAGCAACATCGTCCAAGCTGTTCAAAGCTAATAGTGCTAAAGATACGTTAACACCTGTAATTGCAACGTGAAAATCGTAAATAGCATGAAGAAATCTATAGTAATACGGTCTTAACGTAAGTGTTTTGAACAATTGTATTTATAAAGTACGTAAACGGTATGAAGAACGCTGTAATAATACGACCCTTTATGTGAGTTTTATAGTTACGAAAGTGTTATTGAAGAACGATTTAATAATACAGTCTTCCACGTGAATGTTACTCACAATTGTATTTATAAAATAAGCTACGAAACGGTATGAAGAACGCTAAATTAATACTGTTGTCTATGTGACTGTTACGTGCAGTTGTAAATATCAAGTTAGCTACGTAATGGTATGCTAACACGACCCGCATTGTTTCCTATTGAACATAGGAGGACCGAAAGAGTTGTAAGTAGTAGATATAAGCCGAAAACTGTCCAATATGTAAAATATTGAATTTCATGAGGCGCGTAGCGCCGAAGGGAATTCAATATTTTACTTATTGGTCAGTTTGAGGCTTATATCTTACTTAAATTACTACTTTTACTATCAAATATCATGTTATTTATCGAAAAATTAGAAATAATGTATTTTTGAGCTAGAAATGTACAATATTAATGTTTTAACAATTATCTTTTTTTCATTTGCAAAACCCTATAGGTAGCCTCTTGAATAACAAAATGTCCGTAGCATGAAATTTTCGTGTTTTGAAATATGACCAATTATGTATACACAATGATATACACAAAATATACCAGTTACACAAAATGTTGGAATTACACACATACAGTATACATGAATTTACATTTGGTATTTTTACAAGGAATAATAAAAATTAAATGCTTTCAAATTTGTGTTGAATCTCGGATATTTTAAATGATTGACTGAAACAATCTATGACTTTTAAGAAGGATTTTTACTGACCATTTAGTGTTAAAATGATATTTTTACTTTACTACAAATATCACGGATGTAAAATTTTGGATATTAATGCAACAAAATGATATTTTCTTCTTTTTGAATTGATATTTGTCATACCACAGGAGTCTGGAATCGTTTCTATATATAAGCAGTCAAACATAACCTCTTATGTTTTAAAAGTGTTAAATAGATGAATTTATTTCCTCTATTGTATTTAAAAGCTGACCATTACCCTTATTTAAAAAATTGACCTAATTGTAACATATCGTACATACAATAAAGCAAATCATTTTTGATTGTCAATTTAACATATACATGTATTTAAAACAGAAAAAAAACAACGGACAATAGACAAGAAATTAATCCCATAAAAATCATATCCTTACTGACGCTCCGCTATCTTTCACTTGGAAAGCGTAAACAGTGATATGATGTTAAGATATAGAATCGAAAATCAGTAGGTTTGGAATAATAATTTGTTGAATGAGCCAGAGAACAAGGCTAGTATTGTTCTTTTTCTAAAATTATGTAATTGCGTAATGGGCGAAGGAAAGACATTGTATCTTTCCTCGTGTTAACTTCTGAGATAAGAGGCTACATATTTTACTTAATCGTTTTATTTTTTGTTGTTGTTTTTTTTTTCTCGTTTTTTTTCTTCTTTTTGTTTTCTTTTTTTATTTGGAGAATTTTACACAAAATCCTGTGGTCATACAAGCTTCTTTCAAGAGACGGCACGCTGTCTAATATTAATGTGTTGCACGATTTATATTGGACTTACACATTAATATTGGACACCTACCTGTACTGTATTAAAAAAACAGTACGGTCAGAACAAAGGAATGACGACATAGTAGTAATTTAAGTATACAATAAAAACACCGTTGACGATCTACTTTTAGACATGGTGCGTTTTATAAAAGACTATATCCCGAGAATTTCTTTGACAAAATGTTCTTTCTGAAATGTCAATGATAGAGGTAGGCAATTAAGATTTAATATAACAAAAACCCATCTTATCTAAAGGACTTGTTTAAGGATGTAAAGGTAGAGAGTCTAATTTGAAATCTTGTAAGTTTAATTTTGTTTTTCCACAAAACGATTCTTATGTTACACACCAAGTTTCTACAATGCCACAAAAGACTGAAATTCTATACCATACCAGACAGCATTAAGTCAATCGAAAATATCCAAACATTTAAAACGAAACTTTTTTTTAAATAATGAAAATGACAAAGAATTTAATCATATGTTTATATATTACTAATTGTTTTGAAACTTATGTGTTGTACATGTTGATTTTGTATTTGATAATGAATTAGTTTTGGATGCGGAAAATACATTTTTTCGCAACATATCGATAAATGTGTCTTGACTGTAGTACAATGTTGGCAAAATTATTTCATTTAATAGAACTTTACAATGATTTAATACGAGGGGAAGTCAGTAAATATCCGGACTTTTGATACGTTCTCGAAAACCATTCAACATTTTAAAAAAAATCTTTCTACTTTTTTTCAAAATATTCTCCACCTACGTCTACGCACTTTTGCCATCTTCGTGGGAGCTTTTGTATTCCCGCTGTGAACCATGACGTAGACCTATGTTTTAGGTACTGTGTAACAGCAGATATCAAAGCCGCCCTGGTCTTATATTTCTTTCCAGCAAGCAATTTTTTCAGTTCTGGAAACAAATAAAAGTCACAGGGGGCGAGGTCTGGGCTATAAGGAGGGTGAGACAACAATTGCCATTTGTAAGAGTTGATAACCTCCACTGTAGTTGCGGCGGTATGGGAGCGGGTGTGTGCCGATGCCTTACCGATGCTTAACTTGTTGGCTACCTCCTCCAAAGTTACTCGACGATTTTTGTTGACAAAAGCTTTAACATTTGCTACCATTGTTGGGGTCACCGCCTCAGCTGGCCGCCCAGTCCTAGGCCTGTCACAAACACTTGTTCTGCCTTCACGAAACTGAGAAACCCAGTTGTAGAAGGTTGAACGTGATACACATTTATCAGAAAATCTTTTTTTAAGCCTCTGAAAGATGTGGCAGGGCTTTTCACCTTCTGCAACCAGAAACTTTATTACAGAGCGTTGTTCCTCTAACAAAGAGTCCATGATAGACGAAACACCTATCATATATCAGAGGGCAAAATACTGTGTATACACAACTATCATTGAAAATAAACTGACCACGTTATTGGCGAATGAATGTAGTTTTCACCAATATATAATGTGTATATATAGCTGCACGTGGAAAGAGAGGAGCATGAAAAGTCCGGATATTTTCTGACCGTCCCTCGTATTTTACAATTATTGTCTTAATATACAATTTATTGTATAAATCATTAATTGGACTCCATTGGAAATAAGCTATTAGCTTAATGAGCTATCCTAGAGTAACATAAAACATACTTCTATTTTTTTACTTATTGCAGTTTTGAGTGTTTTATATGCATGTTGATATATGTGACAATTTTGTATGTGTTTATTTTCCTGAATATATCGAAACGAACAGCTCATAATGTAAGTATAAGAACAATAAAGTTAGCAAAATAAATAACAATTTTGGCATCTTACATTCATAAACTTGCGCACTTCAATTTATTTTAACGATTTGGGGTCATTTTTTCACAATAAAAATGATAATTCTGGAGTGAAAAAAAAGAGAGAGAGAAAGCACATAGTCATGTTGTTGGTCAGCCATCAAGTGGTATACAAATCTCAAAAGAATGTTACAAATCTCTTTATATCACCAATATGATAAGATAAATGATACTATAAACGGACAATTGTACTTACGTACGAAATCCGACTGATCCGCTATCGGCCGAACTGTTATATCATATCCATCTGTTGTCATAAGTTTTGTCCGTAAATCTTTGGCATTTTGAACGGTTTGTCCATATACACTAACATGTGTATGTAAAAATAAAACCACAAATGTTTTACCGAAATTCATATTTTCAAATTCAAATTCTTATTAACACATTTAAAATAACACATATTCTTAATGTCGGACACGATTAGTTTTGTTGTCATTACCTTTTTAACTTACGATTTTATTAAATCTTACTGCAAATAAATGCGATTAACAATAGCATTTATAATCTGTATATTAATCTGTATATAAAGCTGTGTTAATAACGATCACGTGTTACATTTGATTTTAACAGCACTGCAATAAGCGGATATAAAAGTGAATATCGAGCGTTAAATAGATAACTTGAGCCGTGCCATGACAAAACCAACATAATGGGTTTGCGACCAGCATGGATCCAGACCAGCCTGCGCATCCGCGCAGTCTGATCAGGATCCATGCTGTTCACTTACAAACCCTATTTCAAGTAGAGAAACTGATAGCGAACAGCATGGATCCTGATCAGACTGCGCGGATGCGCAGGCTGGTCTGGATCCATGCTGGTCGCAAACCCATTATGTTGGTTTTGTCATGACGGGGCTCACTTTGTATTTACATGTATATTGTTCCACTTAATTATCAAAATTGTAATTTTTAACATGTGTATGACTGCTAACGTGTCCGAAATCTAATAAAATATTGCAATGAAAAAATCTTAAGGAGATTATATAATTTTAAACTTTAAAATATGATATGAGAATTCAACGATCTAGTTTACGAGTTGTCTGAATTTGATTTATTGTCATTTCAGGTCATTTTAAGAACAGATAACTGACACAATAGTCTCACAGACCTTAGTTATACTACTTGTTTACCTTTTTTATCATATATATAAGAAAATTGGCATAGTAAGAAGAGTTTCTTCTTTAACATAAATATGTTCTGTTAATTTATTTGTTTATGATGGATAACCTATTTTATTATGATACTTATGAATAAAATATTGAGAAATGTTAATGAAATAAAATGCGTTTTTTTTTGTTTTTTGTTTTTTTTGTTTGTTTTTTTCATTTTCCGTATTTTCACTGTAACAATTTATTTTTCACTGCAGTGAATATATTTTCCGTATTTTTACTGGTGTCTTGCCGGACTACTAATTTCTGCCAGTAAACAAAATTTAAGGGAATCGTAATGTCAAAATTAAAAGAAAAAACAGAGAAAATTGTATATAATAAACAGAAAATTCAGTTGTTTTTTCTATAAATATATGATTTATTGTTATCTTGTGGAATAAAAAATATCATATTTCACTCGTGGCTACCGCCACTTATGAAATATTTATTTTATTTTCATAACACTCGATAAAGATAAATCCTGTATTTAAAGAAAAAAAAATGAATATTCACTTTATATAACGGTATATGAACGTAAATGATATTGTGGTGCATATCTGTATTGTTATTTATAGGTGTTATCTGATTCTGATTGGTTGGCTGATTGGTTTAACGGCGCACCAACACAGTTTAGTCGGTATGACACCCAATGCACACACTGAATTACAAGACCTCAGACCTCGATCCTCCCAAGTGCTGTCTATAAAAATTGCAGATTTTAAATGTTTGATGTTGTTAGGTATAAGCCTTTGACTGGACTCTTACTGTGTCGATGTGACGTAAAACCCAAAACAAACAAAAATTTGACTTGACTCTCATGTTACGACACCTACGAAACGAGTTAAAAGAAAGGGGGCTTTCTTCGGTTGAATGACTATAAATAAATTGATGGCTATGAATAAGAAGAAAATAACCTAATACTGGTATTTGGTAAAATGTATTTGTTGAGTATTCCATATTTTTATTGTTATTTAATTGAGGCCATGTGATTGAATAATTTATTCTCTCAGTCAATTAATAAATTGCTTCTGGCACAAACATGTACTATACGAGTATATTAACGGTTAATTGATAAAGAGATATTGAGCAGAAAAACCTCTCGACATACATTTACAACAACATACCTTTACAAGCATACCATTTAATAACGGTCAAGCAAAACCATTTAAACGTGTTATTTTTTCACGCTTTCATACAAATGCAAATTAAATATGTTATTTTACTCAATTAAATCAGCGGTCAGTTTATATTATCTAAGACATTAAATCAACTAGTAAGCCTGAAGTACCGCTTAACAGATCTTCATGCCGGTATGTAATGAACTGTTTATTTCAGTGTATTTATTGCTAAAGAAATTAATGATTTGCATTGAAAAATGTAATATTCAGTGATAAATATATGTTATAGCAAAGAAAAGATAACTTACCATCGTTCCGAGGCGGAATTATGACCTACTGTGAAGAAAATAGAATTATATTCAGTGCAAAAACATTGTTATTGTTATTGTGTTTGTGATTGTTGTTGTTGTTATCGATTGTGAAGAAAAAAAATGTTTTGATAAAACTTTTACAAATGCCTTATGTCTGAAGATTCATAAAATTAGATTAAGAGGTATAATGCTCCGTATTATCGTAGTTTGTTTGTTTCGATATAGTTAAGTCTCTGACATAAGACGAGGGAAAACAACCGCAATGTCTACATATCCCCGGTTCGATATTATATACTCTTCCAGCTACCTACAAACTAAAAATGAATGTTTTTATTCTTTTTGGATCTGCGTCATTTTTTGTTGATTTTCTTTGTTGTTTTGGTGTGTGTGTGTGCGTCCGTGCGCGCGTGTGTGTGTGCGCGCGCTTGTGTGTGTCCGCGCGCGTGCGTGTGTGCGTGCATGTGTGTGTGTTGCTGTTGTTTAGTTCTATATCTTTATGATTAAATACTGTATATCAAATATAGCCTTCATATACGAAGATGAGCAGAGGAAGTACGGTGATGTTTTTTAAATACATCGACGAAATACAGAAAAATTGATCTTTATTGCGTTCACTTTTAGTTTTACTAAAGTCGTGATGCATTAATTGAGGACTTTGATTATGTGGTGTACCATTTAAAGGATTAAAGACTTGTTTGAAGTTAGGACATTACGAATTATCTACGGCTGGAAAATCGTTTTCAATAAAATAAAGAAACGAAAGTACAAGGTCACTTCTCAACATGTTGATGATAATGTTGCATGTTTTGCATAACTGAACCTATTCATGGATATTAGTATTGTTATAAATTTACAATACTTAAGCACTATTAAGACTTAATATTTCTTTTGAACTTTACAGAGCAATCTTTTTTAACATGGGCGTATGTTTTGTCTTGAATTTTACATGTTTATTATTTCTTGATTATTTTTTTCAATAATTTTATTTATGTCCTTGGAATTCGTTAATTTTTTATTATTTTCATCACATACCTATTGCGATATGTTTGAGTATGAAATATCAAAGCGCTCATTTATATAAAGTATTTCCTATAAGTCATGTGGAAAAACACATTCTAAGGTCCAATTAGAACAACATGTTCACTGGATCATGTAAAACTTAACATAGAAGGTGCTCAGAATAAATAAATATTTTCTTCCAAACTTATTAGACTAAACCAATTTTAAATATTTGCAGCAAAATGGGATACAGATAACTGTCCCAGGAAAATGGACAGTAAAGCATACATCTGTATCACCATGGTTTGTATTAAAAAGAACACTTCATCATGATCAGCAACCTGGGCAAGCCATTTATTTATTTACCATTCTTTCGTCATTTGTACAAAATATTATTTGTAAAGAAAACTGAATACAGCATCTCTCAAAATATGTACAGTTTCTTTAATGTAAAGAATATATTTCAAAACAGTTTTTTGAAAGAAAAACTTCACAATCAATCGTAGGTTGATTTAAGTAATCATTTTTATAACTGGACTAAGCCTTGTTTACTGTCAGGAGTGGACTTTTTTCGTCATGAGAATTGTTGTCTGAATCCACCGATTGTTCAACGCACCCATTATGGCTTTTGTTAATATGCAGGTTGTTCTCTCTTGAGAAACTCCAGCAAGGAACAAAGTTTCTAATTTCTAAAATATTCTTGTATATTGATGTACCGATGACAAGAAAGAGGAACCCATCAACTGAAAATAAAAGAATAATTCAAACATGCATTATTACGAGTTAATTTCCATATTGATAGCATAAATTTAATTTAATTCAAAGCAGTGTATGCCTATAATCGGTATAATTAAAAAAAAATGAAAACTAAAATAGTCACAATTCCATTGCATAGCTATTATCATGCTATTATTATGGTACTTACCTTGTAATATTCCGTATGATTTATCAAATGGTTCACCAAAGTTCTGAAACAACAATAAAAAGAATTATTTGCTTTACAGAATATAAATGTAGAGTTTTATTAATGGAAACTTCTTTGTCACATAACACAACAGATGCATGTTCAACTTTGAATAAGCCTAGTCATGGACTCAAAAACTGCTGCACACTCCTTTATAAAGGCTTTAGCAGAACCCAATTCAGCTTTTATGAACAATCGATACTGTAAACTTTAAGGTCATAACGTCATTTTCCTAAAGGCTACAGGAACTTCTATATGCACATTTTCAGCATGAGTTTCCGAGTAAATTGAAAGATAACTGGACAGCTAAATAGTCAAACAATTGATGTTCTTTATATTAAAGATAAGTCAGTGCAACTTCAATGATGCAGCATTACTTAAGCATAACTTGCTTTATATTGAAAAAGTACGTGTCAATTCAGTTGAGCAGACAAGTCTATAGTAATTGTTTTAAGTTACCTGATCAAAACCATAGTAAATGGTCATACCCACTGCCCATACCATTATTGTCCTGCAAGCATCTATCAACGTGCTGTGAACAGCTGAGGTAACAAAAACAAAAAACAAAACAAAAATATTATAGCAAGGTGTCCCAGTCTTACATAGTTTGGTAATTGAAAACTTAAAGACGTGGTTTGAAAATATGATAAAATACTGCAATGTTATCAAATTGATTAAGTATTTCTTTATGTTTGAATCTTATTTTACCCAATGATAAAGTATTAATATGTCATGACTGTTTCACATACTGTGAAATATTATATAACTAAGTTACATACGCAGCCTTATATTATATGTAATAATGGTCTATGCTTATTATATAGATGCTATTCTTACCGGAAAGTGACCTGAACACAGCCTTTGCACAACAGTTATAGACTGCCACACCAATTATATATAAAACACAAAACGACAAAAGCTGAGGACTGTTTGAGATTTGGTATAAAGCATCGATACTGTTCTCAAAGCTACCATTTATATTATCCCCTGGTATGAAGTACAACGCCGGCAATATCACCTGTTAAAATAAGACAGTGGGACAATGTTTTAATGTTTATTAAAATAATACATACAGGTACTTATTTCAAAGTACGTGTTTCACATTTCATTCATTTGATAACGTTTCACAAAACATTCTTTACTACGATTTTTCTAATGTTCATTATATTATTACAGCAATGCATGTCTTTGTCCGGATGAATATATTACGACTATATGACGTTCTGTTCTGATATCCCCCTTGAGTTAAATTCTATGTTGAAATATACACATAATTTCCTATAACTGCACGAACCCTGACGGTATTATGATGCTGAAAGAAATGATAAAGGGAAAATACTCCAAAAACTCGAATCACCTGCTTAAGTATAACATAAACCAAAGCTGATTAGTAATTTAAATCTTTATTAAAATGTAATTACATATGTACTTACAAACGTCATTAACACAAATCCATAGATGCCTTTCAAACCTACAAACTAAAAAGAAGCCTTTAAGATATTATGAATACATGTATACGTGTTTTGTGTAAATTCAACCTAAGAATACAGGAATATAACAATAAGTTAATATTTTATATACTCGATTTTAGCATAAACATACTGATTAATAACTTCAATCAGCACTAATAAGATGTTTAATTAGTGTAAATATAAAATAGTTTTATATGCAGTTTAGTATGCAAACATTTTATTAATAAATTGATGGCATTTATAACATTTATAACTTTTCTTCCAAATGTGTGCAATAATGTACTGTAACGAGATAATAAAGGAACAAATGATGATAGGAAAATGAACAGTCATAGACATTGAATCTAATCGAAATACTTAATAGTATTTTTAATATTTCAAGTATCTGAACTAACTATCTATTGCTCTAAACTTTAAACTTACATGTAAAGTATGTATACTCCTCGATTTTAACAAAGCCTCCTCTAGAGTGAACTGGCCTCCTGCTATAATTTGAGCACAGATAATTAGTATAACTCCTGTAATACAAGAAAAACAGTTTATTTCTTTAAATTTTATTCGCACAAGTGTTATTTCAAACTTCTGTATTATTTCGTCTTAGATAAGTATGACACAAAAGGCAATAGGAAGAATGTCGAATACTTAACTCGAGTATTGGGTGGGGGCGGGCAAAAACTTATTTTAACTTGTATAAATATTAAGCAATGTTTTGTGTTGCCTACAAATAAAACATAATTAAACCTGAAAATTTATCAAATATTAAAGAAGATTAACCTGTTGTTGCATTTCCACCGTTTGATTTGTGACCTTGACTTTTGAACACACTTGAACAACCAGCTAGCACAAGACCGACAATGACAACAGCAATACCAATCCAATTAGCTAGTTTCAGTTTTCGATTCAGAAACACGTGCTGTCAAAAGTGTGAGCAAACCAAAATAAATATTAATAGTAAATAGATAAAAGTGATGTAAATTTCTTTCTTTAAAAAGATAAAATTATTTGTTTGAATCATATCCGAGATATTAGTTTCTTCAAAAATAAGTTACTGCCGCAAAATGTGGTAAAATATCAATATGTATTTCAAACAATTATTCAAATTGCCATTGTTTCTCAAAAGAGATAACCACACTTTAATGTATTTTGCGACAATTTGTGACTGTTGTTAATGTATGTTTATTAATTCTACATTGCCTCAAGATGATTAGGATTTAACTTCTTCTGTTGCAGCTCATCAGGAGTTTTCATTGTAGCTAAAGTTTATCTAAAAATTACACAGATTAAGTGATAAATATTCAACGGATAGAATCTAGTGATGTCAGAATCAAAGTTATTATTGTGCGTTTTGAAGTTATATCAAATTAAGTAAACAATTTGAACAAATAAATAAAATTACCGAAAAAAGCCCGGTAGATATAATAACGGAGCCTTTTAGCATTAGCATGATGGAGGCATCAACATAGAGCAACCCAATACCTGAACATATAAAAAATCTTCATATTTCAACGATGGTTCTTTAAAAAATAGAAATTTACCATTTTGTTAAAATTTGTTCGTTTGGCATGAAGTTCGTACTCATAATATATTATTCTTATAAATTAAATAAAAGCGTAGTCGAAGCTTTGCCAATTATGTTATCAATAGTGTTTCATTGATGAAGATGCTTTTACTTTTAATCACAAACTTATAATACATGAAACGCACCCTTTTCTAAACCAAAACATCTCTAATATGTATTTTCTCAGATTATCTAACTGAAGCTAGGTTGCATTTGTATAAATATTTCCAAAAGTATAAAAAATCGCAATAAAGTGTGTATAATGATGCTCTAATTCGTGTATTTTTAGAACTTGGATTGTTGTGGTATCTAGAGATGTTAGGAAACTATATGAACACAGTGATTTTGAAGCTAATTAGACTCAAACAAATCAAATAACTTGTTATACTTACCAATCAATGAACAAGCAACAAGAGACGAGCAAGTCGGTATGATAATTATCCATTGACATAACCTGAATGTCAAAATACAAAATTGACCCGAGTACACCAGTAAAATAAAGCACTAAATTTATATAATGTATCAAGATTTCTGTTTACAATAATCATGTGATAACATTGTCCCTTATATATAAAAGTTTAACGTTTTGAAAAATTGATTGTAAGAATTTACAAAATAGATCTTTACAGCAAAACATCTAATAAAGATTAAAATAGATTTTTTAAAAATGAGGTAATCCCTTTTATTTCCATTGACCTTTGCATCTCTTCGTTAATTATGCAATCGCTTTTTGCATCATAGAACAATAACCTGAATGTGAAACATTTTTAAGAAATAAAAATAAATAAGTAGTATTATCGTATTACGTGTACCAGAATATTTGAAAACTTTCAAAAGTCTTTAATTCAAAATATAAAACATTTTTTGAATACCTTGCAGGAGTTGGTGGTTCTTCTTGTATTGTAAGTAGTACGCCGTTGCACTCTGTCTGTACTATCTGAAACAAATAAACTTTATCCGTAACACAGCGCACCGTTCTTGTTTCAAATGCATGTACTTGATTGGCGAGGAACAGATACCGATCTTAGATGATATGCGAGAAGGGAGGAATTGGTCTAGCTTAAGCCCGTCTCACACAGATCACACGGCTTATACGGTTGGCCTCCCGTGTAAACCGGTCATACAACCGAACCAACCGAGGCGTTATCCGAGTTGCACTCAGGCCATTCGAGTGTATCCGTGTAAGCTGTGTATGATTTTTAAAACTTTAAAAAAATGGCATGGATGTCATGTCCGTATATGATCGTATAAGCGACCGTACAATACCGAAAGAGACCATGTGAGACCGTGAAAGACAGCACATACAGCCATACGATCGCCATACGACAAATACGGTTCAAGTACGAATCATACATGACAGACACAGTATAGTACGGGTAAACACGGTCTCACACAGCCCCGTAATGTCTTGCGTCAGCACGAACTGTACAACGAAAACCACAACTACCTGCTCCCACCCTCAAATGCAACAATCTACCCAGAGTTCTTGATGCATCACATTAGAATGCACCCAAAGAAGAAAGTTCCTACGCACAGAAGGGATACAATAAGGGTCATCCAGGCCCGCCGACCACTCCAACCTGCTGACCCTGCCGACCCGGCCGTTGAACGTTCGAACATTATTAAGCCAAGCCATCAAAATGGGTCAATTTATATCAATACACAAATGTAATAATTCGAGCATAACTCCAACAAAATTCGGCGGGACCCTATGTAAACCTGTGAAAGTCGAGTAAATTGAGTAAAAGTCGTGTTTAATCTTACTAGACCGTACCAATCTGTACTTGGAATCGTACAACAGTCGTATGTACTCGTATGCAAATCGTGTTCAAACCTTGCTGACCGAGTATATCCGTGCTTTATTCGTATATACTCGTGCTATATTCGAGTCTAAATCGTACCAACTAATTCCTAGGCACGGTTGGAGCTCAATACTCATACCAGTCAACCGTGTATACTAGTAACCGGGTATACCGTATGGAAACCGTGTGCCCAACTGTGTTCTTTGTGATACGGACTTTAAGGTAATTAGCCCGTTTTTATTCTTAGCAGGGCGCATCAGATGAAAGAAAAAATGGTTACAAACGGCTAAGTAGTTTTGAAAGCCAGAATTTGGATTGGTTAAGAGAAATACAATATCAATGGCAATAGTATGTCCTTATGCATAAAAATTGTTTAAATGTGATAAAATGAAATAATTTATTTCATTTCTAATAAATCAGGATATCATATTTGCACAAGAAAATATTTACCTTTCGTTTGTATTGCTGTGCTTGTCTCCGTCTTAAGATTGGTACTCCAAACAGACAAAAACATTGTGCTGAAACAAATACTGATGTTTCTATATATAGTGCAGCACGACATGGATTGTTAAATGAAATATTTCTCAGCCTCAAGTTATTTAATAATCTGCTGTATAAATTGAATGCTTTATTTCAAACTTAAGAGTTTTTTATTTTGTTTTTCAGACTTATTTAAGTTTTCTCAACATATTAGATAGCGGTAATGACTCTGTAACGCGAATTAAATGTTCTCCCTCACCCGAACCACATATGTTACTAAAGATGCAGTCACCATTCACCGTCCATACACAAAATTATTCTACAGCGCATCGGTCGAAAGTTTCACTATCTCTTACTTTCTTGTGTGAAGCAATGGAGTGTATTCACTGAGCAGCGAAGGGAGAGTAACACAAAACGAGCATGCAACATTTTCAATATTTTTTCAGTATGGGACGTTCTTAAAGGTGTCTCATTATTATGTTCAAGTATGATTACAAAGCAAAATTAAATTTTATTGAAAAATTACCTGTAAAAAGCATCCATGTTTGAAACCAGGGATGATTAAAGCGGTGTACTTTACCGTTGTAACCTTTTGCCCTGTGATATAGAATATTTGATCGATCATAATAACATTTAATTTCATAACAAGTCGTTAAAATAAAAAATATTGTTGTACATAAATTTCCAAAATAATAGGAAATATTGTGTTTTTTTATATTTTATAATACATATAATACACAAAGCTATTATCAAAATTTGATTGCATTCCAAAAATATTTTCTATCTGTTATATGCTTGTTTTTTATATAAAGATATTGAAATATTTTAAAATGTTTGACTTACATACAATCAAATTGTGCTTTTCGACACAGTGTACAAACACCTCCACTTATTAGCATGCATACCATCAGCAAAATCTGTTTCGTTGTAAATTGTCCCATTTTCTATCTTGTCGTCCTAACAAATCAAAAGCGTCTATATATGCTGTTGTATTTGATTTTGTAAAGTAACTGTACCCACTTTTGATGCATTACTATTAGATAAACACCATCATCATTTTCAAACTTTGTATAGTTGAAGAAACTCGAATATTATTTCATTAAAGTGTATTTATTAAGTTTTTTTCAACTTTTCCTTTCGGTAAAATACTAGATATTTTTGTCACTTCAGTAAATTTATCTTCAACGTTTACATGTATATTGTTAGTTAGTAAGTCGAACTGTTATTTATATTTTATTTATAAGCATTTAAATTCATATATTTCCATCAACAATATACAGACCTATCAATGAAAAATACTGGTATCATTGGTAAATTAATTTAATTAACAATAGAAAACGCCATGTATTGAAATAATGAATCATGGAGACGCTTATATCCTATTTACAAGAGTATTCGGATATGTTACTTTTTATCATATTAGATCTGTAAAACTTATACTTGATTAGGATGTACTTAGCTCAAATTATATTGACAAACAATATTTGTAAATTCAGAATGTTAAAATGAGAAGAAGACAAATACATTTTAATACATTTTAATTATTGCTAATTTATTTGTGATATGATACATAGAAGATAAACCTTAAGTTACTTATTCAATTATCAACGCAAGGAACCATGATGGTCTGCTGTGATTTCTGAAGTCGAAATAGAAAACTTTGGATGACAGTATACATTAACTTAAAAGGTGAAAAAGAACATCTGTACATATTTGACACATTATTTTTTTAAAAATGTAGAAATATGTAAAAACATTTCCCATATTAACGAATGTTGGTGACTAGGTGCATTGTATTTTTTTCCGAAACTCAGTATTTTCAATCAATCTCGTATAATATGTTCAATATGTAAATTATGAATTATCAACAATATTACTTTGACAAATAATTGAGCCATGTCCCAATTTATGGGGAAATAAGATTTAACACCATATATATGATTCTCGCCATAAATAACCAAAGTGGCTTTACCAATCATTTTTTATGACATTTATTTGCATTTAACATTATACCAATAAGCTCAAATGCGACAATCTGAGGTCATGTGTGACATCTGAGTTTAAAATTGTGTGTTTCATAATCACTCATGTTAAATTATATATACGGATGCTGATAGAACATACGTCTTAGTAAAGACAACCAATGATGGTTATCACTAGAGGTTTATTCAGTTCAGTATATTGCTATTATAATTTAAACAAGTGTTCTACACATGTATTGAAAAGTCAGATAGCATTTGTTTGTACTTAAAATACACAAATAATCACAAAGTCTAATTTCATTGTCTGTTTGTATGTTTATTTTTGATATAATCATTTTTATGACCACTTAATTTGGTTGAGTACTACTTATATTTCAAGCTTAATTTTCAATAGGTTAACTGTTTATGATATAAATGATTGATTAAATAAATCATTATAACCTTTTTCTTGGAACAAGATACTACAAATATTAAAACCAGAGCATTGTATTGTTTCCCTATATGTTTGATACCATCACGGATCCCGTGCGTCCCGGATCACCAATCCTGACATTGTCCTCTATCATTACGTGGTACTTGAAATAATCCCATAAAATATCTATCCGTAGTATAATTAAACAAGGCTCATCCTGATGTTGAAAAGGGAATGTCTGTTTTCGAAAAAAAAAGGTCAAAATATGAACTTAATAATGCGACTTTTCGAAACGATTTCTTTCAATCATCTTAAGTATCATATGTAAAATATTAGTAAAACAGTAGATTTTCTGTTAGTTTATTGAAGTATGCAGCTTTACTATTATCCTATACGTATAAAGAAAAACTTTTTGATGTACTTAATAATTTGGTGTGGTTACTATGTCTATATTATGAATGTTCTCGTGTTTATTCATTCTATGAAAAGTAGCGTATAGGTTATTTCGAGTAGAAATTTGCAGATTGAAAGTGTTTACCAGTGTGATTAATAGAAGATTGGAAAATATTCTACTGAAAATGACAGGTTTTGTCTGGAACGGGCCTTGCTTACCCATTGGTAGGGGGTCTTAATCCTCACACAGATCTGATGATTAAAGCTGTCTCGAATATGTAATAAACTAAATGATAAATACCTATTTCCGTTAAAATTAAGTTTGATGAGTACTGAAATTATTCACCGCTTCACAACTTTGTTCCCGGCACACAAGTTTGTTACATTTTCGCCGAAAACAAATGGACTATGGAGCTCACTAAGCGATTGAAAAAAATGGGTGTTTTTTTTTTTTGTTTTTGTTGGAAAATTTTGAATACTTTAAAACTGTTGAATACCTTGAAACTGTGCTATATTTTTTTCAGCTGCACCGGGTTGTGATTAGCCAGACATTTTCTTTAATTAGATACATTTTTAACATCCGAACTAGTCGATGCCCATTTTTCCTTAAATGAATTGTAAGCTTGTGAATATTGACTACAAAAATAGTCTAGCGCCCTATAATATTTATGAAATGATAGGGAGAAAACTCGAAATAAATACACCAGTAGTAAGTAAATAAGGTATTATGTTCATTTTTCCAGCGCGTAGGAATAATGCATTTAGTGTGAGAACTTGTTTGGAATAACCAATGTTATTCCAAATTGTTTTCAGCCATGTTCCTGTTTGGAACCAAAAACACTTTATCTTTACTTTATCTCATATACACTGTAAATAAATGTGCTTGTGTGTCCATTTAGTAAAATTGGAGGAAACGTAATACATCATTCAAAATTATTAAAATGGACAAACCATTAAAACATGCGACTACAGAACAAGTTTTAGATTTTAGTTCTATAGCTTAGGCAATCTCTTCCAATAAAGATAATGGAAGGTGGCACTATGCCTCTAAAATCTTATTTCATTTAAATTAAATTAAATTTGCCATTTAACATTTCTATAGCTGGGCACTCTACATGTATGTTCTTATAAGAAAAAAGAAACTTTATATAGATATATGTATTTATTTTATCTATAAATTATTTCCTTTTTGTTATTTTTTTTATAATTCTGCTTAAGACTTGAATGTAAACTTTGTTAAATACCTGAAAAGGGTGATTTGTATAAAAGTGGTAAAACAATTATCACAGTTTTTATTATCTATACACTACTATTATAATGCAAATATGATATTGACATATACATTACTATCACATTCAGCAAGTAGCACTTGTACATCTACCCCTTTTTCTTTTTGTATCTAACATTTTAGAGTCACAATAATACTGCGCTCTATTGTGTTTTGTTTTAAGCCTTGTTTTCTGTCAGGAGTGGACTGTTTTCATGACAATAGTTATTTTCAGAATCCAATGTATTGTCTTTACACCCATTTTCACTTTTAATAGTTTGCGAATTCGTCTCACTTGATATTTTCCAGCAAGGAACAAAGTTTCTTAATTCTAAAACATTCTTGTATATCAATGTTCCGATGACTAGAAAGAGGAAGCCATCGACTGAAAACAAAACAAAACAAAAAATATTTCATAATACATTGCAATAAATATATGTTGTTGGATTGATAATAATTCCATTCAAGAATGGTAAAAAATCTGAGGCAAGAAACATTTGACTGGTTAAAAATTAAAATCAATATCTGTTTGAAGTGCGGAAAAGTAACTTTTTATCAGGAAAAATTGATGAGATCAGTATAAATAAATATTCGATACATTTTCATAATTGAATAAATATAGAATGTAATCAACAAACTGAAGGTACAATTATCACAGACCATAAAGTATAAACACGCAAATAAAACTAATACTGAAACATCTTTAAAAGGAATGAAAACAATAAGCAAAATGTAAAAGTGCTGTGTTTGCTTTGACAAAAGTATCAATAGTTAAATACATTTCAGGTCTCTTAACTCTGAATTAAAAGGTAAATTAACGACCTCAGACAATATATTTATATATCACAGTATTTAACTATAAAAACATCAGGCTATGGTTTGAGTAAAATGACTTACTTTGAAGTATTCCATAGTATTTATCAAAAGGTTCCCCAAAATTCTGAAAAGAAAATATAAATTTAAAATATAAAATAGTTATTATAAAACTACACGTTTGTATCTACAATGAATGATTTCCATTGGATAACCATCATGTTTATATTATAAATATACACAGCTGATTTTATGAATTACATTTGTTACTTCTGTTGAAAAGAAGTAACGAACTACGCGGATCATTAGTTAAGCCGCGTCACGACAAAAACGACGTAATGCGTTTGCGACCAGCATGGATCCAGACCAGTCTGCGGATGCGCAGGCTGGTCTGGATTCATGCTGGTCGCAAATCATTACGTTGCTTTTGTCGTGACGCGGCTCATTTATGATGCAGAGACTTTAGTCAGGCTAGATGATCGGATAAAAATTGTTTTTTGTTATTTAACCATTGCTCTATGCCTTTCACTATATTACTGTTTCTACTGAATCATTTATTGACTCCCAGAAAACTCCTAAAAGTAAAATTCGGTCGTTGCAGAACCAAGTATATCATTTTACTCTTTAAATCTTAAAACTTTCTTGCATTTAAATTTTTCTCTTTTAATTTCTGTGCAAAATTTAAAAAAAAATGAAAATATAATTAAGTGTCCGCCCTTTTTTTGGTCACATGATATACCTACCGCCTTTGTTAGTGTATCAAAGCGTCACAGAACCTGTGAAAGAATTTTGTCATTTATCTTGTCAATGTTTATTACTAACATATTACCCCATTTGCAACGCCATAATTTTAATAAAGCACCATAAAAACGTTTTGCAACATTCGATATGCTGTTAAATTAAAGCTGTTTGGAGGCGTGGACGGTAACTTGCACTTTCCAGTACCGTCCATGAACAGGCTAAATCAAACGGAGCCTGCAACATTTTCAATTTTGTCGTGTTTTCCTTTCTTTAGGGATTCTATTTTTCTCTATCTTTTGTGTCCAAAGACACAATAATGAATGTATTGTTAAAAGTGACATTATATGCTCATGCTTTCATTGTCAAATAGATCAGAATTGATGCATATATCTATAAAGAATGACTGTTATATTGGTGATTGACAGTTGATATGAGAAAATATTTGGGATAAAATATAAAACTTGTCATACTTTTTATTATGAAAATTGAACGAATCAGGTCAATTGCGATGGGTATTTACAGAAATTTCCTTGGGCCGCCTGAATTGTTTATCTTGCATGCGACGTAAATTGTAAAATTGAAAGAAATCCCTTTAAAGTTTACAGTTTTACCCTTGCACGAGTATAATGTCACTTATAACAGGATTACAAGTTATGTTGATAAAGAAATGTATGACTTCCTATTACTTTAGAAACAATAACGTGTGTTGTTCAAAATGCTATCAGGACTATATTTATAAAATTTATATGCGTTTACCTTATCAAAACCATAGTAAATGGTCATACCCACTGCCCATACCATTATTGTCCTGCAAGCATCTATCAACGTGCTGTGAACAGCTGAGGTAAAGAAAGTACAATATATATGATAGTATACAATATATACTAGGTTGAAAAAATTTTAAGCATTTATAACACAATATAGAAGAAGCTATACACTAGTATAAAAAAGTGAAAAAAGTACCATTTCTTTATTTTTGACAGGAAGCTGCTCCGTATTTTAGCATAATGCTAAATAATAATCTATTTATTTTTTCTAGAAACTGAATTTCTTTTCGTTCTGAAATTTAAAGATAAAAAAACCAAAATGTCGTGACTAGTCCACGCTTTTGATATTTTTTTAATTTAAGTTACACGCGACAGTTGTGTTCTATGTTATGATGAATAGGTTAAGAATAAATTCTACTCTTACCAGAAAGTGACCTCATCACAGCTATAGAAGTGATGTTATAAATAGCCACAGCTATAAGATACAGAAGACAAAACGACAAAAGCTTAGTACTGTTTGTGATTTGATACAAGGCATCAATACTGTTCTCAAAACTACCATCTGCATTACCCCCTGGTATGAAGTACATAGCAGGTAATATTATCTGTAAAATAGAGTTATGAAAAGTAATATTTAATTATCTGTAAAGAAGTTACCACGTTTCTCATCATATTTAACATAATTTAGCGAAATTATCCGAATCTCTCTACGTATTGTCATACCCAGAGTGACAATGAGCAATAGAAAATTTAGTTGTTCATAATCTAAAGTAAAATCCATTGGGTTAACATTGAATGTAAAAATGCAGGTTAAACATCCTTGTACAAAAGAAAATGTAAATAATTGTCTGGGAGGATTTTTATTAAGCAAATAAATAATACAAAAATGATTCCTGATGATTTTTACACTATTCAATAAGAGCTCCAATGAGGCTGGGTAATATACATCCGATATGGCATATTCTTTATAAATTATCATCTTTCGAAGTTATCACATAGAAATTTGAACCTTTATGATAGAAGGCAAATCTATTGTTATAAATGGCTTGGACTATTTTTTTAATAATAACAAAATACTGTAATAAAACTGATGCTAAATATAAGCCACTTTTAACCAACTTGGTCAAAAACTGAAATAAATGTATACTTACAAATGTCATAACAACCAATCCATATATGCCTTTCAATCCAACGTACTAAAATGAAGTCATTAGTCATTTAATATTGGATAAAAGACAGTGTGACTTGTCAAAAGCTTATCCGAGATTTAAAAAAATGCAAAGTATCAAAATGCTAAGATTCACTTAAGAGACGTAAGTTCGTATTTATTCACAATACACAAGTTCTCACAGCATACACGAGTTCGTTCTAAGAACAAAAGCAGTCATTTTTATTTTATATTAAATAAGTTAAGATAAATGATACATGTCATATAGAATGCGAAAGTTAAAACCGATAGCAACAATTTGTTAATTATGACCAGTGCTTTTACAAAAATATCAAAAATAAATTAAAGAAACATTTAAAAAAAAGAACCGTGTTGTAAAGTGAAACAAATTTAAGCTATGTATTATATAATGTACTTAATATTAATAAATTACAGCCATTATTCCGCATAAAATGTATATCTACATGTAAAGGGTGTATATTCCTCGATTTTAACAAAGCTTCCTCTAGTGTGAACTGACCACCTGACAATATTTGAGCGCTAACGACAAGTATGACACCTGAAAATATGTTAAAAAGAAGCACAAGCGAGGGGTTACGCACACGTTAAATAGCTGCGAAGAAATGGTCAGCTGCGCAGTGCATACTTTTAGAAGAGCCGAATAAAATGCTACCTAGACGAATGTCTGTTTAGATCTGCGAAGTTGTTGAAATTAAAGGAGAAGTGTTACGACACGAAAACTCCATTACGACTGTATTAGTAGTATTCGTTTTATACTGTGACAGGACAGGTACGCCACAGTGAATGTCGTAATGTGCCAGGAATCCGACACGATGTGTCTTATTTATATACATGTATAGACAGTGTTGCTCGTAATGGTTTATCAAAATATCACAATTCCTTAAACATTAATTAATTATATCCCGATTAAAGGATACATAAACTTTTAATACGGTAAAACATCAAATTTGAGTATAAACGTAGTATATATTATATATTAAAGGCAACAGACACGATGAGGAGATTTCCAACTCCGAATAATTCTAAATACTGGCTAATCGAAGAACAATTTTACTTGTCGAATAAGTGCAGTCTTCATTCAAGAAATCCTTGTTGCTGTGTTCTGACATATAAAGCTTTTATTCAAATGACGTTTCAACACCGCCAGTGTATTTTTCCTTTCTTGTAAAGTTATGCTTTTAAAGTGTAGTAACCTATAGTCCATGATTCTACTTTACTTGTACGCGTAAAGTCAAATAGAAATGAAAATAATGTAATGTATTTTTCTATACTTTATGCACATAAACGTACAGATGTACAAAGAAAATCTGTTTAAAGTTTCAACATAAATTACTCTTATGTAATGCAGATCGACTGGGAAAGTGGGTAATACTGCAGACATTGGACCTCATATATGTATATACTTACATGTTGGACATCTGATATTTAGTAGTAAGAACAACAACAACAATAATACTTAAAGACGACTGCATCTCATGACAGAATATAAATGAGAAAATATTAAAAAAATAAAGAAGCATCAAGTAACATTTTTCCTCATCTTTATCTATTATTGCAAAAGCTAACAAAAATAATTTAAAATCTGACACAATTTTTAATTGCATGATCTGTTAATGGATAAAATGCAGGAAACCTAAATTGTTTTTAACACAAGTACTTTTAGGTGATCCATAAAACATTTGTACCTTGCATAAGTTATATAATTAATACATTGAATTCAGGTAAATACAAGAGCGATCAGTAATCACATGTGTCGCCTCATGATGGCCAATTTCATGTTGGGACAAATTTTGTGACAGACGGACAGACAGACGGACAGTGTACAACTAGACTAACAACTTTGTACTGATCATCCCTGTAAAGTTTGGATAAAATTGCACCAGTAGTTTATGAGGAGTAGTCCGGACAAGCTTTTGCGTATCTGGCAACACACAGAAAAAAACGTATTTTTATCAAAGGGCCATAACTCAGCCAAAAATCATTCAACCGGAAAACCCGTGCAATATGCGCAAGGACTTGAGCTACAGATCAATCCTGTAAAGTTTCATTGAAATTGCATAAGTGGTATAAGAGAAGTAGTCTGGACAAACTTTAAAAATAAAAATTATTAAAGGGCCATAACTCAAACAAAAATCATTGAACCGGAAAATGCTGACAATATGCACAAACTAGACTTGGTACTGATCATTCCTGTAAAGTTTGGATGAAATTGCACCAGTAGTTTATGAGGAGTAGTCCGGACAAGCTTTTGTGTATCTGGCAACACACAGAAAAAGAAACCTTTTTATCAAAGGGCCATAACTCGGCCAAAAATCATTCAACCGGAAAACCCGTGCAATATGCGCAAGGACTTGAGCTACAGATCAATCCTGTAAAGTTTCATTGAAATTGCATTAGTGGTATAAGAGAAGTAGTCCGGACAAACTTTAAAATTAAAAATTATTAAAGGGCCATAACTCTGACAAAAATCATTGAACCGGAAAATGCTGACAATATGCACAACTAGACTTGGTACTGATCATTCCTGTAAAGTTTGGATGAAATTGCACCAGTAGTTTATGAGGAGTAGTCCGGACAAGTTTTGTGACGGACGGACGGACAGACGGACAGACAGACAGACAGACAGACGGACAGACAGACGACGGAGAAGTGATCCCTATATGTCGCCACTACTCCGTAGAGGCGACACAAAAAAACAATAACTTATTTTGAATAATACTAGAATCTTTAAATAAAAATTGTTTCAATACATGTAGATATTAAATATTGCTTGGCGTTTCCAACATAATTTTACACGTTATTCAGAAAAAGAAAAATAATTCAAATATGTACCTGTTGTTGCTTTACCGCCGTTTGTTTTGTGGTCTTGATTTTTGAACACACTTGAGCAACCAGCTAACACAAGACCGACAATGACAACAGCTATACCAATCCAATTAGCTACTTTCAGTTTTCGATTCAGAAACACATGCTGCAAAATATAAAAACATTCCCAAGTTATAAAGTTATATATCATGCCATTTTAGATTTTAAACACGTATGTTTCCAGTTAAATACGAACCGATCGACGGGATAAGGTAAATAACTAGAACAAGTACAATACTATTTTGACACTGTCCTTCCAATGGGCGCTTCCTCTTCAGTTGCGATTTTTGAATCTTTCTCTAAATCTATTCAGTGGATCTTGCAACATAAATTTGCAGTCTCAAAAGTTTCACACATTATTGACGATTTCATATTTGTAGGTTCACCTAATACCCATGAATGTCAAGAATCTTTAGACAAGTTCATGCATTTAGCATCTGTAGTTGGAATACCAGTCAAACATGACAAAACAGTGCTTCCAGCTACTTCAGTTGAGGTTCATGGGATTGTCATAAACACAACTACCCTTTCAGCACACCTTCCAAGCTTAAAGATAACAAATCTCAAAAGAATTCTTGGTCAGTCAATGCAGAAAAAGAAAGTGACACTTCATGAGCTACAGTCTATTTTGGGTCATCTTAACTTCGCATGTAAGGTCATTAAACCAGGGCGCTGTTTCCTTCGTAGACTGTATGACCTGACAAAAGGTCATACAAATGGTTCTCATTTTATCAAATTATCCAAAGATTGCAGGGCTGACCTTAAACTTTGGTACACTTTTCTTGAGAATTATAATGGGGTTACTCTCCTCACTAATGACAGATTTATTTCGTCTAAAACTTTGCGTCTGTACTCAGATGCTGCAGGTTCAAAAGGTTTTGCGTGTACTCACCAAAATTCTTGGACTTTTGGTGAATTTCCTGAGACTGTTAAAACACTACATATTAATATCTTGGAACTTTTCCCGATAGCACTGGCAGTAGTTATGTTTGGGAAATACTGGGCAAACAAAAACATACTGTTTGTGTGTGATAACTTAGCTGCTGTCCACTGTTTAAACAAACAAACATCTAAAGACAGTATAATGATGAAACTTATTCGTATCATTGTTTTAAAGGCACTTGAATGCAATTTTTGTTTTCATGCCACGCATATTTCATCCAAAGACAATCTCATATGTGACAAACTATCTCGTTTGCAGGTTGCCGAAGCTTTGAAGCTGGCACCGCACTTAGACGATCATCCCACACCAATACCAATCAACATGTCACCAAGAAGATTGCTAAAAGTAAAACAGTCCTTAATAGATGCATCTTTGGCGACTTCAACCCACCAATCTTATGAACGTTTTTGGAATAGGTTTAATGATTTTGTTATGTCACTTTCATCCAAATTTTCCCCATTGCCTGCCGTTCCTGAATTATACATGATTTCATTGCCCACCTTCACATGCTTTCATATTCACCAGCCACAATAAGTAGCCATCTGTCAGCTATTTCACATTTTCATCAACTGTCAGGTTTTCCAGATCCATGTAAAAATTTTACCACTCAGAAAATGTTTCTCGGCTGTAGAAAAACAAACAAAAAAGCTGACACACGATTACCCATTTTAAATTCCCACATTGACTTGCTACTTAAAGCCATACATCAATTATATGTATTTAACCCTTACCTAAAGATACTGTATAGTGCCATCATTTTGACAACTTATCATGGGTTTTTCCGTGTTGGGGAGTTACTCCCAGCCACAATTTCTTCAGCATGCAAGGTGGTCCAAATAGGGGATGTCTGTATTAACAACAAAGCCATTCGGTTAAAACTTCTTAACCACAAAACCAGGAAAACAGATAAACCAATTATGATTCTCATTCGGAAAATGTCTAAAAACTGTCCTGTTCAAGCTCTACACCATTATTTAAAATTACAAGGTAAACATTCGGGTGCCTTATTTCAAACAGCTTGTGGTTCAGTCGTCACACAACCTTCCTTCCGTGAAATTTTTAAATCTCTTTAAATCTGTGCTAATTTATCACCTGCCTCTTACAAACTGCACAGTTTTCGAATAGGAGCTTGTACACAAGCAATAATTTCAGGTACACCTGAGAATGAGGTTATGCGTATGGGACGTTGGAAGTCTCATGCCTTTAAAAGATACATAAGAGTACCTATGGTTACAACTCGTAACACAAGATCTACTTCTGAATAGTTTGAGGACATTGGGGTGTGTTCTCAATTCCCATCTAATTGCAAATTATTCCTAACTTCTGCTACAATAGGGCTTTACGGTTTGACACATTGACATTATTTTAATTACTTAGCGCCCTTTTTTACATCATTCTTACTTTTAGATTTATTGCAGAATTACTTTTGTTTTCATAATTTAGTTTGAAGTTGTCTAATTAAATACATTCATCGCTTAAGCTTTTCTCAGAAGAACATTGGGGTGTGTTCTTCTGCTATTTCTTTTCGTTCTTAAAACAAAACTTCATTTATAATGTGCAGTTTTATTATATACATACATGTATGCATGTGCCATACTTTAATATTGTGTAAATGTTTTTTATCACCACCATATCAAACTGATTAAATTATCTACTCATTTGACATTTAAAGTATATCCTTTTGTTTCAATTAAAGTTTTGTTCACACTGTACATATTTTTACACAGGAAAATATTGGGGCGTATTTTCCTGTCTAGACCAAAAATTATATTATCACCTTTTATATTTGTATGTATATGTACACTTTATGCTAACACAGGAAAATATTGGGGTGTATTTTCTTGTTCAGATCATGCAAATTGTCTTATTATTTATATGTACACATTCTGTTTTCACAGGGAGATATTGGGGTGTATTTCCTTGTTTTAAATCATATAATTTGTCTTAGAAGTAACACGTGCATATGATGTTATCTCAGGATATATTGGATGAATTATATGTAAAACCATCAGTTTTCTTAATTTTTCCCTGTATACTTTATGTTGACACAGGAAGATATTGTAGTTTATTTTCCAGTTAAAACAGTATGATTTGTAATTCATTTTTGCTAAGAATTTTCATCACCTGTCTGTAGGGACAAGCACGTTAATCTGTATCAATTTATTTTCCTATTTCATTTTCTTCTGGCAGTTGTTTTCAAACTTAAATTAGAACATACAAATGCACTGTGATTCACTGTCTTCATGTTTTCGCTCTAGAAACATTTGCGAAAGAGCTTAAGAACATTTGTACATAGTCTGATTTGAAATCTTGTTTGCTGTTACCTATACCATGTAAATTTTTTATCCCAATTTTTTTTGCCTGTTTTCTCGCCTTTTTGGTTGGACATGGTTGTGGACATGTTCGTGTCCAACTTTCTGTCATCCTTTGTGATATTATGACACAATTTTCTAGTCTTATAGTTTCTAGTCATTTTGATTAACTTAGTTTATTTACCTTTTTATAAAATAAAGTCGTCTGGCACATTTGTGCCAGACATTTTCAATCCACTTTTTGTCAGACTTTTCTTTACACTTTCCCCTTCCTGTGATGACAGAAATAAAACTTCAAAGGCGTTCAGGCAAAGCAAATATAAATTAACTTACCGAAAATAGCCCGGTAGATATAATGACGGAGCCTTTTAGCATTAGCATGATGGAGGCATCAACATAGAGCAACCCAATACCCGAACATATAAAGTATCTTTAAAAAAATGTATCTGAAATCTCAAAGTTGTTGTTCTTCAAAACTTTAATTTTGCTGTGTTGCTATAATCAAAGGATTGAATAAAAGTAGAAGTTTTATTAAATAGTCTTTCATTGAGAAAGATGCGTGTTAGTTACAAAATAGCTGATAAACCGTAATTACAATTTTCAAATAGCTTGATTAATTTGACGAATTGAAATGGACATAACTATTCAGAAACAACAGTTAATGAATTATATAAATTAGGGTTTCTTAATCGGACAAAAATCATAATCGATCATCGAAAATAATCAAACAACCCTTTTCGATCAATCATCGATTATATAATCGAAACATTTATGATAACAAAGTAAAAAAGTATAATGTACATATCATGCTTTAATATTTATAAGAATTCCATTTCCATGTGACCACCACTTTATCAACTGAAATAAATTAATTTTAAGACATACTATGATCATCCTTGAGTAAAATATTTTAATCAAATAAATTCATTAAAATCTATGAAATTATTATGTCTCACTTTCTAAAAAGGAATTAATAAACTACTGTATGTATGGGAACAAGTTAAGTTGGTCGACCTGTTCTTAACAAAACTGCCAGTATTTTTTAATGACATTATATATTGATATTGCAACCACCTATAGTGAGTAGAATAATTTTATACATAACATAACTTTTTGTGTGAAGTCAAAACATGTTTATTTTATATTTACAAATAGAAGGTATAACAATTTTAAATATTTTCTTATGTCAAATTTGAGCATAGTATACCTTTAAAATAGCATGCCTGATTGTCAACTATTAACTCAATGGTCACCAGTATGCTTTCATATTCAATTGAATGAAAATTATTGTTTCAAACAAAACTGGCTTTAATTTAGAGTGTTGTTATAATACAGTTAGTCACTTAAGTAACAGCAAGAAAATAAATTGCCGATGATCGATTATTAAACTTTGTAATCGATCATCGCCGATCGGTTCTATAACCGATCAATTTTCGATTATACTCGATCATCGTTTAATCCCTAATATAAATCGGTCCGAAATATCAAATTACGCACAAAACATGTCCAAAATGTGTCCTTTCTCGTTCGTTTACTTTGGACATTGGTGAAGAAACTACATTGTACATGTATATTAAAAGTAAAATGATGATTGTAAATGTATTAAACATATCAAGATAATAAAAACAAAAACAAAATCATGAAAAAGGTAATTTGTTATAAGAAAATATTCTTACCAACTAACGACGTAGCAATAACAGACGTGCAAGCCGGTATGATTATTATCCATTGACATATCCTGATTGTAATTAAAATACAAAATGATACGAGTAAACTGAATACACACTGAAATTCACCAACTTATTAGTTGATATGATGGAAACTTCTTAAATAAGAAAAGTGCCAATTTATTTAATAACAGTTATAACGTGTTATTCCAAATTTAAATGTTTGAATCTTTATAGAAACAATAATTATTTTTCACTGAGCAAGTGATTTTTAAAAAAAATAACAAAAGATAGGGTCTCTCGTCAATGTTTCTTATCTCCATAGACGCTTGCAGGTTACACAAAATATTATATCCATACTTTAATAAGTCAGTACTTTGATCAGTGAATACCACTCTTAATTACTTAGGAAGAGTGATAAGGAATATAAATATATGTACCAGATTATTGATTATTTTCAAATGTCATTAAGGACGAAATATAATAACAATACCTTGCATGACTTGATGGCCCTTCTTGTATGTTAAGAAGCGTGTCGTTCTGCTCTTTATGCGCTACCTGAAACAGACTAGAGTTGTTCGTCAAATAGTGAAATATAGCTTGTAAGTACACAATTGTGATAAACCTCATAAAAAACAGGTTGAATGTTATGAATTTGCATTCCGTGTTTCAAAGGTATATCTAAAATTCTATGACGAAAACAAGGCATAATTAGTTAACAATTTATGGAAGAGTATTATTACTTTCGTTCATTTATATATGATTTTTAAGTTTTCCAAATGTAAAAAATATCCAGATGCCATCCTAAAATGGGATGCTATCAATAAAATAAACCAAATTATAGCGTTAGCTTGGAAAATAAGGGGAATTATTTCATAACGATCTTTGAGTAATATATCTATTAGTGGTGGTGAAAGCTATTAGCATTTTTTTCTCTGCAAATGCAAAAGCAAATTGAACTTGTAAAATAAAAAATGCAAAAGCAAATTGAACTTGTAAAATAAAAAAATCTAAGCTTTGTATTCCTTGCCATCAATATAGGAATGCTTGCCTCACAGATATCTTTGATACATAAAGTTTTACTCAGCTGGTGACGGTAACCGAGTACACCCAAGTGATCGGAGTCGTCTGATCATGGTCTGTTCACTTTTCACTCAATTTAATTTAAAAATGTCCCCCCCCCCCCCCCAAAAAAAAAATGAAAAATAAATATAAAAAAAATATTCGGTTTGGAACCGGGACTAATTAGCGTGTTATGGTTTAATCAATATTGATATTCTGAATAAGGGGATGAAGTAAAAATCATTTATTACTATTATCCCTTATCTAATAGTTGTGAATACTATTTTTGGTATGAAACACGCTTGACAAGTCTGCTGAAAACCAGCTTAAAATCATGTGATGAAATCAAGGGGCAGGACGTGAAGTGGTTGCACACTTGGTTCAAGCGAGCGAATTGGTTGCAAACTTGACAAAATGGTGAACACGGCGTGATTTTTTGAAACGGGTGAACGAATTTTTGCCAGGCAAGTGGGTTTCTTTGTTATTTTGAAGTTCATTAGTATGTCTATTCCATAATGCAATATATATGCCACACTCGGTTAAAGGTTTCAGCATCCTAGATTTTGTTTTGACGAAGTTATTGAAGATATAAACTGATCATGTAGATATTTTTTAATTTGACATGTGACTGTTCTGGTCGGTTTTTCTTCTAATTTATTCGAATTTGTAAGTTTTGAACTGCATTTACCTGTCTTTTCTGATGTTTTGCTTCCCTTCTTCTCAAAATTGGTATTCCAATCAGACAAAAACTTTGTGCTGTAACAAGTACACATTACTGTGAAAAATGCAGCCTTCAAAATCAGTAGTTTCATTTATATAATGCCATGTTTGAGTTTTAGATTATGACATAAACTAACGTTGACTCCATAGTTTTGTTTTTCGAGCTAATATCATGTATAGTTTGTTTTCTTTACGTTTACGATTAAAATCAACTAATAATAATTTGACAAATTAGATATGACTCTTGTAATAAATTGCAATTAAATCAGTAAGGCTATAATGACAAATTACCTGCACATAGCATCCACGTTTGAAACCAAGGGTGATTAAAACTGTGTTCCAGGCTGTTCCAACCTTTTGCACTGTAACAGAGATAAAAATGTGACAATGAAAGACGTATTGCTCTTTAGAATATTTTACAAAAGGTCTTATATATTTCTCTCGAAAACCAGGAAACAAATTATGTTTAATCATGGCTTTCACTTTACCTACCGTATAGGTTTTTCGTTGATTTGTTGTTGTTGTTGTTGTTTTTGTTGTTGTTGTTAAATCATTATTATTATTATAAGATCTATTATTATTATTTGAAAGGTTTAACATATTATGAAAAGTTATAAACTTACATGGTATCAAATTGCGCTTTTTTGCTTAATGTAGTGATAGCACCTGTTATCAGCATGCATACCATTAAAATAATCTGTTTCCATGTAAACGTTTCCATGTTGGCTCACATCCAATCATTCTAGTACATAACGTCACAGCGTAGAAACGAAATCAGTGTATCATTTACCTATAGAATTAAATGATTATTGCATTTACAAGTATCAGCTTGTATCATTCTTACGATCACATGAAGAAAGTAGATCTAACAGAGTGTAGAGACAAATCATTAGGCTTAATATTCAATTAAATTTGATATTATATCTTTATCAAACCAACAAGTGATCTGTCATCTACAAGAAAAAAGACTTATCAAGATTTAAATACGTGCGTGTTCAGTTGTAAGTTAGTTACTTACCAGTGTTACATAATATAACTACAGCATTTACCAGTTGACTACGTGAACGTGTCGACTAATCTGTGTCAAACTTCATGTTTCCTATTTACACCTTATCTTTGAATTAATCAGCTATAATTGATTACTTACAATTCATACATTGATAATTCAAAATAATTATATGTATAACTATGTAAGGTTTAAATTATTCCCTTCACATTATACGCGTTATATATCAAACACTTAAACAATATTGTTTACAATGGCGTACTTTAATTCAAGGGAGGTAACTTTCACTATGTTTATGTTGTTTAATATTTTAATAACATTTTATTTCTGACAAAAACTTTCATCCAAAATTAACACAAAAATTTTAAAACCATTTAAAAAAAAAACTTTTAATGACTTAAATAAGTTTTTACTTTATTTTACATTTAAAACATATATTTCTCAAAAACTAAAAATTTGTTTTAAAACAAACTAAATTTAAATAATTTGTTAGTATTTTTACAGTTTTATTGTACAGATAGATCTATTCAGTGTATTCACCACGTCTTGTTTCATGTATAAGTCATTTAATTGTGACACGGTATCTTACTAATTTGCATCTTCGGATAAATAACTTATCTAGTAAGACATAGGCCGAACTTTAACTACTTGCACGGAATACTATTTATCATAAGGCTCTACCATATAAGTTAAATTAGATGTCCCAAAGTCATTGGCTGCACTTGTATTTCAGTTTCTAAAAATAGTAGCTAATAATTTCTTGCAGCAAAATATGACCGTCAAGCGCGTATTTCTCTTTAAAGAAGCAAATATTATGAATGATAATTTCATGTTAAACGGAACTATTAGGTATGGAACCGCGCACTTCTGTATGTATACGTGCTTAATGTGGAAAAAGCTTAAAATATTTAAAGTTTACTTATCTCTTAACAAATGTTTCCAATTACAATTTAATTCAGAAAAAATCTTAAGTAGACAAAATGTTTAATCATTAATTAACCAGCAATGAGCAATAAGATAGCATGTAGCTAGAAATGTTACACGTGAAATAACTTTTTTTAGAGCCTGCAACTATAAATGTTTTCCGGAGGATGGGCAAGAGATCAGTGCAAAACAATGATTTCCGCATTATTCTCCCCGTCGCAAATGGTTATTTATGAAGCGATCACATACCGACCTTCAATTTTAAATTGACATTTATAAACATAAAATCAATAAGATAATTAGTAAATCACACTTTATACAAGTTTTCTCTATTTAAAGGATAAGATGTTTCTATTGTTATAATCATGTGTGGTTGTTCTCCTTTATAAAGTGTTGGATTTAAAAAATATTTTCGGTCATATTCATCATTATTTGAGTCGAGAGTATACAATTTCTAAATATGGAGATCCTTACACACCAATAACAATATAACATGCAACGTCGAGTGACAATTAGTTGATAGGGAGGTAATGTAATGTTTGGCTTGTGAATACTGCCTCTCTCTCCCTGTTCCTTGTGGGTTTGGTTTGTAGGTGCAGCCAGCTACAAGCGTTAATTCAAATTTAAGAAACGTATACGAGTTAGAGTTTCGGAAAAGTAGAAAGATTAAAGATTCGTGTTACAATTAACATTTAATGGGCGATCAATGGTTATTTTTTTCATAATGTGTAACTATATTTTTACTGCGTTACTAAGGCAGTAAGGGCAATTTCTGACCTTTTGGCCTTTTTTGTAATTAATGTTGGTTGTAAGTGCCATTGAAAATGTGTAAATTGCTTCCTTTTTGTTAATATACAATATTATGATTTTTAATTACATTTTCAAAATTATCATGAAAATAAGCATTTATCTTAGGCGTGATTCTTTAATTCAATCCAATGTTATGCTGTCCCCATTTACAAATATTTACCAAAAATTACATATCTTAATAACAAGAAAGAATCTAAGCATACATGTAACAACTATATCATTTTTACTACTATAGCCCTGTGTACGATTTATTTTATCTACATAAGGATTTTCCTTTCTTAAATGTTTTATTATAAACTTCTGCAAAACACTTGACTATGAATTTTGTTAAAACCACAAATTGATGATTTAAAACAGTTGTAAAACGATAATGATAACATTTGTGTGTTTTTTTTTTGTTGTTTTTTGTTTTTGTTTTTTATTATTTTTATACAATAAAGCAAATCTACTATATAGATTTGTCCATTTAATCATGCATAACGATCACATTTGGCAAGAGGCATCTATACACTGAACAACTTTTCTAAGTTGTGACCTGATAAAACGGTAAAGTTGGGATATCAAAGAAAAAATAAATTGTTTTAGTTAAGTACTGATATTAATTTCATTTTCCGATGTCTAAAACAACATTCAGAAAAAAGAACATATGTGAGAATAAAAAAACAATAGCACCCATATTCCAAAAATTACAAGACGTAAATATCGCATATGCCTCCGTTTTACCAAAATTACAGTCTGGCATCTTGCTCGAAACGACACAATGCAACGTTAAATGACCCGTCGAGTGATTCAATTCCACTCCTTAATTCCAAGACACTTAAGCGCTACCAAGTTGACAGTCTGTCGGCAACCCCTTTTACGTCTTTCAGCACATCCTAAACAATTTTCTATCGGATTGAGATCGGGACTTTTTGAGGGTCATGAACTAACCCCTATGTTATTTGCAGGAGAGTTTGCTGGTGTTTAAGAGTGTAAAAGGTAAGAAATATAATTGATCCTCTGCCATATCTGTCAGATTCAAGGATACACTCGGCCCCGTAACGCTCCCCAAGGTGGCGGTAAAATCTAACTCTCCCATCTCTTTCGAGCTTGGCAATGTATTTCTGCATTCTTCTACAGAGAATTCGGGTCCCGCTAAGACGTTTTCGGACTGTCTGTTAGGCCCACAGGACGTCCATGTCTGCCGTGGCCTCTGAGGTTACCTGGATTATATCATTATCCTGATGAATTGTTGTTACGTCAATCTTCGGCCGCCTTTACCTGTCCCTGACTGTCCCTGACTTGCCCAGGTTAAGAAACCTGTTCCAGTGTTTCATACGACCTATTCAATTTTTAATAATTTGTAGTTTTGATTAACATCTTTAAATGTGGTAACACACCTGTCTTAAAGACTATCAAGCTTCTACCATACCAACTGCCATTACCACGTTCAGCTTGGGTCATTCGTGCCATTTTAAATCTTTTTGTATAAAACAGTCATCCACAAATTTAGCTTACAGCACAATTTGCACGAGGAACTCAAACTGCAAGTGCAGCCGTAATCCTTTGCTGAGATTATCTTATGAATTTGACTAGATTTTACCATAAATCGATAATTATACATGTAATTCGACTTTGTTTATAGTATCACTCTTCGACGTTCATTTATTGTGCAAAAAAAAAAAACAACGATAAACAAAAGTGACCACTTACAAAAGTTGTTTGAGATTTATTCACCCTAACAATTTACATTGCTCTATATTTAATTTTATTTGAACAGTGCTAGCTCAGCCTTTTTTCTGTCAGAAACGGACGACTTTCATCACAACAGTTATTGCCAGAATTCAATAGACTTTCTACACATCCGTTATTGCTTTTGTTGATTTTTGAATTCCTCTCTCTTGATATTCTCCGACAAGGAACAAAGTTTCTTAGTTCTAAAACATTCTTGTATATTAATGTTCCGATCACCAGGAAGAGGAAGCCATCGACTGAAAACAAAACAATTTATTTCAAATTGCATAGAATATATATATCCCTAGATTGTTAATAACTAATAAAAATTCAATACTAGAGTGCTAGGAAATTGTGCTGCAAGAAATATTTTTCTTAATTGAAATTTGAATATATACTTGTTAAAAGTACAGTAAAGAAACTAGACTGTTTTTATTTACTTTATTGATAAAGTCAATGTAAGTATTTGAAACATTTACCTAATTGAATAAATGTCAAACGCAATAAACAAACTGAAGATGAAATAACTGCAAACCATAAACATCTTTAGATAAAACCAATTAGCGAAAATGTAAAACCGATTGCTTTGTTTAATCACTAATAGTAAAATATTTAAAACTATTTTCTTTCATATCTTTAAGCTGTATATAAACGTCCCAGACTATATATTTATATATTACAACAGCTAAATATTATTATACATAAATACTTTGATAATATATTTTTATCATATATTTTTTTATTAATATAAATAATTATAATTATTTAAATTTCATATAATAATAAAACATGTAACACTGTACAGTTTTATGCAACACAAATGTTAAATTCATAATTAGTTGTCTTTCTGTAATTTAATTATTATAGTTTAAATTAAACGAATTAGTGCATGTAAATATGTTCTGTGCCAGTCGCAAAGTGAATAAACTATGTGGGCTTGCACTGCTTGAAAGAATAATAATTTGTGAAAACAGTTTAAACGGGTGTTATCTGTATATACGATTAACAGCATCAACAAATATGAAGCACAAATTTTTAAAATTTCCTATAATAAATATATACTAAGTATATCACATTTTAACTTTAAAGCTAAAATGTGTCTCTTCTGGAGAGAAAAAAAAATACATGTTCAGAGCATAATATGAGTAAAAATGCCTTACTTTGAAGTATTCCATAGTATTTATCAAAGGGTTCCCCAAAATTCTGAAAAGATAATATCAACCTGTTAGATTATATGATAATAATATTAATGTTTGTAACTATGATTTCCAATAGATACCCATGACGATTATATTATCTATATGCACGGCTGAGTTTATTAATTAATTAATTTCTGTTGCAATTAGAGAAGGCAGCTGTACAGATTAAAAAAAATGTTATAGCACATTTTGATTGGTTGCATTGCTGTTTGCTATATAAAACTCGTCTAGCTATGGTGGCTGATTTGTGCCATGACGTATTTTTGCTCCTCGTGGCACAGGACGAAATCACGAAAATACGACAAAGTCAATAGTTTGCAAACTTACGCTCTGCCAGTCGAAAACACGAAAATACGAGAGCGAAAATACGACATGGCACAAATCAGCCACCATACCTAGCTTTTACTGACCTATTTATCCAAACACTCCTCAGTAGTCATTCCCTTGATCAGTACAAAAACTACCGCCTTCACCTTCATACTTTAACTTTAAGTTTCTTTTTTTTAATTATAATGCTTAACATACATTAAACTGTTGTTGGTTTTTTGTTTTTTTTTTGTTTTTTTTTCAATATAAATAAACGTAAGTAAAATTAATGGCAATATCTAAGTGATCGCTCTTTTTGGTAATATGATACATGTATACCTTTAGCCACGTGAGTTATAATGAAGTCATCTGTTAAAGTATTAAAGCGTCACGTAACCAGTGCAAGAATTTAGTCATTTATCATGTCAAAATGCTTTTTACTAAAAATTTACCATATATTTGTAACATCAAAACTTTAAAATAGCATCATAGAAACATTTTGCAAAATTTCGACTTGCTATTAAATTTAAGTTATTCTGCTGATAAAACCTTAACTGGTGTTATGTTTGTAAATAAACAGTATTATGGATTCTATATAAGAAGTTACTTTGAGAAAAAGTATGGTAAAACATGCATGACCTTCTATTCCACTGCTTGAAAGAGAGGTTATTGCTTTTAAAAATATAGAAATTCAAGTTGTTGGAATGTAAGAGGTATTTACCTTATCAAAACCATAGTAAATAGTCATACCCGCTGCCCATACCATTATTGTCCTGCAAGCATCTATCAACGTTTTATGAACAGCTGAGGTAAGGAAAGAGTCTAAATTAACATATAATGATACACCTGACACTTGCCTTAAATAAACTTTTGAAGAATCTAACCGAATTACTTTATGCTAAAAATTAAAATAAAAAAAAATAAATAAATAAAATGTGGTGACTAGTGTTCGAATTTTGAGTAAAACTTTAGTAACAAACGACAGTTGTATCTTATGTCATGATGAATATGTTTAAAATAAACTTTATCTTACCAGAAAGTGACCTCATCACAGCTATAGAAGTGATGTTATAAATAGCCACAGCTATAAGATACAGAAGACAAAACGACAAAAGCTTAGTACTGTTTGTGATTTGATACAAGGCATCAATACTGTTCTCAAATCTACCATCTGTATTACCCCCTGGTATGAAGTACACAGCAGGTAATATTATCTGTAAAGTCAGTAAGGTAATATCTAAATTAGTAAGAAAGTTACCATGTTTTTCCTTAATTTAACATTGTTTTAAATAAAACGTCGACACGTGTTAATAAGAATCTACAGTTATTTTAAATAAAAAAAAGTATACTTATAGATGGCCATATCTTAATTATTTTACATTATAGTCTTTTTTAAGAAATATTAATTTTCCATACGCCAAAGCGAGTTATTCTTACTGGTAATGCAAGTGGAATAGGTGACTATGACTGTAACAGTTCAATTAATATTACTTCTTACAAGTAAACATCTTGCCGCGTGGCAAATGGCCGCCATCGTTGAAATTCAATGTTTGACGGTAATTTTTATAAAGTAAGTTAATGGAATAAAGGGAGTATTATAAAAACCTTTATCAGATTTTTTTTATCTAAACGTATTAAAAAAGTTTATTTTACATTAGTCAAAATATGATAAACAAGATCAACAAGGAAAGGCGGCGCTCAACGAATGCAAAGTTGTACACTGTGAAAAATAGAGTGAAGAATGAATATTCTGATCCAGTGATAAGACCAGATTATTGTCAGATTGTATATTGTTCAGTTATACAAGATATTCAGTTATGTCCCGTTTGTACTATGCTGTAATACTGTAATACAGCTGATGCTTGATATAACCAACAAATCATAAATATTGAAATAAATATATACTTACAAGTGTCATTATAGCCAATCCATATACGCCTCTCAATCCAACGTACTAAAACAAAGTCATAAATCAATTAACAACAAGAAAGTGTGGCTTCAAAATTACCCGTAATGACAGAAATATAAAAAAATAAAGGTATCAAAATGCAAAGACACTATAAACATGTACTTGCTCATTTATAGAATACACAAGTAAACATAACATACACGAGATCTTAAATAAAAATTTCACGTATAACAAAGATGATGACATTTCTATTGTAATTAGAATTAGATATATAAATAATACTGCTTTAAGTATAGTTCTGATTTAATTCCAGCACATTATTATTTCTATATTGTTAAAGCGATATGATTTAGTTCAAATCAATCATCGATGAATTCACAGCGAACTGACTAATTTTAGTAGAAATAAAGACAAACACTTACAAAATGAACCCTCTTGGACATGGAAACAACTTGAAGTTAAATATTAGACTTAATATTGATAACTTAACTATCAAATTGCTGCAAAATATATATCTACATGTAAAGGGTGTAGATTCCTCGATTTTAACAAAGCTTCCTCTAGTGTGAATTGACCTCCTGACAATATTTGAGAGCTAACGATTAACATGACACCTGAAAATATATATCAAAAAGAGATATAATACCAATAACAAAATTCATGTATTGTTTAATACGCCTGTTATCAATATACATGGTTCGGGAATACACCATATATAAATTACCAAACTGGTTGATTGTACGAGTGTTACGCATAAAATAGAAATTTTGTGAGGGGTTTTCCAACTCCGATTAATTTTGACTATTCGAGGAACATTTCGCCATTCGTATCTTCTCATTCAATGCAGTCTTTTTTTTCCCGAGAAATCCTTGTTGCTGTGTTTACACATATTAATTTGAGCTTTGTTCTGCTCTTGTTTATTCGTATCACGTTCTAGCTGGCACCGGTAGTGTTTTTTTTCCTTTCTTGTGATTGTACTTTTAAAAAGAAGTTAAAACGACAATTTGTTTTTTACGGTATTTGGAACGCAAAAAAAATAAATAATGCGGTATATTATTCTATACTAAATGCACAATTTCAGCTGTACGAATGAAATTTGTCTATAGTTTTTACATAAATAACTTATGTAATGCAGATCGACTGGCGAAGTGGGTAATTCTGCAGACGTTGAAAGTCATATAATAAAATTATATAATACTGTAGACTCTATGTTTTGGACATCTGATATTTAGTAGTAACAAAATACATGTAACAACAAAATAACTCAAAAAGACTGCATCTAATGATATCATATGAATGAGGAAGTATTGATGAAACATAGAAGCAGCGATCAAGAACCATTTTACTAATCTTTATCTATTATTTCAAAAGCTGGTATTAAACAAAGGTAATTTATCGCTAAGAACATAATTCATAAATGCAGTACTGGAAACCCAAATTGTTTTAACACAAAACACAAGTACTTTTAGGTGATCCATAAAGCGTTTGTACCTTGCATTAGGTATTTCGGTAATATCAAATGAAGCATACTTAGTTCAGGGGAATAAAAAAACTAATTACTTTTGAATAACACTAGAATCTGTGAATTTAAAATTGTTTCAATGTATGTAAATATTAAATCAGGCTTGGCGTTTCTTACATAATCATAAACATTATTCAGAAAAAAGCAATGATCAAGGAATTTAAATAAGTACCTGTTGTTGCTTTACCACCGTTTGTTTTGTGGTCTTGATTTTTGAACACACTTGAACAACCAGCTAGCACAAGACCGACAATGACAACAGCTATACCAATCCGATTCGAAACTTTCAGTTTTCTATTCAGAAACACATGCTGTAAGATATACATGTATAAACATTCCAAATATATAGAGTTATAACATGCCGTTAAACTTTCTATCTAAAACGAATGTTTCGGGCCAAATTGAATTAACTTGATAACTTGAACAGATAACAGTAAATATAAACTTACCGAAAACACCCCGGTAAATATAATAGCGGAGCCTTTTAGCATTAGCATGATGGAGGCATCAACATAGAGCAACCCAATACCTGAACATATAAAGTATCTTTATAAACAAACATTGTTGTTCTTCAAGACATATAATATATTGTTATTTGCTATAATCAAAAGATTGAATAAAAGTAAAAGTTATATTATGTGTTTTTGTTTTTGGAAGATGCATGTTAGTTACAAAATAACTGATGATACTGATTAACACTATGTAAACAAACGTCATTGTTTTTTATTAAAACGTTATATGGCAACTTTCCTGCTTTTTTGGTGAAGGAAGATCCCAGGTGCCTCCCGTGCATTATTTCACGCACAATCGGGCAACTGAGTAGATCCACCGACATTCCGTAAGCTAGCTGGATAACTTCCACACTTGAAAAAAAAAAAACAACAAACAAATTTTGAAGTCACTGAAGAAACCAGACGGTGACTGTATAAAAATATCAAGATAATAAATCAAGAAGTTTGTTATGAGAAAATATTCTTACCAACTAATGCTGTAGCAACAATAGAGGTGCAAGCAGGTATGATTATTATCCATTGACATATCCTGATTGTAATTAAAATACAAAATAATATGATTAAACTGGTAAACTGAACACTGAATTTCATCAACTTATTAGTTGATATATGATTATCATGGATATTTTACATAAGCTAAGTGCCAATTTTATAACAGTTTAATGTGTTATCCAACCTTTAAATTTTTGACACTTTATGGATCATTACATATTTTCACAGAGCAAGTGCTTTTATTTGAATAAACAACTAAAGATAGGACATATCGTCAATGTTCCTTACTTCCATAAACACATACATGTTTAACAAAATCTCCTCCATAAAAGGCAATTTATATGAGAACTATGGTACGCTCAAAATATTTTAACATATTTTGTTTCAATCCTTTTATCTATTAGAATGTTTGAATGGAAACTGATATTATCTTTTCTTGCATAATATAGTACAATAATGCGCAGTTTTTCGTTCAAGCGCTAAATGTAATTAGTCACACAAGTCTTTCGGCCTTCCTGATTCTATTCCTACGCATTTGGACTAGAACTGTGCATTAATACAACAATACACTTACAATGGATATCTATTATCTAAAAATATTTGTTTCAGATTATCGATTTTTTTCAAATGTCTTTAAAGGAGCTCCACAAAAACTAAAATTTGGATTTTTTTACAAGGATTAACTAAGATACAAGTTTAAATTAGAATTACATTTTGTATTTGCAAATGCTTGGAAAGAAGTATAGTTCAATGTATTTTACCTGCATTTAAATTGAAAGTGTTTATATAATTTTTATTTTGTGTCATTTTACACAATAAAATTGATTATTGTAGAGAAACAGAGTGAGAAAATTTACTTTTGCATACAAATTAATGGTACAGATCTATAGGTTGTGTATAATTTTTGTATTCATAAACTGAATTGCAACTGTATTCACATACCCATCCTCCTTCTCCACGTGATAAATATTATTTTTTACCGTGGCGTGCGTGTGTGCGTGTGTGTGTTGGTGTACTTGTGTTCGTGCGTGCGTGTGTATGTGTGTGTGTTTACTTTCTCCCACTATGTTATGCACTAATTTCAATGTTCCTATGTATGCCATTGTCATGTGATTGTAAATTTGTATCATATATTATTTGTTATAACGAAAAACTTGTAAAAGTTTAAGTTAATAAAGTATCTATCTATCTATCTATATTAAATGGGGAGCACTTTTAGAATCTGTCCGAAGTAAAATGCATGTGTTATAATCCTAATCCTAACACTCTAACCCTAACCAATAACAGTTACCCTAACTTACAAGAACCTTAACGGTAACCCTAGAAGTAATCTACATGATGTTTAGAGAAACATAAACTGATGTTTAGAGAAACATAAACTGAAAAATACTTTATGAAATAATTTTGTGTAAAATGTTAAAAAGAGCTGCGAACATATTCTAAAGTCTAGCACAAACTTCTCGTAAAAATATTACCATTTTTTGCCATGTCATAAAACCTCACTTGAGTCCCTTTTAAGAACAAAATAAAATTACAAAATACCTTGCATTGGTCGATGGTCCTTCTTGTATTTTAAGAAGCGTGTCGTTCTGCTTTTTATTCACTACCTGTAACAAACTATTTTATAGAGATGTCCGTTTAAATAGCTCGCTCAACAGTTAAATAAGAGTGTGTAATTGACACAATTGTGTTATCCTTCATATAACAGATGAATGTTTTAAATACTCAAGTTATACCTAAATTAATACGAGGTATAATTTTGTGACAATTTATGACAGAGTAATTAAGTTTATTTATATATGATCAATTATACATATTGCAAATGTCAACATATTTGAAAGCAATGTGAAAATGGATGGGTAAAAAAATAAATGCTATCAACAAAATAACCAGAAGAAGGAGAATGAAGAGATGAAAGCCATTAGCAATTTGTTCGCTGGAAATAAACGCAAGAAACAAAGCCCGTGTGAGTAAGATTGCTCTCTGTATATTCATTTACATATCAACTTATATAGTTGAACTGATGAAAATAAACCATAGATATCTACATTTCAAATAAAACAATATAAACTTGTAAAATAAATTATAAGCACCGGCATTCCGTTGTCATATAAATGTAGACATATTTGCAAAACGGCCATTTTTTTATATTTTAATAAATTATGGAATGGGGTGAAATGAATTTTGACTTTTAACATTTAACTAATAATTTATTTGATAAAGACAAACAATTGCACTCCGGCTTATATTCATATGACGAAAAGTAGTAACCTTTTAGTTCGATTTGATTGTCGTTATTCTAAATTATTTCATTAGGAGCTATGAATCAGAAAATCATTCACAAAAGTTACCTGTATTGTTTGTTCTTTTGCTCGTCTTCTTAAGATCGGTACTCCAATCAGACAAAAACTTTGTGCTGAAACAAGTTCTCGATTATAGTTAATAAATGCTCGTTCGTTAATATGATGATTACAGCCATAATAAGTAACTTTATTTATATCACTAATGGTATGAGTTTGAGTTTCAAACTATTCTATAATCTAACGTTGTCTTCAGTAACATGTATATGCCCCTATAATTTCCTTTACTTGAATCACCTTATACGAATAGTTTGACATCAGATACGACTCGTTAGATAATTCGTTAAAGCACGGATTTATATTACATAGGTTAGAATTAATGACAAATTACCTGCACATAGCATCCACGTTTGAAACAAAGGGTGATTAAAACTGTGTTCCTGGCTGTCGTAACCTTTTGCACTGTAACAATTTTTGATAATTTAAATATCAATTTCAAGGTGAAAATGTGACAATAAAAAAAAAACATCAATATTTTTTTTATGTGGATCGGTCTCTAATGGAAACATTTTCCATTATTATTTTAAATATTGATAAAACCAATGAATAATTTGGTTATTATAATAAAATGCTGCTTGAAACAGATTAAGTTCTTAGTGATTTAAGATTACCATTTATCTGATGAATAATACTAATGTGTTCTTGAACACTTCCCTATATTCTTTACAAATATACGTAATCTCACACTTGCCAACATTTTCATGTATAATTTATTCGTGACTCGTTATTACTTCTAAAACTAAATACTAAAAACGTACATTTGTATTTATTCATTGTAATACATACCTTCCATTATAGACCAATGCCCTTAAAATATTGGAAAATAAAAGCCTTAAAATTAACATTTCTCTCAAGTACTCCTATTAATCATGAAATTTAATTTTCCTCCCGGATATGTGTTTTGTTTTCTAACAGATTGTGTTGAAATGTGTTAAACTTACATGGTGTCGAATTGTGCCTTTTTACTCAATGTAGTGATACCACCTGCTATCAGCATGCAGACCATTAAAATAATCTGTTTCCACGTAAACGTTTCCATGTTGTCTCACACGAAATCACTAGTTTATGTACTGCAATCCTATACACTTCCCACCACTGTGACACAATTCTACTTGTATTATCTGGTATCACCTTTTGCAATTACAGAAAGAAGATATGTATCTATATAGTGCATTGTACGAAGCATAGATTAATTAATACAGCGATCAACAGGTAAAACGTAATCTAGACCTAGCTAACCATTTTAGAGTTAGAAACATTTCAAGATTGTTGGTTTTAAAGGATTTCTTTAAAATAATTCTGGCGGTTGTTGTTGTGTTTTTGTTTTGTTTTTTGTTATTTCGTTACTCTATTTAGGTCTGATTTGTTACTTTTGGGTCATATAATACATCCTCAATCAAACGTAGTTGCTATGTAATCATTATAAGGTAATTGTTACATTTCAGTTGTAGAAATATTTTAATTCTTTTCAACAGGAGATATTTTAGAAGCAAACTTTGTACACGTTATGTCAATATGTGTTTTTCAAGATAAACAATTACCAATACGCAATCCATGCAGGAGACATCATCTATATAAGTCTAGCTGCAGCTCATGTTGTATATTTACTCAAACTGTGGTCAGTTTTAAATAAGGTGGAATCATCTACATGCATTTCAATGTCTGAATTCGTAGCGACTGACATGTCAATTTACATATAAAAGAAGAAGTACAGGACCTAAATTTTAGATTTATTATTGTTTACTTATACAATTTGCGGTCCTGTTAATGAGATTTTATCAGAAAAAACAATATAAAGATTAAGATTTCGGTTAAATGTTTATTTAAGGTACTTGCAACATTCACATTTCCTTCAAATAGAACCAAATTATCGTTTAAAATGATCGGTAAAGACTGTTGCTGCTTATTCTCATTTGTTATGTCTTTATTAAATGTTGCCACATGTATTTACAATCTCTTGAATCTTTAACTGCATTTTAACAAAACATCTTCTTACTCTTTTTATTATAGGCTGGCAATTATTTCTCCATACTTTATAATTAATCCAGTCTTTTACCCTTTTATTGCGGGCCTCTTAAATTTCCTCAAAGTTCCATTCTGTGTGTAAAGTCCTTTTTATTCGATTTTTTTTATAAGCGAGTGCTTGTTAAATAATGTGTCAATCATGTTACATATATAAAACATCAAACGAGTTATTTGGTTCTGTAACTGGTTCAGTTATATCGATGATAATAATAATAATAATAATAATAAAATAGCATAGATACTGTACATGTATGTTGGGTAACGATAATATATGTATTAAAAGTTTATCCAAGAATTGCAGAAATATATCGATAAAAAGGTTAAACAGTAAAAGAAAGCTTACTTATGAACATTTTAAAACACATTTCCCTCAAAAACCTGAAAATACTTACTATTTGATATATTCACAACGTCTCTTTCATATAAACTTATATATTAAGGTCAGAGACTGTATATAACTGTACAATATTATAACACGGTATCTCTAACTTGCATCTTAGGATAACTTATCTCGTACAAAAAAGGCTACATTTCACCTATTTACCTTCAACTGAATAAAGAAATAAATATCTACCATAATAGTTAAATTAAGTGTCCAAAATTCAGTAAGTTGTATTTTTGACTGCGATTTTATTTGTGATCATTGCTGCATAAAATGATTGTAATATCAAAGCGAAAAACAGGTAGAAACTAAGCGCTTTATTTTTTTGGACAAATCTAGTATACCGATGCGATGTCAATGCAATCCTTACGAGGGTACGGTGCTTACCACGGCGTTCTGATTTTTTGGAAAGACCGTCCTGTTAATTGTGGAAGGGGTTTGACTGGCTATCAACATCTTCAAATAAATTAGTTCATCAAAATAGAAAGATAGGGAAGTCTTTGTGGGGACTATATGTATTCAAGAAAAACTTCAAATCTTCGTATGAGCGATACTAGGCCAAAATCAAACTCTTATTATGAGAGGAATAAAGAATAGCATAGGTTTTTCCCTCAACAATCTGTCAGCTATACAGTGTAGTGTGACGAGTTGTACCGGTACGCCAAACGCTGTACTCAACAATGATTTTTCTGGACTTTCAAGCCAGAGGCAATTTCATGATACGATGTACCCCATATATCACAATATACGGAGACCACAAAGACTTATCGAAGAACTATTCTCTTAATGTCCGATGCCAATCTCGTTAACTACATGTAACATTTTTAAATTGAACATGGTTACCTGGCCAGGCCTCAAAATAATGATCTATTGCTTACTTGATGGCAGCTATGGGATAAATGTACTTATACTAGTACTTTCTCGAGTACTGTGAATCCAGTACTCTTCTGTGCTCAGTCTTATCAGTAATTGTACACATACTTATAGACATACTTTTGAAAAAACACACCAGTATGCAGATGACCTAGCACAAGGTCTTGTTACGGTCAAAGAAATAATGAAAATGCCATTAAAAGGAAGGACATAGGAAAACAGGAACAACTAAACTTTTGAAATTATTTAACTGTCTTTTTAGTATAAAAATAATCTATTTCCAAGTGTCACATAATTCCAAATTACATCACATAAAATGAATAGAGTCACATTTAAGCAAAGTTAACATAAAATTCACATGGTGCAGGAATGCTAATATAAAACAATATTATATCACATAAATTTAAAGAAAATGCATTGCAGTAAACATATGTACATGTATGAAACCTTTAAGTACAAGTTAAACTGAGTATTAATAGTCTTCAAGTCATGAGAAATAAAAAAACTTGTACAAAAATACATTTAATACTTGTATATTTACATTTTAAAGATAATTTAAAAAAAGGTATGCTCATCCATTGATGTGTCTCCACAAAGGAAAGTAAAATACTGATAAATGATCAAAAAGTACAAAGTAAACTGTATAAAAATCATCAATGACATACTTTCCGGAATACATTCAATTCTAAGCCATTCATAAAGTCAACATTTAAATTTTCATGTATATACTCATGTTTTGGTATAAAAATCAAAATATTTAAATTATGAATTAAAACAATTTATTTGTCTTTTCTGTTGTCTTGTAGTCCTATAAAATGAAATACAATGTATGAGTATTTGATAAAAAAAATGAAAAACAAGGTCAGAAAATTTTAAAATCAGATAATCTAAATACAATAATTAATTTAATCAAATAATTAAAATAAAGTTGAAATAGAAATACTAAAATTAAAATAGTCACATCAGGCTCTTTAGTCAGATGTTTGTTAACTTGTCTTAATTGTTTTATAAAATAAAATCAACAGTATGAATAAGAGTGCTTAAAATACATCATGGACATATGATGCACTGGTATTACAAGGTTATTTGCACCATATATTTCAAAATATACACAGCATGTGATTGTAACCATTGTTTTATCACAAAACAATGCAGTACAGTACAATAATGGCAACAGGAATGAACAAAACAAAACTATACAACCTATTTGCATATCAAAATATTCATCAATGTAAATTACTTATGTGGTCCCATGTTCTCCTTAAAGCTACATGCCTCCAGATGAGTCAAAATGTTTCAATAAAATCAAACTTGAGAAAAATGTATTAAGATGAAAGAAGAAAAAAAGGTTTCAAGATTCAAGTAATATGTAACATATTATGTGCGATTAATGACTGATTTGTCAGTATTTACAACTATATTTCTTCTGCGTTACTATTGCAGTAAAGGCTATTTTTGCATATTTTGACATGTGGCTTGTAAGTGCCATTGATAATATGTAAATTGCTTCCTTTTGGTTACTTCACAATATTACCGTTCACATACATTTCCAAAATTTTCATGAAAATTATCATGAATCTTGAGGCGTGCTGCTTTTAGACTATAAGAAAACAATTATTAAAAATTTGCTTTTGTAAATGTGACTTTGTCAAAAATTGATAGTTATATGTTAGATTCTTTGACACAAAAATGTTACAAAAATGCATGTACTTTAAGACAGTGTAACCTTACATAAACTCAAAACATTTGTGTTACAATATCAATATTCCAAAGAAACAAACCATTGCAACAAATCTGATTACAAGTTTAAAATAAAACAATATTTTTAACAATACTAAAAAATTATAAAAGAAAATATCACAATAAAGATCGCTGTATTAACGTTTTAAAATTTTCGTCATAAACACCACTTCTTCATAGTTTTGTAAATTTTTTGTAAACAGAACAGCATTGAAATTTCAGTTTCCATTTATTACCAAGATTTATCAAATTTCTTTTATATTAATATCTACAAATAAGTGTTAAGGAAGTTTATATTCATCATTAAACAAGTCCTGAACTAAATCTATTTTTATTGCACATCATCATTTAATACATATAAAATCTGCCAAGCAACATACAATGACTATTTTCTAAAGTCAATAAAATTTGTACAATCCTTTAATTGTTTTATAACTTTTGTTATAATTTCTTTATTCAAACAAAACATCTAATTTTGCATTGCCAAAAGTTTGTCAAAAAAAATCCATTAAAAAAAGATTTGTTTTCATGTTGGACTACAAACTATTATACAACCTTTTTCAAAATATTATCTCAAATAAATTAATTTCATATCATTCATTTTAAAACATTATTTCAAACCAACGAATAAAAATAAAATTAGTTTGTGAAACGTTTCTAAATAACAGATACTCTCTCTAAAATTTCTACTCGATTTTCAAAGACTTATCTCTTTCCTAAAGACTTATCTCTTTCCTAAAGACTTATCTCTTTCCTAAAAACTTATCTCTTCCCTTTCAATAATTTTGTATTTTCATTGTCACTCTCGTCTTCACTGTAACTAACATCTTGTATATTGCCATGGTAACTAGAGTCATGTTGGACATCCTTCATTTCCTTGGACTGGAACGTACAGCATGGCACAAAATTTCTCAGGTCTATAAGTTGGTTATACATGGCAGTTCCGATCATAAGAAACAGAAAACCATCAACTGAAAAATTGCAAGACATTAACATATGAGCCACGTCATGACAAAACCAACATAATGGGCTTGCGACCAGCATTGATCCAGACCAGCCTGCGCATCCGTGCAGTCTGATCAGGATCCATGCTGTTCGCTTACAAACTCTATAACAAGTAGAACAAGCAATTATCATAGTATTGCAAGCAATCCATAAGTCCCCTACCGGTTAGAACCCCATCAACATTCTGAAGGGCCATTCACTAATGTTTCAATTTTTCTCTATTTTAAGTAAATTTGTTGGAAAAGTTCTTTAAAAGTATTCACAGGAAACAGTTTTTATGAACAGACAGACAGACGGACTGAAGGACACTCTAAAGTTAATATTTGAAACATCCCTGTTACCAAAATATAACATTTTAAAAGCAAAATTCTTAAAGAGGAGATAACTCTTGAATTAAAGATGCAATTTCATAAAAATTTTCAGCTCTTTTTGACTAAATCACAAATATTGTTATATTTGCCATGTTTTAAGCCTATTTGTTGCCAAGGCAACTGATATTTTTTCAAAATAGGAAAAACAGATAAGACATGCATAATCTCAAGACTGCCATCTACCCAAATGTCAAGTTTCATAAAAATATTTCCAGTACTTTTTGAGTTATCACTGGATTCAGTTTATGTGTAAAATTTGCCATATTTTCAGTCTATGTGTTGCCATAGCAACCAGAATTTTCAACATAGGAAGAAAAGAACAAGAGGGCCATGATGGCCCTAAGGTCGCTCACCTGTATGTAGGCCCCCGGAGCGGGGCCAGTTTAAACCCCAGGGCTTTTATTTGAACAAACTTGGAAGACACCTATAAGAAGACGTTTCATGATGTACACACTTATAATGAAAAACAATGATCTGCCCTCCCCTACCCCTGGCAGGGCCAATTTTAACCAAGGGCTTTTATTTGAACAAACTTGGTAGACACCCATAAGAAGATGTTTCATGCTAAACATCTAAGCTGTAGCTCATTGTGTTTTTTTAAAGAAGATTTTTTAAGTTTTTACTATACACATATAGTTAAAAACAATGACACCCCTGGGGCGGGGCCAGTTTTGACCCCAGGGCTTTTATTTGAACAAACTTTGTAGACACTTACTAGAACATGTTTCATGCTTAATATCTAAACTCTAGCTATTTGGGTTTTTTCAAAGATGTTTTTTAAGTTTTTCCTATACACATATAAGGAAAATCAATGACCCCCCTGGGGCAGGGCCAATTTTGACCCCAGGGTTTTTATTTGAACAAACTTTGTAGACACTCACTAGAAGATGTTTCATGCTTAATATCTTAACTCTAGCTATTAAGATTTTTTCAAAGAATACTTTTTAAGTTTTTGCTATACACATATATAAGGGAAATCAATGACCCCCGGGGCGGGGCCAATTTTGACCCCAGGGCTTTTATTTGAACAAACTTGGTAGACACCCATTAGAACATGTTTCATGCTAAATATCTTAGCTCTAGCTCCATGAGTTCTTTAAAAGAAGATTTTTAAATTTTTACTATATGCATATAGGGAAATCAATGACCCCCTGGGGCGGGGCCAATTTTGACCCCAGGGCTTTTATTTGAACAAACTTGGTAGACACTCATTAGAAGATGTTTCATGCTAAATATCTTAGCTCTAGCTCTTTGGGTTCTTTAAAAGAAGATTTTTTAAGTTTTTACTATATGCATATAGGGAAAATCAATGACCCACATGGGCGGGGCCAATTTTGACCCCAGGGCTTTTATTTGAACAATCTTGGTAGACACTCACTAGAAGATGTTTCATGCCATATATCTAAGCTCTAGCTCTTTGGGTTCTTTAAAAGGAGATTTTTTAAGTTTTTACTATATGCATATAGGGAAAATCAATGACCCCCTGGGGCGGGGCCAATTTTGACCCCAGGGCTTTTATTTGAACAAACTTGGTAGACACTCATTAGAAGATGTTTCATGCCAAATATCTAAGCTCTAGCTCTTAGGGTTGTTTAAAAGAAGATATTTAAAGATTTTTCTTTCTGTTGCCATGGCAACCAGAGTTCTGCATGGAATTAAATTCTTTGAACAATTTTTAAAGGTGACCACCAAAGGAACATTCCTGTGAAGTTTGGATGAAAATGACTTAGTGGTTTATGAGGAGATGTCATTTAAAGCAAAAGTTTACGGACGGACGACGGACGGACGCCGGACGAAAAGCAATCACAAAAGCTCACCCTGTCACTTTGTGACAGGTGAGCTAAAAAGACGTGCATAATCTCAAGACTGCAATCTACCCATATGTCAAGTTTCATAAAAATATTTTCAGTACTTTTCAAGTTATCGCGGGATCCAGTTTTGTGGACGGACGGACTTCCGGCCGAAATGGAATAAGGGGCCATTTCTTTTGTTATTTTCTATTGTTTAATAGAGGGCCAATTGCCCCTTACTCTATTGTTACGGAATGAACTCTATTGTTCTCTTTTGTTCTGTTTACAGTTAGATGGCCCCCTATCCTTATTCGGTAGTGCAGACGGACGGACAGACGGACGGACAGACCAACTTTTGATGTTTATGAGGCAAATCAGCTCATAAACACCACCTGGACCAACGTCCATAAGCAAAATAAGCTCATAAAAACAAAAAAATAGCTCTTAATTTGAATTTTATGAGTTTTTGTTCTTTATTTAACTACGGAATGAAGCTCATAATAATCAAATGTTTGCTCGGACAGACAGACGGACGGAGGGTAAACCTATAGTCCCCTCCGGTAAACCGGTAGAGGACTAAAAAGTCCAATTCAAGGGCAAATAACTTGAAAATGACAACAGTGACCCCAAATTTGTTCCGTTTGAAATGTTTCTGTTATCATATTCTAATAACATGCCAAGTTTAAAGAAATACTACTGAACAGTTTTAATTTTGCCTATATGTCTATATGAAAACTCCGGAAAATGTCTTTAATGTGACATCATTTGCATTACACAAACATAGTGTAAAGACTTGCTTTATGTTAGTGCTACACTTAAGGCCTGTCAATGAAAAATATTTTTTTTGCACTTTAAACAGTCTTTATTTTGGGTATGTGATAAATAGAATACTATATTCATGTAGGTCTATTACTGATTTTATTGAACTTACAAAAAAAATATCATGCTTGCCAGAGGCTCTAATAATATAATTTTATTTAACTTGTCCAATAAATTCAGTATTAAACCTACATACATTCGATATCCTCTAATTACCAAAACTGTATAAATAAAGTTTGTTTTGTATTTTCCATGTTTATCTTTGTATTTCATGTATTTGCCATGTCTGATTATTGAATCATCAGTTATTCCAAATTTGTACTAGCCCCGTATCAAACCATGCCAGCAACAATGTCATTTCTTTTATGTTTGGTGACCAAACAATTTGCTATTCTTAACAAAATATATGTAACTTGACACAAATTCAATGTGTGTAAAAAAACTTCTATGCCTGGGAATTTGAGTAAAGTATCATGTCATATAAAGATTACACAGAATTAAGAGCTTTTTAACTTCCTCTACTACAAGCCCAGTGTTTTCAATTTGGAACAGCCCATAAATACTAAGTCCTTTCAATATCAAAGTACTTAAACTAACCAGCCAACACTGTCATCTAGTAACACTAAACAGCAGTCCTGTGCAGACATGCAAAAGGTAATGATATTGAGTAAAGAAAGCTTGCAACTTACTTTGCAGTATTCCAAATGTGGAGTCAAACGGTTCTCCAAAGTTCTGTAACAGAATTTTTTCAAATTTATTATACTCAATTTATTTTCAACGATAACATAATTCTTTTACAATTAAAATGTTTTATTTCTGTGAGTTTAGATATTGAAAGGGAGAGCACTGAGTATGATGAAATGATCAGTAGAATTGACATGCAATATGGACAGGTATATCTGACATATTTCATATGGGATGAAAAGAGATTTTGTTCATTTGTTTGCTTCCTTGATCTTTATGAAAGATAGAAATCTTAACCACTTGATCAAGATAGATTTTTATTAAATAATCGGATGCCAACTGAATGATATTTCAAAAACCAACTCTATATAACTAATTTATCAAATTAAAATGTTTTAATTGTAAAATTTACACAATTATAGTCACATGGTAAATTCACATTTTCAAAAGAATCTACAATTAAATAGAGCTATTGTTCTTCCACTGGCTTTTGCTTCATGAGGTTAATATCAGCTGTCAAATTATTATGACTATAGCATTCATGGCATGACAAAACAGGACATATTGTTAAGATAAAAATACCTTATCAAAAGCATAGTATATAATGAGATCCACTCCCCACACCATCATAGTTCTACATGCATCTATCAATGTCCGATGTACAGCTGTAGACACAAAGTGTACATGTATAGTAGAAAAAAGATAAGTCACAAAACAAAGAAAAGACAAAAAAAGAAAATGTGAAAATTATTATGAAAAAGAAAGAAAATTGTAAAAGCATTATGAAAATACATGAAAATCAAGATTTAAATAAAACAGATATTTTACAAGTTGTTAAGTTGTGTTAAGATAACACTGTCTAAAATTTATATTATTTATAGCCTTTACTTTTGCATTGATTCTGACAAGTTTTATAGAAGAAGAAGAAGAATGATTTTATTTTCAACTTGTACACAACATAATTATGGTACATCATTGTACAATATACATTTACAAAATACATGACATATGGTCACTATGATTGACAATGTTAACATTCTGTATCAGCAATCAATAATGTTTAAGTAAAGTTTATATCTATTAAAGACTAAATAAGTATGTGCATGTTCTTAAGACATTACCTTAGAAAATATATACTTAAGTATTCATCTTAGAAAAAGAAAAATCAAATTTGAATATAAACTTAAGTAAAGTGAACAAATACTTCTATCAATTGAACAATCATACATGTTTGAATAAAATTAACACCTGTTCTAGAAGTAATTTTTTTTTTAAACTGATTACCTCAAATATTATTCTTTAGCAGTAAAGAAAAACAATTTATAAAAAGTACTATTGGAGAACGAATGGAAGATCATATAGTCGTTGATAATATAGACATGTCCTCAGCATCTGTTTCAATCAATAGTTATACATGTTTAAGTAGAGTAGACATTATGCATGTGTATGCCATAAAAATATGACTTTTGGTGTTTATTGAGAAAAAGACAACAATCTATAGGAAAGTACTATTGGAGCATCAACCACAGAAATATGTTTAATAAGTTGATGAGTTTAAAATTAAACTGCATTATAACTGTATTGTATAAAGCAGCTCTTTGCGAATATGACTCGCTTGGTAAATATATTTCGCCAGGTTTCTGTTGATAACTTTATTTTTAGCAGATACTAATAGTACGAATTTGTGCATATTTGGGCGCCTGTAAAAATATTGTTTAATGTATTTATGATGCAAGGTTTCATAGGCTTTGCAAATTATAGTGAAGTGGTATTCATCCTCAATTTCTTGAGAATCACAAAGCTGACAAACTCGCTCGGATCGTACTATGCAATTTCGACCGTGCCTACCAGTTTCAATGCCCAGCCTATGTGCCGATACGCGTATTCTTGTCAAAGACTGACGTAAATACTTAGAGCTTATTATGTTAAGATAGTCACTTGTGACGACTTATCTTTAAGGTATACATATAAAGTTTTCAGAACATTATTTGCTTGCAAATCAGCTCGCCAGCTCTGTACGTAACAGTCAAATAGTCGTTGTCTAAATAAAGGTTGGAAGACTTTGGCATCTACGTTATCTTGATTTTCCCAAACGTCAGAAAACCCATACTGATTGAGTAATATCTTGACTCTGCCGGCCCAACTTACTGTATTACTATTTAGGCATCTTTTCAACGATTCATCATATACGCGTTTAATTATAATGTTATCCGTCGTTAGAATTTGTAACCAATACTTAACTAGAGGATGCTTTTGTAAAAAAGCGCATGTCTCCCCCACTGCTGAGAATAACTGTGAATGGAAACAGGAATAGAAATGGAGATAAGATAATGTAAATACCCGGTAGTCACTTCAATGAAGGCTGTCTATGGATGGTTTCTATTGTTAAGGTTGTATGAGAAGATGCTTCCTAAACTGTTTGTTTTTAACCAGGTATTCAATTTTGAAAATCCTGGTTATTCAATCAGCGTATGGCAGGCGGGCGTCAAACGAAATTGCACTTGATGGTCATATCATATATAGTTTCACAAATGAAATTAAATGAAATTGTGTCTGCTCCATAATTCTTCAAACCTTTAAAGGATTTTGATGATACTTGAAACAAACGTTCATATTGTCAGATTTTTTTACACTATTGAAATGAGAAATTGACCAACGGTCACTGTGACCTTGACCTTTGAACTACTGACCCCAAAAACAATAGGGATCATCTGCTCAATAAGACCAATCATCCTATGAAGTTTGAGGTCTGTAGGTCTAAAGGAACTCTAGTTATCATCCGGAAACGAGAAATTGACCAACGGTCAGTGTGACCTTGACCTTTGACCTACTGACCCCAAAAACAATAGGGATCATCAGCTCTATAAGACCAATCATCCTATGAAGTTTGAGGGCTGTAGGTCAAAAGGAACTCTAGTTATCATCCGGAAACGAGAAATTGACCAACGGTCACTGTGACCTTGACCTTTGAACTACTGACCCCAAAAACAATAGGGATCATCTGCTCAATAAGACCATTCATCCTATGAAGTTTGAGAGCTGTAGGTCAAAAGGAACTCTAGTTATCGTCCGGAAACGAAGAATGGACGGACGGACTGACGGACGGACGGACTGACGGACAGGGCAAAAACAATATGTCTCCCCCCGAGGTGGGGGAGACATAATTATCTGATATTATCTTGTAATATGCAGCAGATACCGCGCTAGTTCCCCATATACGGCTGCATTACTAGTAATTTGTTTGACTCCCAAGATTGACTTGCAAAACCTCAAGTGCCTGTGTTCTATTTCCTTTGTTTTTGAGAAACCCCAAATCGGACAGGCATAGTTTAGGATCGAACCGACAAATGCATCAAAAAGTTTCATAGATAACGATGGTTTTAATTCATATTTATTGATATTGGTTAAAAGTATGTTTGAAGCTTTAAGCGCCTTTCCAATAACGTACTGATTATGCAAAACGAATGAGCCGGTATAATTAAACACGACCCCCAAGTAATTAAAATCATTTACTACCTCAAGAGGTTGGTTGTTATAATACCAGTGCTCTTCTTGCTTAACAGGACCCCTTTTACGGAACACTACAACTTTGGTTTTTCTATATTAACTTGAAGTCCCCAGTAATTGCAATAATCATATAATTTGTTTAAACTAGTCTGTAAGTCCTGCACAGAATTACCAATTAAAACCATATCGTCTGCAAACATTAGTAATATTACACAAATATCATACATTGTTAAACCAGACGTGTTCGTATCTTGCAAAAATAGTTCTAAATCCTCTAGAAATAACGCGAACAATGCAGGAGAATTATTAAGACCTTGTCTTATACAGATTGATATTTCGAAGAAGTCTGAGTATTTATTACAACATTTAACGCACGATTTTACTACAGCATACATTGCCCTAAATGTTTGCAGAATTTTGCCATCGATGCCCATATTGAAAAGTTTGAACCACAGTGCATTGCGGTAGACAGAGTCGAAAGCTTTCTGCAGATCAATGAATGCGCAGGGCAGTCTCAACTTTTGTGATAAAACGTGTTCTATTAAGTTATGTAATACAAAGGCCGCATCAACCGTATTCCTACCCTTTCTAAAACCAAACTGAGCATCTGAAACAAAATTGTTTTTTCGAACCATTTTTCAACTCTACCTGTCAGTATACTTGTATATAATTTTCAGAGATTGCTTAATAAAGTGATCCCATGATAATTATATGGCAAATTTTTATCCCCCTTTTCAAAGATAGGCACTATAAATCCTTGAGACCAGGATTCTGGGAATTGTCCAGAATTTAACACTTTGTTGAATAAATCAGTAATATGGCTACCAAGTATATCAATTGTTTCTATTAAATATTCGTTAATTAAGTGATCTCTAGGACACGATGATTTGTTGCGCTTAAGACTTTTTACTGCTGTGATAACCTCTTGTAGCGATATAGGGCAATTAAGTTCACTGAATGTTGAATCATTCACATTAAAATCAGACGTTTCATTGAAAGTTTCAACATTATCAATGGAAGTTGTCCTAATATCACTAAATATTTCAGAGAAATATGTCTTAAACTCATCCGGCGATATATTACCATTTGAATTATTATATTTTGCCTTAAAATGTTTCCAGAAGTCACGAGGCTTTTTATTTTTTAGATCGGTCAATTCCCTTGATTTCTTATCTTATGTGCACGTTTCTTTTTGCGTGAAATATATTTGAAACGCTTCCTTGTGACGCACAACTGCACTCTTTCATAATCAGACTTGCAGTTATTAAATAAAACTAGTGTGTTTTTATATTCAGTTTCAAGCATTAAACATTCATCATCGAACCATCTTATAGAAAAGAAATTTTAAGAAATGTAAAAAAGACTAAATTATTTACATGTTATGTGTGATTACAAACTGATTTTGCAGTATTTATCACCATATTTCTACTGTGTTACAAACACAGTAAGGGCTATTTTTTGCTTTCCTTGACCTCATTTTGTTTATTTAAGTGGATTGCAAGTACATTTTTGTATTGTTTAGCAATGTGTAAATAATTTTCATTGTTCATGTCACAATTTTGTTCATGTCACTATATTTTACATTTAAATACATTTTGTTTTAAGTTTTTATGAACATTAGCATGGATCTGGAGACATGCCGATTTAAGGGTTAACAAATACAATACCTGTTAATGATCTTGTAACAGCTAGCCCAAAATAATTATAAAATGCAATAGATCCTAGATAGAGGAGACAGAACACAAGAAGTCTTGGACTGTTGTATATCTGATACAAGGCATCCACACTGTTCTCATAACTATCACCAGCGCCATCTTTTGGTATAAAATACATAGCAGGTAGCACTGCTTGTAGACATTGAAGCATGATTTTTTTTATTTTTATCTACTAAAATGTAAGAGAGTTATATGCCAAAAGGCAGTTTAAAAACTAGATAAAACACATCAACATCAAAACATACTGATTAAAAGGTGTTACATTAAACCTAAATTTTCTAAAAGTTTTAGAATGGTATTCAAGTACTCTGTGAGAATTCTATTCTCTTTTTGTACACATAATTGACTATTTCTAGTATAGAATCACTTGAAATCTCAGCAATAGATGTTGATTTGTATAAGACATATTTACATTACCAGATCTTCACAGAAAAAAACATATGATATACCCTTAGATCTAAAACGGATCAACATCCCTCTTTTACCTAGCTCTCTCTTAACTAAGGTATTTGGGTGAGTGAGTAAATCAAGTAAAACTTTTCATTTGTTCTACATATTTAAGTAAATGAAATTATCTATTCCTTAAAAACCTTTGTTTATAAAGAAATTATTTTAGTTCAATTGTTTAGGAAGCTATAAGCTTATAGACACACTTTCCACTCCATTCCTGGAACCAACCTGTACTGAGCAATGAGTGTAAAGTTTCATGCTCAAGGAAACAACAACTTGCCCCTGATGGGATTTGAACCCATGCAGCTAGCAATCATAAGATTACTAGTCCGACATATCTCTAAATCTGTAATGTAAGGAAGCGTTCAAGGAAAGTATTCAAGGAAAGTACAGGAAGCCTATGAAAGGTTTGTGACTCAAAGGTCTTCCTCAAAAGTTGCCATATTACCTGGATATTTTCACTCTGAAATGAAACCCCACCCCAAAGCAGGCACACAGTTAGTTTTAGTTATATTAATACCCATTGTTTTAGTTATATTAATACCCATCTGAACTCCGAGTCATGTAAGATAATATAATAAGGATTTATTCATAATATATTATACTCAAATTTACAAAACAAAATTAACTTACAAATGACATGAGAAGAAATCCGTAAGTACCCTCTAGCCCAACAACCTATAACACAATGAAAAACAAGCAATTATCATAGTATTGCAAGCAATCCATAAGTCCCCTACCGATTAGAACCCAATCAACATTCTGAAGGGCCATTGGCCATTCACTAATGTTTCAATTTTCTCTATTTTAAGTAAACTTGTTGGAAAAGTTCTTTAAAAGTGATCACAGGAAACAGTTTTTATGAACAGACAGACAGACGGACTGAAGGACACTCTAAAGTTAATATTTGAAACATCCCTGTTACCAAAATATAACATTTTAAAAGCAAAATTCTTAAAGAGGAGATAACTCTTGAATTAAAGATGCAATTTCATAAAAATTTTCAGCTCTTTTTGACTAATCACAAATATTGTTATATTTGCCATGTTTTAAGCCTATTTGTTGCCAAGGCAACTGATATTTTTTCAAAATAGGAAGAACAGATAAGACATGCATAATCTCAAGACTGCTATCTACCCATATGTTAAGTTTCATAAAAATATTTCCAGTACTTTTTGAGTTATCACTGGATTCAGTTTATGTGTAAAATTTGCCATATTTTCAGTCTATGTGTTGCCATAGCAACCAGAATTCTCAACATAGGAAGAAAATAAAAAGACTTGCATAATCTCAAGACTGCCATCTACCCATAATTATGTCAAGTTTCATAAAAATATTTCCAGTACTTTTTGCTTTATCACTGGATCCAGTTTATGTGTAAAATTTGCCATAATTTCAGCCTATGTGTTGCCATAGCAACCAGAATTCTCAACATAGGAAGAAAATAAAAAGACGTGCATAAATTCAAGACTGCCATCTACCCATATGTCAAGTTTCATAAAAATATTTCCAGTACTTTTTGCTTTATCACTGGATCCAGTTTATGTGTAAAATTTGCCATATTTTCAGCCTATTTGTTGCCAAAGCAACCAGAATTTTCAACATAGGAAGAAAAGAAAAAGACGTGCATAATCCCAAGACTGCCATCTACCCATATGTCAAGTTTCATAAAAATATTTCCAGTACTTTTTGCGTTATCACTGGATCCAGTTTATGTGTAAAATTTGCCATATTTTCAGCCTATTTGTTGCCATAGCAACCAGAATTTTCAACAAAGGAAGAAAAGAAAAAGACGTGCATAATCTCCATACTGCCATCTATCCATATACCAAGTTTCATAAAAATATTTTCAGTATATTTCAAGTTATCGCGGGATCCAGTTTTGTGGACGGACGGACTGACAGACGGACAGACAGACGGACAGACAGACGGAAGTTCTCACAGGACAGTAATTATGTGGCTACTCTATTGTTCTCTCTATTGTTCTTTTTAGCCACGCAAAAGAAAATAGCCACATATAAGCATTACGGAATGAATGACATCAAAGAGAACCTATTGTCCCTCTAGCCACATAATTACTCTCCTGTGAGTGCGGACGGACGGACGGACGGACGGAGGGTAAACCTAAAGTCCCCTCCGGTAAACCGGTAGGGGACTAATAATAAACTACTGTCAAAAAGTGTAATGTCAAACTCTACCATTTATTCTAACACTATCGGAAATTTTTCTATAGAAACAAAGAAGGCCCGAAGCGTGCATTATTCTACAACAATGCACTCGCCGTTCTTATTATCTCCCTGTGTATTTTCACATTGAGGGCGCCATTTTGTTTGAAAAATCTGATAAATAAAAACAATTTTTTGTCAAATTTTGTTGTGAAAACTATCTAGAATGAAAGAAAATGGTCTAACTAAGAAAATGAATCCGAACACCAATATCTTTAATTCAGTCCTTAACGCTGTACAGACTTTTAAAGTGTTGTTTACGTGACGTCACAATGTAGCGCCAAACAGCACGTGTAAAACAATCAAAATCAAGTACGCTATTTTAATGTCGCAGACGAGTTAAGTTTTACATTTATTTCACTTTTAATAATTTGTATTTCGCTTGGAAAATTATAGACTGAAATAAATTAAACAAACAAAGTTTTATCAACGTTTTCAAAATTCGTTATTCTCAAAATGTTTCTACACACGGTAGATTTAACGACTGTTTTTTTTAACCCACTGGAACGGCCTTTAAAGAACGTTTCTAATGGAAACTCTGAGGCGAAAACAAATTTAACCACCAAACATAAAGTCCAACTTTATAATAATAATTATATTTTTTCTTGACGTGTTAGAATGGAAATAGATATTAATTCTTTGTGCATAATTGTATAATAATGCACGTTTTTCGTTCAAATGCTTTGTAATTAATCACTCAGGCCTATCAGCCTTCGTGATTATATTACTACGCATTTGAACTCAAACCGTGCATTATTCTACAACAATGCACTCAGAATTGATATCTATTTCCTAAATATAAATTAAGGTAAGAAATCACTTATGAAATATTGCACACTACTGCTTAAAAGAATGGACATTCTAGATAATAAAACAGATATATGCTAGTCCCCACTGGTAACCTCTGTCAAAAACAAATACTGCTGCAATTCGAACATAGGCTAATTTGCATATATAACACCACCTATATCCATTGCAGATTGACTTAGATGTAACTGTCATAAATTATTGAAAAAGAGTTTGATGGCCGTGTCCTTTAAATGCATGATGCAAAAGTTGAAAATGTAACATGTTAACAAAGTTTTAAGTTCTTGTCTATTATTACAATATTCTGGAAAAATTTTAGTACCATAGAACTAGTGAGGACCATCCTAAATTTTAAAACAATCATATCATGGCCTTTTGACATATAAACTTCATTATTAAAGAAAGGAGAAAAGACATACATGTAAAGGATGAAGATTCCTCTTCTTCAGAAATACTTCTTCTATCACCATTTGACTGGCACTCACTATCTGACTACCCATTATCAGTAAAATACCTGCCCGAATTAAACAAAATACATTTTATATACCATAGTGTGAAGAACCAATATTTGAATCACTTTCTACTTCTTCTTTTGGACATAAAAGGGCTTTATATGCATTATCTCAGAGTAAAACAAAATTTGATATGAAAATATAATATCAAGTATAAGTATATATCACTGTATGAAATACAAATATAGGATAAAGAATGAGTGTAGATTTAATACTACTTTTGGAGTTAAATAAAATCATATTCAATGTATTCAATAAATTGTATTGAAAATACACAAATATAATATTCTATTTATCACAGGTCTAAAATAAGAACAGTATACATCTGAAAGAGTCATTCTTCATTGAAGCACCTACATATATAGTGTAACGTTAACATTATCAAGTTTTAATGCTATGTTTGTATATGACCTGTATTAACAGTAGTGTAATATTGTTTTTTATAAAATGGCTTTATTACATTCCTGCCCTGTGGCTTATGTGATAATGATATATAGCAAAACCTTACAAGTAAATATAAAATCAAATACATGCATAACACAATGTAATATGCACATTATGATCATACAATTATAGCATAAAATGCCATTATTGCATAATTATGTCATTGAGAGTCATTTCTTTGAGTGTCAGTAAAACACACGGTGACATACATTTGTGACATGACTGTAAGTAAAGCATAACTTGACAGGGCATTTTCTGTCAAAATTGTGAAGAAGCCTGGGCCTGTTCATTTTTGTGAAAAAAGGGCAATATGTCATAAAACATGACATATTATATTTTGCGACGTTTTGAAACCGGAAATGATTGATAATTATTTCTGACCTGTGTAAAATCTGCTTCAAGTTGCTACATTAACCTGGTTGACATGCGTAAAAACCTTTTAATTTGATAAAAACTAATAATGTGTTATTGCAATTGACGTAAATCAAGTTTTACCGGAGGGGTAAACAATGTATTTGTGAAATCCCAATATTTTGTGAAATCTCTTTTGAAATTGTGAGTTTTTTTTTCTGCCGCTTTGTGAAAAAAAGGTGCAATTTTTAATTGAGAAGGGGCCTTATATCGGCCCTTGTTATAGAAGGAAAAAATTCCCTGCTTGACATGCTGTCATTGCCCCTATAACACCTTATAAAGGTATGGCAGACTTTTCACATGCAATTATGATAAAAGATATAGCAAAAAAAATAATCAATTATATCATTAGATATAATAAAAGAACAATTCAACACAAATTAAATTATTTCATGAAGCTGTGTTGATTTGAAGGATTTAAATCATACCTAGCAGTGCCTTGCTATTGTTGGTTTTATGACTTTGTGACTTAAAAACACTGGAACATCCTACCAATACGAGACCAATCATCACAATCAGCATACCTAGCCAATGACTGAGCTTTAATTTCCTCTTCAGAAATATTTTCTGCAATGATTTCAATGAAAATGTAAATTTAGCATAACATGAAAATATGCATTTAGCTTGATATACAGAACAAGGCATATAGCCAAATGTAATTCAATGCAAACTATACACTGGTGGGAATATGTTAATTGTCCTAATTTTAGGATTGATACTTGACCCAAGGGACCTACATGTATATTTCCACCCAAAAGTAAGATGACCATCAAAAGTGACAATTATAAAATTGCAAAGAATTATAGCAAAATGTAAACTTATTTTGATTTTCAGCTGTTCACTCACTTTATAAATACCCTTGAATGGTCATAATGTCACTTCAAAAATTACAATTATTACCAGTAACACTCCAGTAATGTAAAGAATGATTAATGATTTTTATAATTGCATTGTATTTAATAAACATATTTTAAAGCACATTTTTATAGTTCTCATTAGCTACCCCTTTTTTGAAAAAAGGCACACCCTGGTGTTAAACAGAAACAATACAGTAGCTAGATGTCATACAACAATTACAAATAAATACTATACATACAGAAAGAATTCCAGCAAATATGATAATAGATCCCCTCAACATCTGCCACACTGAAGCATCAACATATAACAAACCAATACCTACAATATAAACAACATTAACTAAATAATAAAGCCCTAAATGTACTTGATTTGTATAATGGATTTGCCCTGCCGTGAATTTGGAAGAGTCCATTCAAAGATTAGGGGCTGTTATTATGACAATACAAAAATTGAGCCAGCACCAGAATAGTGCCAAGAATGTATTACTGCACAGGTGGCTCTGTACTGGTAGCAAAGGCAAATCACTTCGGATTCCAGCATATTTATGGATAATAAAAGACTACTGCCACAAGTATACAGTCAGACAAGATTGCATTTACAAGCAGACCCTTCACTGAAGGCTACTGAATGTTTGCTATATTTAAATCACTCTTACTCCAAAAAAGTAAAAAAAAGCGGCTTAATGAGTGTTATATGCAGATAATTGTTACAACATATATACATAGTCTAATAAATTAACCTACATGTATACATGTATATAAAAAAAAAAATAATATTGTACCAGAAAGAATAGTCCTATGATGATACTTTTTAGTGATAATGGTACAAATAATTATGTGTACTCGATATTTCTAAGTTTTAACACTTAGCTTGTCTATTCTCATATAGTAAAACAAGAGCCTGGATAATGTAGAATTTTCTAAGTTCAAAAAGGGCAATAATTCTGTCAAAATCAATGTTAGAGTTGTGAGTTTCAACCCATTCCCTTTAGTAGTTTTGAAAATATCAACCAGCACACCAAAACCTCTTCTAATTCTTTTAATATTTTTTCTACAAATTGTTCTTATTCTTCTTTTGATTGATAACAAATGAGCTGCATCACGACAAAACCAACATAATGGGTTTTTGACCAGCATGGATCCAGACCAGCCTGCGCATCCGCGCAGTCTGATCAGGATCCATGCTGTTTGCTATCAGTTTCTTTACTTGTTATAGGGTCTGTAAGCGAACAGCTTGGATCCTGATCAGCCTGTGCGGATGCGCAGGCTGGTCTGGATCCATGCTGGTCACAAATGCACTATGTCGGTTTTGTCGTGACTTGGCTCAAATCAGCTTAATTGTTTTTGCTCATTAAAGTTTTCTACTAAAAGTAAGACATGAAAAAGGTAAAACCACCTTTTCAAACACTGAATCTTCTATACAATTAAATTTCCAAAATAATATTGAGAGCATGAAGTCATTGAATAAAGTACATGTAGAATTACATAAACTTACCAGCTAGTGAAGTTCCTACAAGATCACAACAAGTTGGTACAATGACTACCCATTGTAATATCCTGCAAAATACTTAAATATTTAGAATACCGAGTAAAAACCTTTGTATTTTGCATAAAAGATTTCTCCTTCACTGTCCAGTATTAAACACATGTATTATTATTATTATTATTCATACAGCCTATTGTACAGAAAGGAGCAGTATTGCAGAATAGAACCTGGTCAGATGGCGGTGGTTTTTTGTAGTTTACCCTGCAGATCATGGCAGTAAGCCACTTTGAATTCACCCAGACTGTTTCAGCTGCTGCATTTTGTTTCCAGGGGCAAGCTGTCAAGCAGTTTACAAGTACAAGATTGCCTTCATTATTACTGCTATAACTTTGTAGATTGCCAAAGCAGAGGTACAGTGTGAATGACCATATAAAAGGTTTTCATAATCAGTCACAATTAAGGCTCCCACGTTTACAAATATTTTTGTAAACGTTTACACAATTTGTTAAGAACCGAAACGATACCATTTAAACGGTGGTTCTTCTAGTGTACTATACTACACCATTGTATTCGAGTCGCCAAATGATGACTTACTTTCTATTTTTAATACATGTACAAGTACATGTACATTGTACAAATGAATAATGTTCAGGGCTCATCATGATTGAGTCGGCACACATTTTTAGCAGTGAATCCCCATTTCTCTCTTTTGAAAAATCAAAGGAAAATCAACTTTACCAAAAATGTATTATGTCATGAGCGATTATTGCACAGGTAATGCTGTTTGGAGGGTTGTAAACACCCATTTTCTGTGTTTTACTTTGGAATAAATCAATTAGAATTGGTAAAATCCATGATTACAGGCAATGATTAAGATATTTTGTAAGACAATATGGTCATTTCAATTAAACTGTAAAAAATATCATAAACGTTTACGAATGAAAATCGAAACGAATCCGTTTAAATGTGTAACTGTGTGGGCCTTAGTCACAATGCAAATGACCTGTACTGTCTGATGCTCTACCAATTGAGGTTATCGATCAGATCGTTGCATTTTGACAGACTGTACAGACTGTACAGCTAGAAAAGTGTCATTTGACTAGAAAAAAAAAGAGTAATATACTTCATAACAAATAATACACAATGAAGCTAGATTAAAATCAATGTCTTTATGTAATATTTAGGCATGATTATATGATAAATAAATGCAAACAAATAAATACAAATGTACATGTACTTAAAATCTTTTAAAAAATAAAGAAAAGCATACTTTGCATGAACAGGAGGCCCAACTTCAATATGTGGCTGAACCATCAAAGCATCGTTCTCTGTCACCTAGGAATGTTAATGGAGTACTTCAATAACAGAATAAAATTATGAACAATTTCCTGAAAGCTTAAACAACTGGGTAACTTAATCTTTGCAACTGGTTTTATCTGTTATGTTATTCAGCTATAAAAATGATAAAATTTACATTTCACTTATTTTCAATATACATGTAAGGTATTTAAAAATCTGTGTAAACTTTACCCTTTCCCCCATGAGCATATTGTGAAAAATGGCCGTTTTCACTGAAAAGCCTCCTGTTACAAGTTCAAACAGCTATGAAACTATGAAAAATGCTTCAATTCTAATCAAACTTGGCACAAATGTTGACTGGACCATTGCCTTTGTAACGACATGCTCAGTCTTAAATTTCCTGTTACCATGGCAACGAGGGGCATCTCAAAATTGCCAAAAATCACTATTTTGCCTCGATTTTTTCCATCAAAATTTATTCAAAGTGCTGCAACTTCTCAAGGGATTGAGATAGAGTCAAAGGCTTTTTAGCGTTGGTTAAACGTTACATTATGATCAATCTGGGGTCATTTTTAGCCTCTCACAAGTCCAAAATTTTCTTGGCGATGAGGGGGACACCGCCCCCCTTCAAACCCCCCTAACAGAAGGGGGCACATCCCCCTTCTGGCAACCCCCTGATGTATCTTTTGGATGGGGGCGGGCGCCGAAAAAGTGCTCAATTTTTTTAGCAACATTTCTCAAACGAAACTTATGTTTGGGGCCCAAATAGGACATTTTTTCACTGTTTGAGACCTTAAAAAAGGGGGGGGGTCGAAAGTGCGTTGTTTCGCGTATATATGTGGTAAATGGTTAATAGCTTTAACATGTATATAATCAGTAAATACCATTGCATGCCTTAAAATATAGAAATCTGCATCAATATGTCAAACTACTTCAAACAAATATCCATTAACTTCATAATTTTATTATATTTTTTGTAATCATTACTTGTTTCCTGTATTCCTTCAATTCTCTTCTTCTGTGTAAACACAGTCCTATCAAGCACAGTGTTTCTCCTAGAATAAAAATGCAATAGATAAATTTGTGTAATCATAAGTTACATAAGAAATTAAACTAAAAGTTACAAAATTTTTTATGCTAATTCATTATTATATCAACTATATAATCCAAGAAAAAAAAACATTGAAAAACAACACTTGTAAGACTACATATCACCTTTAGCATAAGAATGTGATAATATTACAGAATGAATGCCTCTGACTCTCTTAGCAGTTGCTTGCAGCAACATATCTTACCCATGCGACCAGTGCAGACCAACATCAGCTTGCACGTGACACCCATGCCATCTGAACATAGTCTGCACTGTTGCCTATTTTGAAATTTTTCCTAATTAAGGATGAGTTGCCATGTCCAGATTGAAAGATCAACAAAAATATTTAAGACACTAAGTGATACAAGAAATGGTTAATTTAATGGTACAATTAAAAATTATGTTTTTTTGTGATATAAGCTGTGCAAGTAAGCCTATAAAAATCACTCTTAGTGTGGCTTTCTAGACTAACCAGTACTTTATGTCTAATACTATGTAAAATAATAAAGATTAACAATAAGTGGGGTTTGAAATTTAGAATCCTGTATCAGGAGCCAGAGACTTAATTGTTATCAAACAGAGTTAGTTTTTGTCAAATCATCAATGAATGAGTTTGCTGAAAATGACAATGTGTTGATATTTTTTTTCCTAAAAGGGTACTACAGTTACTGAATTTGAATCAAGAAATTTTTCTGTTTGTCTATATACACCAGCTTTCAATAAAATTTTCAAACTTTAAAGTGTCAGAAAATATAAAGTAAAATCTGACAATCCAAATTTTGCAAAATCAGCATTTCAAAATAATTGTCAATGTTAAATATTTGAGAATTTCTACTTTCTGTCAGTAAAAAAAATACTTAAATGTTTAATTAACATTTTGTTTTCTCAAAAAAATTTAGTTAGGAAGTTAAGCAACTTGAATACCAAGCAAATACTTCTGATTTTACAGTAGAGGGTAAAAAATTGTTACTTAACTTACTAACTGGACAGTCATGGTTTCATGATAAGTGTTATAACACAATTTCTAAAAGACAATGATTCATTCGGTCAATGATATAACTCGATAAGAAATTCTAAGATACTGCTTTTAATCAAATTTAAACTGAATTTTAACGATACCTTACAATACTGTGATCCAAATTAAAGACAAATCTCTGGACAATAGTCAAATCAAAAGCAAACACTCTCTGAAAATGGCTCCACATAACGCATGGTTCAAAACATCAAAATATACACAACACATGATTTGTGAAAATAATGAAAAAATATTTACCTATAAACATTATCCATGTCTGAAACCAAGGATGATCGAAACTGTGTTTGTCAGATTTATAACCTTCCGCTCTGTGTTAATAAAAATAGATAATTTAAGATAAATGTTTTAATAATAGATCATTTGTTTTAATAAAAAGCCATTTGAATGAAAATAGACATCATTTAATTGACTTAAGGGCAGGGTCAAGTTTAACCATTAGGTTGCATTTTTTTTATTATCGTCGGGTCATGTGTTTTGACGCTCATCTATTTTGACGCCATTTTTTTTTTGACCTAGCAAATGACGAAAACGACCTTGTATGACGTCATAATTTGCTGACTGCACTGCAAGCATATATTTACAACGTATAACTAAAACATGTTAAAAGATAGAGACATTTCACTGAAAAGACTACACCTTTATCATATGTACTGTAGTTTTTCATCTTTTTACTAATGCAAATTCAATCGATGTTTATGCAAGCCATAATTTTGCAAATATAGCCTTTGAAAAATCTTGACCTGCACTTTTCTGTTTCTATCCTCCATTTTAAAATGTCTAATGAGTGTCATGTGACCAAAACTTTGCAAAGTGTCCTTAATATTCACTGTAGCATAAGGTGTACAGCTTATATTGTTTGAAAACGTTAATTGGTTTTTAATTGATACTGAGTAAAATTCATAATGAGTTAATAATTGTATATAAAGTTTAAAAAAGAAATTAAAAAAATCATTTTTCAAATCAACATATACACATCTTTACAACACCATTCATTTTAGATATATTTTTCAGTCCTTTAAGCCAAATACAGATGCTATTCATCAAGATTAATGTTAAATACATTAAAGGTTAAAGAAACAGGTGCACCTAATAAGACCACTGCCAGAGTGTGTGGCATTCCTAATTAATGGATAGTTTTATATGAAATAAATTATAATTTTAAGTTTTCACAATGTTGTTACATTGCAGGTTTGCTCATTTAAAACCTTCTTTTGCTGTTCATATTACATTATAGTGAAATATCCTTTAAAAATAACCACCCAATGAAAAGGCGTCATTTCATATGACTGTAAACAACAATGGATGCCGCCACGGTCTGTTTACTTAAGTACAAAACTTAACTGATTTTGGATTTTTAACAAACATAAAAATGGTTTGCAGTGATAAACAACATGCCATAGTAACTTTATATTGTATATTATTTAATGATCAAGTTCAATATAAAAAAATGCATTAGTTAAACAGCTTAAGGGCGTCAAAACTAATGACTCTAGGATATAACATTTGTATATATAGGGCCATCTTAGAAAGTGTACAATGGTCCCTTTTCTGTCAGACACAGCACTCTGACTTAAAACTTAGACTGTAGGGTTGCTATTTATAATCACAACTTTTCTGAAGTACACATGTAATCTAATTAATATTGAGCTTATTTGTGCATACGCAGTCACTGCTTAAACCAGGCATCGAAAAGATTTTCAGAGTCACTTGTCCTGCACAACTGGTTCTACTTACACTTTCAGTTTATTTGTAATCACAGTTGGATCAATAAAATAAGTACATCAACTGTAAATTAAGTACAATTTGATGCAGTTTCACTTTTGTAGAATCAAAGCACAAAGACACTGACTAGAATTTTTTTGGCATACAAGTGCTTCTGTAATGAGACATTTTAAACTGTTAAATCTTTCACATAATTTTTGTAAATTATCTTAATTTTTTTTATAATTTAAGTACTGGATAACAAAGTAAACTAACGAGCAATCGTTTTGTGCCTTTTTGCTTAGAGTATTTATGCTTCCAGTCACAAGCATCCCAATCATCAAAAATATCTGCACACAAGTGAACGCTGCCATTTTTAAATCATGTGACCTATCAGATGACCTAGGTAGTTGTTTATAATTTTATTTCTCTAAATAAAAAAATATTTTTTAATCTCTAATAATCAAATTTTAAAATTTCACAACAGTTCTTAATACAAGTTTTAAGTTAATATTAGCAAGATACGCGAAAAATTACCGACTGACAAAATTCGATGTGAACTGTAAATATAAAAAGACTAGCTCCACCAATGAAGTTATGATCACGTGATACCTGCAGCCATGATGGTGGGTGTACATTTACAAGTGTTTCCTCTTTATTTTTTTGCCAAATTTATATACATATAATAATGAGTGTTTTAAATTAATGTATTTCTTAAATTTCAGACTGGAATGGAAGAAAGTCCTGACCTCTTGGCAGGAGATGAAAACAAGGTAAAGTAATATTTTTGATATGGGTTTTGCATGAACTGTCAAATTTTACAGGGTGTATAATATTAATACACACATTTCATGATGTTAATGCTGTCATTGACATTTCTTTAAATGAAGCAGCTTTATGTTAAAGTCTTCAACCATCAATCAATTTTTTCATGTATACACAAATCACAGGATAGCCAGCATTTGTTGTTATTTATTGTATAACACATTGCAACTAGACAGAAATTATACAGTAATTTTGTATGGTAGAGGGTGCTGTACTTAGTCTTAGATAGAAAATAGTATGTTCTAGGTTGGCTGTACTTAGACAGAAAATGGTATGGTAGGGGTGCTAGTGTTAGTGGGCGTGGATAGTACTTGCACTTTTTTGGTACTGTTCATGAACAGGCTCAATTAAACCGAGCCTGCAACTTTTTCAGTTTTGTTGTCTTGGGCACCGGTGTTAAACACATTTAAACACATTTTACTTGCCAATAATGGTCAGATTATCATAAAGTTAGTAATCTCCCCTTGATCACCAAAAATGAAATTACTATCCAGCACCTGTTTACTATACTATGCAAGATTATGATATACAACATATCATACTTTTCCTGACACAGTCAACTTTTTGTATACATTGCTTGCAATGTATACAGAGTTATAGCTGTATTTCAGATTTAGTATACCTAACCTGTTTTGCTGAACAACATCCACCTTCGGATGAAACCTCGATAAAAGTAGATCCTCATTTTGCAGGATTGTCACATTAAGATCACTTTTTATTAATATACTGTTTGCATAGTGGTCAATAAGCTTTGAAAGTTCAAAACTATGCACTTTCAGTTTAAATAAACATTTTCTAAACATGAAAGCAAAAAATATGAAAATTTCTATTTCATTCATAAAAGCATTGTGTAAACCTACGCTTCAAACTTCGTATCCACGCATGCGCGTGCAAGAATGAATGAATTACGACAGACTCTGTATAAAAATATGTCCAACATCCAAAATTAATATTAAATCAAACAAGTAAACCTTATTTACTTTTAAATATAGACTTGCATACTTTTTCTACTTCAAACTGTTTTAGAAAACGAGCATATACAGATATATATGTCTTATTTAGTGTTATGTAACATTGTAAGCGTCTGTATGAATGGATTAAAGTTTACGTTCTGAAAACGTATTGTCATATAATTGCATATAATAGAACCCTATCAACGTGGTGGCATCGGAGGAGTATGCAATTATTTGTTTCACACCTGCAGTGTGAAGTATTTCTGCCACTTTAGTGAAATATATCGTCCAAAAGCCATTTTCGGGAAGGGGAAGATTCGTACTCAATATTATTCGAACTAAGGATTTGTACTCAATATTATTCGAATTTAGCCTTCGTAATCGGTATTATTCGAACTGACAATCATGGCAGATACGTTTAGACCCCCTGGACATTTAGATGTTGAAAATGGTAACATATCACATAACTTTATCAAATGGAAGCGCCAATGGAAATTTACTTTACCAGTGTTGACTGCCAGTGGAAATGCTGAGAAAGATGAAAAGATACAAGTAAATATCCTATTACACTGTGCTGGACCTAAAGTTATCAATTTACATGGGCAAATGCAGAACATAAACTGAAAGTGAAAAAATTGCCAAAAGCCATTTTCGGGAAGGGGAAGATTCGTACTCAATATTATTCGAACTAAGGATTTGTACTCAATATTATTCGAATTTAGCCTTCGTAATCGGTATTATTCGAACTGACAATCATGGCAGATACGTTTAGACCCCCTGGACATTTAGATGTTGAAAATGGTAACATATCACATAACTTTATCAAATGGAAGCGCCAATGGAAATTTACTTTACCAGTGTTGACTGCCAGTGGAAATGCTGAGAAAGATGAAAAGATACAAGTAAATATCCTATTACACTGTGCTGGACCTAAAGTTATCAATTTACATGGGCAAATGCAGAACATAAACTGAAAGTGAAAAAATTATTTGACAAAATAGAAAGCTATTGCAATCCTAGAAAAAATGAAGTGCTAGAATCACACAGATTTTGGGTAACAAATCCAGATGAATATTCATCATTTGACAGTTTTCTTACAGAGTTTTGAAAGCATGTTGAGTCCAGAAATATATTTTGAAATATGTTATTTACAATCAAATCACTCAGTCAGGCTGAGCCACCCTTAACATTTTTTTCCATAACTCCTTAGACTATTGATATATATAAGGTAAAATTATTAGCCATATATGAGCTTATGATTGCATGGGCAGGTAATATTAAAGCCATTAGTAAACAAGAGCACCGCTAGGCGGAGCATTATATGCCCGAAAGTGTTTTTTTTTTAGTAAGGATGAAGCATTTGTAAGACATGGGAATTCGCTGTTCATCCTATAAAATTTTACAGCTGTAGGTTGATTAATACTTAAGTTATTTATAATGACCTTAACCTTTGACCTTGTGACCCCAAAATCATTAGGAGTCTTCTACCTTATATGGACAATCATCCTAAGAAGTTTGAATATTGTGTGCCAATTGGACCTTTGATTATGCTTTAGAAACTGTTTTCAGTATTAAGGTAAAAGTGACTTTGACCTTGTGACCCCAAAATCAATAGGGGTCTTCTACCCAATATGGCCAATCATCCTATGAAGTTTGAATATTGTGGGCCAAATGGAACTTACGTTATGCTCCGGAAATTGTTTTTGGTTTTAAGGTAATTGTGACCTTGACCTTTGACCTTGTGACCCCAAAATCAATAGGGGTCTTTTGCCCAATATGGACAATCATCCTATGAAGTTTGAATATTGTGGGCCAAATGGAACTTAAGTTAAGCTCCGGAAACTGTGTTCAGTTTTAAGGATATAGTAGCCTTGACCCTTGACATTTAAAAGTCACATTTTGACCCCAAAATCAATAGGGGTCATCTACCCAATATGGACAATCATCCTATGAAGTTTGAACACTGTGGGCCAAATGGAACTTAAGTTATGCTCCGGAAACTGTTTCCAGAATCAAGGTAATAGTGACCTTGACCTTTGACCTTGTGACCCCAAAATCAATAGGGGTCTTCTACCCAATATGGCCAATTATCCTATGAAGTTTGAATATTGTGGGTCAATTGGAACTTAAGTTATGCTCCGGAAACTGTTTCCAGTATCAAGGTCATAGTGACCTTGACCTTTGACCTTTTGACCCCAAAATCAATAGGGGTCTTCTACCCACTATGGACAATCATCCTATGAAGTTTGAACATTGTGGGTCAATTGGAACTTAAGTTATGCTCCGGAAACTGTTTTCAGTATCAAGGTAATAGTGACCTTGACCTTTGACCTTGTGACCCCAAAATCAATAGGGGTCTTCAACCCAATATGGACAATCATCCTATGAAGTTTGAACATTGTGGGTCGAATGGAACTTAAGTTATGCTCCGGAAACTGTTTTCAGTTTTAAGGTCATAGTGACCTTGACCTTTGACCTTTTGACCCCAAAATCAATAGGGGTCTTCTACCCAATATGGACAATCATCCTATGAAGTTTGAACATTGTGGGCCAAATGGAACTTAAGTTATGCTCCGGAAACCAAATTGCTAACGGACGGACGGACGGACAGACAGACGGACGCCAGGGGGTATAACATAATATGCCCTTTCGGGCATATAAAAAAGGGTTGACCTGGGATAACCAAAGTGAAGAGTGAAATATGACACTCAACACAGGTACATTCTAAATATTTAGATTGATGTTTATGATCAGATTTAGCACAAATGGTAATTTAATTTCCCCTGATACCACAAATATGAATTTATTTAGAGTCCTGAAGATCTTTTTATGATGAAATCTTAACTGAAAAACCAGGTTTAACTGAATAATTATAAAATTCCTTGCCACAATAACTAGAAGGTACATAAAGCCAGTCAAAAAAATATTTCTATCCATATTCATCATTCCTGGACCTCCATTCATTTGATGAATTTCTCCAACTGGTAAATTTTTCGTCTTATTATGTTCTGTTTGTTAATATAAAAGATTTTTTATGATTATATACAGCTAGAATAGTCTGTAAAGGCTAAGATAGACAGATAAGAACAAACTATTTAGTAAACATGAGTTACATCCCTTCAAATGGAGATAAAGATGAAACCCATAAGAAACTGCCATGTCTGACAGACAGCAAAATTATAAAATTCTGCAGGCTCAGTTTAATTAGGCCCATTAGGAGGTAGTGGTAATAACTGTGGGTCAAAAATGAAATGATATCATTTTCAAGGGATGTTTCTGATATGATTTACTTTAAATAATGGGTCATTATCAATGAATGTTTCTTTGACTTCTATGCCCATGTGTAATAGATTATTGACATTGCCAGCTAAATAGCTCAGCTGAGTGAGTCAGTACAGCCATTCTGATTCAGGTTTGATTCCGGTCAAACTGCACATTTTTCTCACCCTGTGATATTTTCACCCTGTTACTTTTAGGGTCCAATATATGTTTATGATGGTACATAACTGAATCATAAGTCAATTCACTTTGTTACTTAAGTGTGCCAATGAAAAAGGAAAAAATTCAATATGCTGTGGATTATGTCAATGCATAGAACTATGAGACTGAAAATATTTAAGTTGTAGAGCTGCTGTATGGTATTCCAAGGGTTCTGGGTTTTTTGGTAGTGCTGAGGTGTGGTATTCTGAGTGTCTCTGGTTTGAGTTTTAGTCAGGCTGCATTTCATTTTCTCACTCTTTGAAATTGATAAATATTTTCAGCTCATTATTGGCTGGACTGCATATATTATAATGATTTATTTGTATTAAATCAATATTGTTAAATATTTAGTTATTGTCTATATATGTGACTTTATTTTTGATAAGGCATTGTAACAGTACTACTTCTTAATTTGACCTTTTTTGTATTAGGGGGAGAAGCCCTTAATTAACTCCTTACCAGTAAGTTTTATTGTACACGATGATGATAGCTTGAAAGGATTTAGCTAAAAAAGATACTACATGAATCATTTTTTTCCTATTGGATTGTAAAATATTTATTGATTGTCAAAAAACTATATGGAGTTCTCCTCGGTGACATTAAACAGTCCCAGCTGGCCATACATGCAGGACCTTGCAGACCACGAGACAGGGTGGTCTGTAACAAGACAAATCCGATATCGAGACATGGTGGACAGGACAGACAGTGATGTTCAGATCCCCCACTCACAAAGAAAGTTACTACACTCAAGGTCCTGGTCTTTAATTACTTCATTTGCTTACTTGGAGTAAAGGTGCCGGAAACAATAGTATGGTATCACAAAAAGCACAGACTGTGATAAAAGTCAAACCAAAAAAGATACTATAAACTGAATTCATAGATTATATAAAAGAAATTTATTAATTCTTTAAGGTTATAGTTAACATAAAAAAAAGATACTGAGTATTTAATTTTGATATATAGCATATTAACACACATAAAGTGCATTATGCCATATAAATTTCAACTTAGTGCTTAAATACTTTCTGATGCACTCAGTAAGCAAACATGATTTACTAATCTTTGGATTCCCACACTCCTCTCCACCTAGCTCCAATGAGATCCACTTGGTTGACCATAACATGTACCATACCTCATATTGTTTGTTTACAGTTGGAATGAAAAAATGAAAGTTTATTCTAGATATTATAAAGCTTTTATTAAATTTCACAAGGCTTTCAACACATCAACAATGTAATTGTCATTTTATTTTTTGAAAATGTGTTGGACTGCTGGTCTGATGCATGTAGATGCTGTGTTGGCATATAGCGATTCCCCTCTTTTGTGTGTGTGTGCATGCATGCGTGAATATGTGTGTGTTTTATACATTATATAGTTAACATCTTTTGAAAACATCTTGTCCAATTTCAACCAAACTTGACAGGGTTGTTCCATGGGTAAAGGGCTTCCAAAGTTGTTCAAAGACTTAAATGAGGCCTAGAGCATAGATATTTTGCAAAAGGCATTGTCTGGTAGACTTTCACAAGATTTTCACATTATACCCTGGGGGTCAAATTAGCCCTGCACTAGGGTTTATAGATTTTCCTGATATGTATGTAGTTAAAACTTAAAATCTTCTCCTCTGAATTGACAAAGACTAGAGGTTAGATATTTGTCATGAAACATTTGGTAGTTAACCTCTACCAAGATTATTCACGTTACAGCCCAAGGGTCAAAATTAGCCTCACCCCTGGGGTCATATATTAAGGTTTTCCTTATATGTATATAGCAAAACCTTTTTTAAAAATCTTTTTATCCGAAGGTTTAAGGCTTAGAGCTTAGATACTTGGTAAATAATATCATCTGTACGTCCTTTACCAAAGTTGTTCAAATGTTGCCCCTAGTGAAATAGCACCAGGGTGTCATAGGTTTTCCTTAAATGTATATACATGTATAGAAAAAAAAAACATAAAAAATATTCTCCTCTGGATTGACAAAGGCTAGATGTTTGATATTTGGCATTAAACCTTTACCTGTGTAGTAAACCTCTATCACTATTGTTCAAATTATAGCCCTGGGGTCAAAATGGCTCTGCCAAGGAGTCTTTTTAGGTTTTCATTATATGGTATGTATAAAGTAAAAAACTTTAAAAGAAATCTTGTCTGAAGGTACAAGGTTTACTCAGGCGCCATGGTGTCTTAGGATTTCCTTAAATGTATATACATGTATAGAAAAAAAAACTTAAACAGTATTCTCCTCTGAATTGACAAAGACTAGAGGTAAGATATTTGGCATGAAACATTGTGTAGTCGACCTCTACCAAGATTGTTTTAATTTTAGCCCTGGGATAAAATTTGCCTTGTGTGGAGTCATTAATTTTCGTAATGTACTTGTAGTAAAAATTTAAGAATGTACAAGGCTAGAGCTTAGGGCTTTGATGCCTAAATTTTGTCAAGTACAAATGCTTTTATTTTGAATCAATAATTGCACTATGGAGTGCATTTTTTCCAGTGAATGCGTTTTGCATGTAAACAAAAATGTTCACTTAACTTTTAAGTCTTGCTGAATGATTCAATACCACATTTTTGTAGACTACAAACCCGCATGTTGGTCTTGTTTTTAAAGTAATAGATAAAAGCACTGAAGACTCTATTTTACTATTTCAGCATTGTATACTGCAGATAAAAAACCGGTCTTTGCAAACTGATTTCTGTATTGCTCTTCAGTTTCGCAAATCTTATAGTCTTGCCTGGAAAAACACAGCACTAGCTAGTCTGTAGGAACAACACCTATTTCTTGTCCTATTAATAACTTGAGAAGAAATAAGCCTAGATTTGTGTTCGAAATTGACTGTAACCAGAAGATGACTTCTATTGAGTTCAGTAGATTAAAATCACATGGTCTTGATGTCAAGCAATGTATACCTCAGTGCTTGCAGTGCTTTGATTGCTCTCGCATTTTTTTATGATAAGACATATTTTAATATCTATACATGCAAACATAGCACAATAGATACATCTTTCAGTACACATTAAAATGTTTAGCCATCTGTTTTCATTTATGATAAAGATTATTGTCAAACTTCAAAAAATTACCTTAAGGTAGAGACATCGATTAAAAAGTCAATGAAAATGTATAAAACTTCTCTCTTTAATCATTATATTATTGATGGTCACTTCTTTTCACATCTAAATTCATTTAAACTAAATGTTGATATAATTAATAAGAATTAATTTTAGCTGTGTGATGTGAAATTACTATTTTTCTTAGGAAATGAAAATTAATGTCTTGAGGAGCTTTCATTTCTTCTGTGGGAGTGAATCATCCAAGTGTGCATATACAAAATATACTTGAGATATCTGAAATGATGAAAGGATATATCCATGTATATAATGATTAAACTTTAATAAAATTTTATGAGCTATTTTGTTAATTTTGTTGTACTTTAGTCGAGATCAGATACAGTTGACCTGTCAACAGATACATCATTGCTTGTTGACATCTCAGATGCCCTCAGTGAGAGAGACAAGGTCAAGTTCACAGTTCATACCAAGGTAATTTTGAAAATATAGTAGCCTATGTTCATGAGTGCATACAATTGCATCTTATTTGTACAACAAATATATTTTCTATTTTTTCCGTGCTTCTTCATTTTTTTTTTCTGAACTTTTCTGAGACTGTAGTGTTTAATGCATGGCATACCAATGTTTATATTGAAACATATACTTCTATGAGAATCGTAGATTCCTATTACATTTTAACACAAAGAGTGTAAATATTTATGTTCTTGCAGTAATCATTAACATTTTTTTGTGCAAACAGTTGAGTGTATTGATGCTGACATTGTTTTTAGCTCACCTGTCACAAAGTGACAGGGTGACCTTTTGTGATCGCTTTTCGTCCGGCGTCCGTCCGTCCGTCGTCCGTCCGTAAACTTTTGCTTTAAATGACATCTCCTCATAAACCACTGAGCCAATTTCATCCAAACTTCACAGGATTGTTCCTTTGGTGGTCACCTTTAAAAATTGTTCAAAGAATTTAATTCCATGCAGAACTCTGGTTGCCATGGCAACCGAAAGAAAAATCTTTAAATATCTTCTTTTAAACAACCCTAAGAGCTAGAGCTTAGATATTTGGCATGAAACATCTTCTAGTGAGTGTCTACCAAGTTTGTTAAAATAAAAGCCCTGGGGTCAAAATTGGCCCCGCCCCAGGGGGTCATTGATTTTCCCTATATGCATATAGTAAAAACTTAAAAAATCTTCTTTTAAAGAACCCAAAGAGCTTGAGCTAAGATATTTGGCATGAAACATCTTCTAGTGAGTGTATACCAAGTTTGTTCAAATAAAAGCCCTGGGGTCAAAATTGGCCCCGCCCCGGGGGTCATTGATTTTCCCTATATGCATATAGTAAAAACTTAAAAAATCTTCTTTTAAAGAACCGTAAGAGCTAGAGCTTAGATATTTCGCATGAAACATCTTCTAGTGAATGTCTACCAAGTTTGTTCAAATAAAAGCCCTGGGGTCAAAATTGGCCCCGCCCTGGGGGGGTCATTGATTTTCCCTATATGCATATAGTAAAAACTTAAAAAATCTTCTTTTAAAGAACCATAAGAGCTAGAGCTTAGATATTTGGCATGAAACGTCTTCTAGTAAATGTCTACCAAGTTTGTTCAAATAAAAGCCCTGGGGTCAAAATTGACCCCGCCCCAAGGGGTCATAGATTTTCCCTATATGCATATAGTAAAAACTTAAAAAATCTTCTTTTAAAGAACCCAAAGAGCTAGAGCTAAGATATTTAGCATGAAACATCTTTTAATGAGTGTCTACCAAGTTTGTTCAAATAAAAGCCCTGGGGTCAAAATTGGCCCCGCCCCAAAATCTTAAAAAATCTTTTAAAGAACTCAAAGAGCTAGAGCTTTGATATTTAGCATGAAACATGTTCTGATGGGTGTCTACCAAGTATGTTCAAATAAAAGCCCTGGGGTCAAAACTGGCCCAGCCCTGGGGGGTCATTGATTTTCCTTATATGTGTATAGCAAAAACTTAAAAATCTTCTTTGAAAAAAACCCAAATAGCTAGCTAGAGTTTAGATATTAAGCATGAAACATCTTTAAGTAAATATCTACAAAGTTTGTTCAAATAAAAGCCCGGGGGTCAAAACTGGCCCTGCCCCAGGGGTGTCATTGTTTTTACTATATGTGTATAGTAAAAACTTTAAAAATCTTCTTTTAAAAAACCCAATGAGCTAGAACTTAGATGTTTAGCATGAAACATCTTCTTATGGGTGTCTACCAAGTCTGTTCAAATAAACAAATAAACCCTTGGGTAAAAATTGGCCTGGGGGTGGGGGGGCCCTATATACAGGTGAGCGACCTCAGGGCCATCATGGCCCTCTTGTTCATTTATGATATCATGTTACGTATGACAACAATGAAAAATGATAAATTCACTGGAATCATATTATTATCAAATATGCTTTTGTCCATTTTCATGTTTCACTAATGAAAGAAAAACTTACTTAAAAAAATCAGTAACTTTTTGCTGTAATTTGATTTGATACTTAATCAGTTTGTTTCTTCTCAATTGTTTATGTAAAACACATTTAGTTCATGTTTTACCTGCTAAATGTCAACGGAATTTTTATTGTACTTTTCTACAACATGATGTCTTGCTTTTTTTTCCAGACAACCTTACAACAGTTCAAGGAGTCTGAGTTTTCTGTAGTAAGGCAGCATGAGGAATTTATCTGGCTACATGACAGATATGTTGAAAACCCAGAATATGCTGGAATTATTGTAAGTTGTCCAATTCTGTAACTATCCAGTCGGTTAAAACATTGTTGAAGTAATAACTTTTTGTTTTTATTTGTTTGCTTAATATTTCAGTACTAACAAGTGAAATCTATAAACTTTCAGCCTCAAATAATTTGTCAAATTTGATTTTATGTAACATGCATGTACATGTACACTTGCAGTTGACTTCAAAATACCAGGCAAATTTGAATTGAGTTTGAATCATTTCTGGTTTTGTTGATTTTTGTTGTTGTTGTTTTTGTTTAACTTTTAACTTTTAGGTGATATTTCTAACGCTTTATAATAAGTCTAAGTATCAAAACAAAGTTAATTTTCATGGGTTGTTATTAATACTTTCTGCTAAGTTTTTAGCTCACCAGAATAAACAAAGTCCCTCTTGTTCTTGTACAGCTTTTTATCAAGTGCTCCAAGTAAAAATGAATTCCTGTTACTCATTTAGCATGTTAAAATAAACCTTGAAATAGCATTGGAAGTGATTCACATCAAGCTTAACACACTATGAATCAATTTTGTTTCTTTAAAAATTAGAAAAAATTTGTGCGATAGAAAAACATAATTTTTGTTGTATCTTATCTTATTTGTTGCTTACTTGTTTCTATACTAGATTCCACCAGCCCCGCCCAGGCCAGATTTTGATGCATCTAGAGAAAAATTACAGAAACTTGGCGAGGGAGAAGGCACAATGACGAAAGAAGAATTTACAAAGATGAAACAAGAACTGGAAGCGTAAGTTTTATGTAATATAAAATGAAAGTTGTTTTATACATTTCATGGTGATGTATACTGGATGTCATATTATCTGGATGCAGTTATAAGTCCCCTACCGGTTTAACCGGAGGGGACTTTAGGTTTACCCTCTGTCCGTCTGTCAGTCCGTCCGTCCACAAAACTGGATCCCGCGATAACTTGAAAAGTACTGAAAATATTTTTATGAAACTTGATTTATGGGAAGAAGACAGTCTGGAGATTATGCACATGCTTTTTTTATGCCCCCACAATGTGGGAGCATATAGCGTTGCACTTGTCCGTCCGTCCGTCCGTACGTACGTCCCGAAATCTTGTGAACGCAACTCCTCTTAAACCGGATGGCAGATTTTGCTTAAACTTACAGGGATGAACAACCTTAATGTGTAGATGGTAGTAAAGGAAGGAATTTTCGCTGCGACAAAATTTAACAGAATTATGGCCCTTTGTTGATTTTTTCACTAGATACTATGTAGAAATTTTGTGAACGCAACTCCTCTTAAACCGGATGGCAGATTTTGCTTAAACTTACAGAGATGAACAACCTTAATGTGTAGATGGTAGTGAAGGAAGGAATTTTTGCTGCGACCAAATTTAACAGAATTATGGCCCTTTGTTGATTTTTTCACTATGTACTATGTAGAAATTTTGTGAACGCAACTCCTCTTAAACCGGATGGCAGATTTTGCTTAAACTTCCAGGGATGAACAACCTTCAGGTGTAGATGGTAGTAAAGGAAGGAATTTTCGCTGCGACCAAATTTTACAGAATTATGGCCCTTTGTTGATTTTTTCACTATATACTATGTAGAAATTTTGTGAATGCAACTCCTCTTAAACCGGATGGCAGATTTTGCTTAAACTTCCAGGGATGAACAACCTTAATGTGTAGATGGTAGTAAAGAAAGGAATTTTTGCTGCAACCAAATTTAACAGAATTATGGCCCTTTGTTGATTTTTTCATTATATACTATGTAGAAATTTTGTGAACGCAACTCCTCTTAAACCGGATAGCAGATTTTGCTTAAACTTCCAAGGATTAACAACCTTAATGTGTAGATGGTAGTAAAGGAAGGAATTTTTGCTGCGACCAAATTTAACAGAATTATGGCCCTTTGTAGATTTTTAGTTTTCAACTTGTGGCACATGTAGTCCAAAAAATATTTGACCTAGAGTCATAAGATTGACAGAACAGTGGCGTGTGGGGGCATCCGTGTCCTATGGACACATTTCTAGTTTTCTTCCTATGTTGAAAATTCTGGTTGCTATGGCAACAAATAGTCTGAAAATATGGCAAATTTAACACATAAACTGGATCCAGTGATAACTCAAAAAGTACTGAAAATATTTTTATGAAACTTGAAATATGGGTAGATGGCAGTCTGGAGATTATGCACATCTTTTTCTTTTCTTCCTATGTTGAAAATTCTGGTTGCTATGGCAACAAATAGCCTGAATTTCAAGATATCTGATTTAAATTTTTCAGCTTTTTCACTATATGTTCTTTATTTCTTAAGGTGTTTACTTCAAACTTTAAATATAAGTTTCTGGTCATCAACCACATCATATGTGACAAGGTTTATAACTCTAGCACAAAAATTATCAGTATTACCTCCCTTGAACTTAGATTTTTTAGGGGAAAAAATGTTGTCTTTTTTAAATAACTTCTTTATTAACCAGGTTTTCCGAAGGAAAAAACTGGTTATTAGATTGAGGTATGTCGGCGGGCGGATGGGCGGGCGGACGGGCGGGCGGGCGTAAACAATTTCTTCTGTGCGCAACTCCTTCTACATTTCTCAACGGATTTTGACCAAACTTTCACAGAAGCTTTGTCATCAAGTGCCCTGGCGCATATTGTCGGGGTTTTGCGATTGGATAATATTTGACCTAATTATGGCCCTTTGTTTTTTTTCCTTATATAGAATATATAGTGAACAATTTCTTCTGTGCGCAACTCCTCCTACATTTCTCAACAGATTTTGACCAAACTTTCACAGAAGCTTTGTCATCAAGTGCCCTTGGGCATATTGTCAGGGTTTTGCGATTGGATAATATTTGACCTAATTATGGCCCTTTGTTTTTTTTCCTTATATAGAATATATAGTGAACAATTTCTTCTGTGCGCAACTCCTCCTACATTTCTCAACAGATTTTGACCAAACTTTCACAGAAGCTTTGTCATCAAGTGCCCTTGGGCATATTGTCAGGGTTTTGCGATTGGATAATATTTGACCTAATTATGGCCCTTTGTTTTTTTTCCTTATAAAGAATATATAGTGAACAATTTCTTCTGTGCGCAACTCCTCCTACATTTCTCCACGGATTTTGACAAAACTTTCACAGAACCTTTGTCACCAAGTGCCCTGGGGCATATTGTCGGGGTTTTGCGATTGGATAATATTTGACCTATTTATTGCCCCTTATATAGAATTTATAGTGAACAATTTCTTCTGTGCTGAACTCCTTCTACAATTCTCAACGGATTTTGTTTAAACTTTCACAGAAGCTTTGTCATCAAGTGCCCTGGTGCATATTGTCAGGGTTTTGTGATTGGATAATATTTGACCTAATTATGGCCCTTTGTTTTTTTTCCTTATACAGAATATATAGTGAACACTACTCGGTGGCAATTCCTCCTACATTATTCATGTTTTACATTGCACATAGTTACATTGTTTGTTGCTTGTATTTGTATTTCAAATACAACATATTTATCTACAATGGTGATAATTGAAAACCTGGTTTCATGGCATTGCCATGTTTCTTGTTTTCTAATGTATCTACTTCAAACTTCATATATATGTTTCTTATTATCACTCGACATTTTTGAGAAGGTTAAATACTCTAGCAAGACTATTTCCAGAATTATGTCCCCTTTGAGTTTGAACTTAGATTTTTTTCAAGAAACTGGTATTTTCACTCCAACTTCTTCATTCCTTATAGGATTTACTTTAAAATCCCACATCGTAATAATATGACAAGGTTGTATAAACATAATTTACTTACTAGGCATGGAAACTTAACACATTACTGTGATATAGACAAACTTAGAACTCAAAAGATTTAAGTTCATTCCTGTCATTCATTCACTGGTAAAATTGAATGGCAAATGGCCCATCAGAATGTTGCTGGGGTTCTAACCGGTAGGGGACTTATGGATTGCTTGCAATACTATGATAATTGCTTGTTATTATAGTACTTGCATTTCTCACTTATTGCATAGATAATCTGTCTCTCAGCAATGCTAAAAAATTGTATCTCATATGCCATATACAACACTTCAATACAGTTTTTTTTCACACATTCCTATATATATGTGACAGCGACTCCTCTATAAACAACAATTAAACCCGATTTAGGCCATATATAATGAATAGTGAGTGTTGTAGTGTCCACAGAGTCACAATATATTTATAATAATTTTTTATGCTACAAGGAGACTTAAGGCTCGTTTCTGACAGACCGCTCACCTTCAGATAGGATTTCCCAGGCCTCGATCTAATTCTATGATAGATTTTATAAATCTATGATTTTATAAGATTTTGATACTTAAAAAATGCTCTTTTAAAAAATTTGCTCTTGCAGTATAATTCTAAAGTTAGCTAAAGATTATTTGAAAAAAAACATTTTTTAAATGTTGCAACATGCATCACTAATGTAAGATAAAATATTTGACTGGTTGATTTTTGCTAAAGTTATTGACAATAGACTAGATGATAATGTTTCAAGCAATGTGATATTATACAAGTATTTACTAAGAAGAAATTCTTTTGTTACAGTGAATATTTAGCGACTTTCAAGAAGACAGTTGCCATGCATGAAGTATTTCTACAGAGGATAGCGGCCCATCCTGCACTCAGAGGGGACATGAACTTTGAAGTTTTTCTGAGCTTTGATCAAGATGTAAGAAAAACTTGTTGTTACGCTTTCAAAAATGGAGTATTTGAATATAACCAAGTTTTTCTCTTGTAGGTTTGTTGAAAACATTATGACCAAAAAAGCCATAAAATTTCGGTTCAGGTAATCCTGCGTTTGGACCTTTTACGCTGAACCCTCTGATATAAATTGCCTTTAAATTTAGAATGCTTATTTATAACAGATAGGACAATTGGATCAAAAACCAACACAAATTAAGTATCAAAACATGTTTTGCTTTATTCAGCTTCCTCAGTTGATACATAAAGAAAAATGACGTAAATGTACAAAACAAATTATTAAATTAAAAGGAAAACATATTTAAGACTTTTCCCCAGAATTCCATTTTTTCATAAATAAGGTGTTTTTTTTTTTCAATCTGAAATATTTTATTTACCACCTAACATTTTGTCTACATGCTTTAAGAAATTGCTTTGAAATCTTTATTATTCTTCCTTAGAATTTCATCTGCATTTTTAGGGCAATTGATTTTGGCATAATTGTGCTCCTTACTTGAAAAAAGTAAATGTCAAAGACCTCCTCTTATTCAATCCACGATAACATTTAGAATAATGGAAAGCATAGTATAAATTATAAAAAATAAAAGTGTTCTTATTTTCTGTGCATATATTTCTTACCTGGAAAGGCATCTGAAACCTTAAAAAATCCATTTTCAACTTCATCTTTTCCTGAGAGAAAAAAAAACAAAATTTTAAATTTGAAGAAGACCCCATACATTTTGACATATGTATTTTTCCAAAATTTAAGTTAATAGTAACTAAGAAAATCCTGATGAGTTTCAAAAGCGTTTGGTCTTATGTCTGAATGTTCTGTTTTACAGTTAAGTGTGAGAGGGAAAAACAAGAAGGAGAAACTCGGAGGATTCTTTAAAAGTATCACAAAAAGTGCTGATGAGGTGTTACTGGCTGGTCAAAAGGTATGGTAAATATACTCAGAAATTTTTAGGGCTGGGGCGAGTATCCGAGTACTCAGATAATCACGAATCGCAATGAATAATCGAGTACAAATATTCATAAGTCCTGGGATCATGGATCACGATCTTATTTGTTTATATCCATTTTCTGTTTCTCACACTCTAAAGTTCGGGGAAACAATACAATTTGAGTATGAATAATGCGATGTTTACCAAAATACCACCAGCAAAATTTACTTCCAATGTTTTGAAATACTTTTGTATAGGTTGCACAAATATACATTAAGATACTCGTGCTTAAAGAAAAATAAACATTTTTTTAGAACTAATGTTCATGTTTTAAAGGGTGTCTTGCTAACAAAAGGTTCGTGGTTCGATTTGTGAATCGTAAGTGCTGAATCTTGGTTCGGATCGGATCGTCAATTATCCGACGATCCACACCCCTAGAAATTTTCCATAAAAGCTGCATAAAACATTGCTTAATAATGTTGAGTTTTAATTATGAAACCTTAAAATGGCAATGTTAATATGATTTTCTAATTAAGAATTAAAATAATTTAATTGCCTTTAAAAAAGTGGGGAACATAACTATGGTGGGTTGGTCAGTACGTATGAATGTTAATACATACACTTGTTTTATTTTTCTGATCAATAACATCAAAAGGAATAAACTGTGTTTTTTTGTAACTTTGTGGGAACAAAATTTTACAATCCTTGTCTGATAATTATTCCAAGGGTTTTGTGGTTTGTAGGCTTTGCATATGCTCGTGCAAGATCAAGAAAAGAAAAGATCTAGTTACCAGACTGTAATATTAAAGAAGTGGTCACACATTAAATGTTGTAGAAATTTAATTATTTATGACTATTCAGTTTTCTTGTATGTTAATTTATGTACAAAGTTTTATGTTATATATATTTTTAGGATGTTGATGATTTTTTTGAGTCAGAGAAAACATTCCTTATAGCCTATCACACCAAAATAAAAGATGCCACGCATAAATCTGACAAAATGACAAAAGCTCACAAGAGTAAGTAACCAAACTTTGAGTGCTCTAATATACATTTATTTCAAGATATATTTTAGCTGAATAGCCTGAAAATTGTATATTTTGTTTACAATTTATCATAAGGATTTGGATAGTCAGTTTATAGGCCAAAGAAAAGTTCTGTTTTGGCTCCCCCTACTTAGCATAAAAAACAGTCCATCCTAGACTGTTGATTTGTCTTAGTCTTTTTTTCTTTCTTTTTTCAAATTTTTTTTTCGATAAATATATACATGTAATATGAAAAATATGTAAAAAAAAAACTCCCACATGCCTTTCTTTTTCTGTGTTTCCATGACCAGAAGCAGAACATATTTGTTTGGCCTTCATATTAAATATATGAAGAAAATATCAGATTTTGATTAACTTTCAAGTAACTTTCAAATTCATATGTCAGATAAATTTATTTCAAGGTGAGAATGATTTTTAGACATGTTTGGCTTTACTTTAGAATTAAGTCCTGATAATTAATTTTATTTACAATTCTTAAAGTACAAATTCTTTGGCTTTTAGGTCTAGCATGATAACTTGATCATAATTGAAACATACCTGACTTTATAAGATAAGAAATATGCTTATGTTAACTTGTTTACTAATTTGTTACAGATGTAGCAGATAACTACATACAGATTTCCTCAGGCTTTGTACAATTGGCAACTTTAGAAAATACAGAATTAGATAAGTAAGTAGAGTGCTAGTACAGGTTTGCATCCAGTAAGATAAATGAGTAAATTTTGATACAGTCATTTATAGAGGATAAAGGGTAGCTGAAAAGTGTACATTGGACATCAGTGTTCGGAATTAGCAGTAGTCCGATAGCCCCTGACGACTAAATTTCTCCTCGGGCTACCGACTTTCACAGTAACAAGCCCAACCAGGCTACTGTATTTTCAAAGGCAATATAAACAACATTTTAAACAAATGAATCGTGCTAGTGAACTGTCTTTTGGGCTAGTGAAAATTCCAATCTGGTAGTCTGACCAGCCTAGTAGATTCAAATCCGGATTTCTGTCACTGGAACATAATAGCCTGGTTATTGTGTATACTGACCATTCAACTCAAGCATGAAAGTAAATCGTTGCAATCCGCAAGGCTTTTTTAGCTCACCTGTCACAAAGTGACAGGGTGAGCTTTTGTGATCGCTTTTCGTCCGGCGTCCGGCCGTCCATCGTCCGTCCGTAAACTTTTACTTTAAATGACATCTCCTCATAAACCACTATGCCAATTTCATCCAAACTTCACAGGAATGTTCCTTTGGTGGTCACCTTTAAAAATTGTTCAAAGAATTTAATTCCATGCAGAACTCTGGTTGCCATGGCAACCGAAAGAAAAAAACTTTTAAAATCTTCTTTTAAAGAACCCAAAGAGCTAGAGCTAAGATATTTAGCATTAAATATCTTCTAATGAGTGTCTACAAAGTTTGTTCAAATAAAAACCCTGGAGTCAAAATTGGCCCCGCCCCAGGGGGTCATTGATTTTCCCTATATGCATATAGTAAAAACTTAAAAAATCTTCTTTGAAAAAACCCAAATAGCTAGAGTTTAGATATTAAGCATGAAACATCTTCTAGTGAGTGTCTACCAAGTTTGTTCAAATAAAAGCCCTGGGGTCAAAATTGGCCCCGCCCCAGGGGGGTCTTTGATTTTCCCTATATGCTTATTGTAAAAACTTAAAAAAATCTTCTTTTAAAGAATCCAAAGAGCTAGAGCTAAGATATTTAGCATGAAACATCTTTTAATGAGTGTCTACCAAATTTGTTCAAATTAAAGCCCTGGGGTCAAAATTGGCCCGCCCCAGGGGGTCATTTATTTTCCCTATATGCATATAGTAAAAACTTAAAAAATCTTCTTTTAAAGAACTCAAAGAGCTAGAGCTAAGATATTTAGCATGAAACATTTTCTAATGGGTGTCTACCAAGATTGTTCAAATAAAAGCCCTGGGGTCAAAATTGGCCCTGCCCCGGGTCTTATTGATTTTCCTTATATGTGTATAGCAAAAACTTAAAAATCTTCTTTGAAAAAACCCAAATAGCTAGAGTTTAGATATTAAGCATGAAACATCTTCTAGTAAGTGTCTACAAAATTTGTTCAAATAAAAGCCCTGGGGTCAAAACTGGCCCGGCCCCAGGGGTGTCATTGGTTTTAACTATATGTGTATAGTAAAAACTTAAAAAAACTTCTTTTATAAAAACCCAATGAGCTAGAGCTTAGATGTTTAGCATGAAACATCTTCTTATGGGTGTCTACCAAGTTTGTTCAAATAAAAGCCCTTGGGTTAAAATTGGCCCTGCTGGGGGGGGGGGAATTGAAGTGGGGGGTTGATCGTTTTTATTCATTATATGTGTGTAGTAAAAACTATACATCGTGAGACATCTTCTAATGGGTGTCTCTCAAGTTTGTTCAAATAAAAGTCCTGGGGTTTAAACTGGCCCTGCTCCGGGTGCCTTTATACAGGTGAGCGACCTCAGGGCCATCATGGCCCTCTTGTTTTAGAAACTTATCAACTTTTATCCAGCTAGGTAGAATAAGGTCAGTGCCTGCAGTGCCTGCTTGTGCCTTTAACAATGCAGAAAGACCCAAGGTCTTCTTGAACCAGTTAAACTGATAAGTTGCCATAACAATTCAAATTTAAGAAAGGAATTTCTGTTTTTTTTAAAGTATTTAAAAAGCGGGAACATTGAATGAATTTCAAATGTAAAATATTGCAGTGAGAAAAAATATGCCTTAGCAATATCTTATTTTGTTAAATTTTCTAGAAGTACTTACTGGTGATGTTTGATGTGTGCAGCACATCAGGTCAAAATGTTGGTGATGAACTTTAGTGGTTAATATTGCTAACTGTTCTATGTACAACATACATGCTTATCCTATGAGTTATTGTTACTGGGTGGCGGAAATGTGCAGCCTGACGGAAAACTCAAACCAAGGACATTTGGAATACCTTTCTGCACTCTACTGACTGAGCATTCTAGCCACTTACACATCTTCACCACAAAACATTCAGTTCTAATATGTGACATCTTGATGTGTAGCTTTGTGGAAAATAATGCTGTATGCTGTAGTCAAGAACTAAATTAAGAACTACTCTGAAAAGTCAATGACATTATGATAATGTGATAAAAAATCATCATGCTGAATTCTTTTGATTTTCAGGGTGTTTACAAAAGTAGCAGAAGCCTTAGAAAAAGCAAGAGTAAGTAATTCCATTGTAAAATTTCAATTTTATTGATTTTCTGATCGACATTCAATCTCTGACACGGAAGTTTTACGACAAACCTAACAACAAGTAGTTCTCAAAACAGCTTAAAACTATCGATGTAAAAGAAAGAAATATTTTTATTTTGTTACAGGCATCAAACAAATTACAACGCATTCAAAGTTTAAAAGTAACGTTGGCTTATAGAATTGTCAATAAATGCATGCGGATGCATATGATTTTAATCAATGAAAATGCTATTTTTAGCGATGTCGATTACCGAATACCTCAGAGAGTATTACACAAATAAATCTGACTGTCAAGTAGTGAAATTATACATGTCGGACTGTTTTGGCGAGAAGATTATCGCTAAATTATTTACGTAATAGAAAGAGCATCGAAACACGAGGCTATCTCGAAATTAATAAGAATTACAAACCCTGCACGGACATTCTGAAATTAGAATTATTTGATTTTATTCATACTGTTTCCGTTACACTTCTCCGTGGTGCAGGGGTAACGCGCTCGTTTAGGGTGTGAGAGGTCTGGGGTTCAAACCCAGTCGAGGCAACTTTTTTTTTTAAGTGTCTTTTTTAAGAAAGTAGCCACGCTATGCAAGGATAAAAGGATAAAGTGTGGATGTCATAGAAAATGAACATAAATGATTTTTGATGCAACTCTAGTCATGCAAAATTCCGTATGTATCAAACTGTTATAGTAAAAAATCCAAACGTAGTCGCTGCATCTCGGTGCCCTGCAAGGTGAATTATAGTATATAGAAATAAACTTATAACAGGAAAATACATACAGATATACAAAATGATTTAGATTGCAAAGATCAGAAAATACCACAGAGCTTGCAGACCTTTGATTTTTTAGCTCACCAGAGAGCAACTTACATAAGGTGAGCTATAGTGATCACTCATTGTCCTGCATCTGGTGGTCTGTCTGTATGATCATCATGTCACCCTATCTTTCATTGGTTGATTATCATCAAAACTTCATAAGATTGTTCCTAGACTGATCCTGTATAAAGTTGCTGAAAAAATAATTCCTTGCAGAACACTGGTTGCCATGAAAATGAAAAGGAAAAACTTTAAAAAAACGTCTTGTCAAATATTGTTGGTCAGATTTTGATATAATTTCATAGAAATTATTTCATGAAATGACTGTCTACTGAAGTTTTTCATATTATTTTGTTTTGGTATAAACATGGTCACTAGGGCATGAGGTCTGTTGTCACTACATCTACACAGCAGAGATTAGAAATCTTCCTCTAAAAAATGTTTGTTAGATTTTACCATGATGTTATTCAACTTCCACCTCCTAATTAATTGATTAGTACCACCTGAGTTAAAAGTAACATGTTTAAACAAATGTTTGTTTATAATCTTGTAATATTGGAACAATAATGTAATATTAGAACAATAGTAGCCTATTGGTGTTTGTTTAGTCTGGCTCCTAATCCCAAATGTGCAAACCTCATGATTGCTGATGCATCAGCTTTGGAAAAAAAGCAACATTTATTAAAGTTTACCTCTACAAAGTTAATTATTATTTTCAGAAATTGGAAGGAAGGGTTGCCACAGATGAAGATTTAAAACTAAGTGATACTTTACGCTATTATATGAGGGACTCCGAGGCAGGGAAAGACCTCTTATACCGTAGAACTAGAGCACTAGCTGATTATGAAACTGCCAATAAAAATCTAGAGAAAGCAAGAACAAAAAATAAAGAGGTTCCTCAGGTAAGACGATTGCATACTATATGACTTGTATAATATATATTTATAAATTGCATTTTAAATTGTTATTACTGTACAGTAATACAGTGAGGGGATAGGAGAAAAATGTTTTTTACATAGACATAAATTATTAAAGTCACAAATATGCACAAAACCACTCTTAAAAGAGTAAAAAGAGGCTCAAAAAGGGGCTTGCACATAAATTGTTCATTAATAAAGTCATGCTCATATTTAATGAAATATGTATTATTTTTAGGCAGAGAAAAACCAACAGTCTTGTTGTGAGAAGTTTGAAAAAATATCTGAAGTGGCAAAAAAGGGTAAGTGAAATAATGCTTGAAATAAATGTACTTTTTTGCTTGTAAATTAGGATATAAACATATATGCTGCTGACAAAATGGCTTGTTTTTTTTATCAGCCAATAATTATTGGCAAAAAACAAATACCTGGTTTTGTGTCAATTCCTGTTGCTTGTTTTGTAAATTCATTATCAGAGTAAAATATGTTTTTCTTTCATTTCAGAACTGACAGAATTCAAACAAAGACGAATAGCTTACTTTAAGAAAAACTTTGGTGATTTAGTAGAACTAGAATTAAAACATGCAAAGGTAGGTCATTAAATTGATTTTAATTCTTCTAGTTCACACAATACATTGACAAATTTAATGTATACTGACTGCTAGAGCACAAACAGTAACTTTTTGTTTCACTTTCCAGTCTGTATATTCTATTGACTGCTTTTAAATATTGTTAACTTGTATTATACTGGTAGTTATCTACGACACAAACTTTTTAATCTCCTTTTTCTTTTCTTCAACAAAAAAAAATTAAACAAAGAAACATCCTTTTTGTTTCGCCTTGAAAAAGGCGACATATAGGGGTTACTTTTGTCGGCGGCGTCGTTGTCGGCGTTGTTGTCGGTGTCGTCGTCGGTGTCGGCGTCGGCGTCCCCTAAAGCTTGTCCGGAGCATAAGTCAGTCATTATAAGTCGGATTGACTTCAAACTTGGTATGCATGCTTCTCATAATGACCCGAAGTGCAGTGCACAAGAACCAGTACTCTGTACTCCTTATTTTTTGAGTTATTGCCCTTTGTTTATTTCATACTTTATTTTTGTCCAGGCCATTTCTCCTAAAGTATAAAATCTATGGACTTGAAACTTCATAGGATGATAGATCTCATTAAGAAAAAGTGCAGTGCACAAGAACCGGTACTCTGCATTTCTTATTTTTTGAGTTATTGCCCTTTGTTAATTTTCATACTTTATTTTTGTCCAGGCCATTTCTCCTAAAGTATAAAAGCTATGGACATGAAACTTCATAGGATGATAGATCTCATTAAGAAGAAGTGCAGTGCACAAGAACTGGTACTCTGCATTTCTTATTTTTTGAGTTATTGCCCTTGTTAATTTTCATACTTTATTTTTGTCCAGGCCATTTCTCCTAAAGTATAAAAGCTATGGACATGAAACTTCATAGGATGATAGATCTCATTAAGAAGAAGTGCAGTGCTCAAGAACTGGTACTCTGCATTTCTTATTTTTTGAGTTATTGCCCTTTGTTAGTTTTCATACTTTATTTTTGTCCAGGCCATTTCTCATAGATTATAAAAGCTTTAGACTTGAAACTTATTAGGATGATAGATCTTTTGATAAGAAGTGCAGTGCACAGAAACTGCTGATCTGCATTTCTTATTTTTTGAGTTATTGCCCTTTGTTAATTTTCATACTTTATTTTTGTCCAGGCCATTTCTCATAAATTATAAAAGCTTTAGACTTGAAACTTAATAGGATGACAGATTTTATTGATAAGAAGTGCAGTGCACAGAAACTGCTGATCTGCATTTCTTATTTTTTGAGTTATTGCCCTTTGTTGATTTTCAAATTTCATTTTTGTCTTTGCCATTTCTGTTAAACTATATTGTTCACAAGGCGACACATCCGACTCGCGGAGTTCTAGTTTAAAAAGAAATAGTCTCCGTCCGTCCGTCCGACCTTCCGTCCGAAATTTTTGTCCAGAGCATATCTCTAAAAGTATTTGAGTAATCAACTTGAAACTTCATAGGTGGATAGACCTCATTGAGGAGGAGTGCAGTGCTTAAGAATGATAACTCTACCCTGCATAATTTTTGAGTTATTGCCCTTTGTTATTTTTCAAAATTGATTTTTGTCCAGAGCATAACTCCAAAAGCCTATGAGATATCAACATGAAACTTCATAGGTACATAGATCTCACTCAGGAGGTGTGCAGTGCACAAGAATGATAACCTACCCTGCATTATTTTTCAGTTATTGCCCTTTGTTATTTTCAGCCATCAGTATTCACATAGGTTTCAAATCTGTAATCACTATAGCCATCAGTTTTCATTACCAAAAGACCTCTTAAAATGGAATTATTCTGCTGTACTACATATATATTCTTCCAATGAGCAAACACATTCGGCGGGGGATGGCCATGTTGACATGGCTCTTGTTCAATCTGGAGATTGAAAAGTTTGTGTAGTAGATAATTATTTACTTAATGTTTCCAGAATGATTATACTGGTAGTTTGGAGGTTTTACTTTTGAAAACTTGTCAGAGTTATCAGAGTCAACAATAACTGTACTTAGATTTCTTGTTATACTCCCCGAAAAATTTTGGGGGAGCATATAGTCGCCGGCTGTTCCGTCTGTCCGTACATATGTCCCGAATTCGTGTCCAGCCTATAACTTTGTTATTTGAAGTCAGATTTTAAAGCTATTTCACAGAAATGATCACCATATTGAGACAATGTGTCGCGTGCAAATTTGGGTCGCTACCTTTAAGGTCAAGGTCACAGTATGACCTTGCAGCAAAATCGTGTCCGGTCCATAACTTCATTATTTGAAGTCGGATTTTAAAACTATTTCACAGAAATGATCACCATATTGAGACGACGTGTCGCGCGCAATATTTGGGTCCCTACCTTGAAGGTCAAGGTCACAGCATGACCTTGCAGCAAAAGCGTGTCCGGCCCATAACTTCGTTTTTTGAAGTTGGATTTTGGTTGTTTTTACACTTTGAACTTTGTCTGTGACATATCTCTGACACTACAAGAGGTATACCTTCCTGTGTCCAAAACCTATTCGGGGAGCATCACCCGGTTCAACCGGCTCTTGTTTTTATATAGAAATAATATATCTCATTGTGTAATTTTAGGCACAGCTACAGTTGTACAACAGTTGCATTGCAGCATTGAAGGAGGAAGAAGAGTAGATATATAGATGAATACAATGTTAATGAAATACTGTGTTATAGTATATATAATGACAAGTGCTAGAAGTGACAGCTGGTTTATCGAATAGAAGTGTCTTAAAAAAAAATTCTTGATGGGAATAGAGACGTTCTTTGAATCCGACTGTTGACAAAGACATGAAAAATATTACACAAAAAAGTTATGTTGTTGCCATAGTAACCATTTAATGGCATGAAAAAAGCACAGCTTATGTTGTTACGATATCATTAAATGATAAAGCATGATTATTTTTACTACAAAGAGTGCAATACGTTGTATGGTAATTGAATATATAGATGCTGGAACAGCAACTATAGTAAATAACATCACAAGTAGACACATTTTTTTTTGCTTGGCCTATTAAAATGGGCTATTATGTTTCTTTGTTTAATTATTTTCGTCGGATTATACATTAACTAAGTAGTGATGTTGTTTTTTTTTGGTCAGCATTATTTTATACATATGCAACAAATCGGAATTAAAGTTCACAGATCACAGAATCAAAATTGACATATAAAACAATAGTGTTTACATAGAAGAACATTCCATATTATTTCTAATGAGAAACCGAACTATTATTAATATATGATTTATATAATACACAGTAAAACAATAGTCGAGGCAGGTTTGTCTGCCAAATTTGGCAAATATTTAATCTGCAGATATATTTGTTTCACTTTTATGACATTTTAATGTGCATCTATTGTAAATTGGATACAGTTTTTTAGTACAGTTTTGAATTACTGTAAACTTAGTTTTAATATATTGGAGTTGAGAACATTTTTTTTTTCAAATACTTCCTGGTTTTGTTAGTTTTTGTGCTAAAATGCAGGTTTTGAAATTAGAAAAAAAAACTCGTAAAAAGTAAATTACATAATAAAATATTATCATTCTTCATCTAGGCTGTTTGTTGTTATTTGGTTAGTTTCTTTATTTAGATTGTGTAATTTATTTGTACATGTATATCATTTTGATTGTTCACTTTTATTGAAATCAGTTCATATACCCTATACATTACTCTTATCTGTTTTGTATCTATTCTTGTTTATTTATTTCAAACTGCCTTAGTAATTTTCTGACAAATTTACCGAATACAGACATAGATAAACGTTAAGGATCCTATACTGGTTGCGGGTACAGATAAAAATATCTGAGTTTGGGATAACTGTTATAAAGAGAGGCTGCTATGTTTCAGCACTACTGTTACCTGGGGTATTTATGTCTGTATCAACAGCAAATGTTTGATTTGGATCATTCATGGTTATTTCCAACAATACATAAGATAATACAAGACATCTTGTAAAACATGGTTTATCTGTTGTACGCTAATGTACTTATATTTAATTGATATGGTACTTTTAGATTATACATTACCTATGTACAATGCCATGGAAATAAGACTTTGATTTATATTTAATTGATATGGTACTTTTAGGTTATACATAACCTATGTACAATGCCATGGAATATCGTTATAAAAATAAGTCTTTTAAATAAGTCTTTGATTAAAAGTTTTAAGATATTTAAAGAGAACTAAAAAACATTTGCAGTTTATTTTATCAGGATATAATGAAAATTTCAGCAACTTAACTTTTTTATTCACTTTTAACATCTGTATTGTTCATTTTGGTATTCATGAATGGAGTTTGAAATCTAAAAGTAATATTGTTGACTTATTACTAGTATTCAGTTTTGGTTGAATTTTCTGTACTTGTTACAAAATCTTTATTATTTCTGGATATAATGTTTGGACCAAAATTGTACGAGTTATAGAACTTGTCTATGTTTAATGTTGTATATCAATATTGAAATTTGATTTTTTTTGTGCATATTTTATGAGAATATGTGCAAAAATTTATAGATTTATAATATAATATTTTTCACATATGACATGCCCTCTGAATAAATATAAAAGTTTATTTTGTTTTGTTATATTGCTTTGTGGAACTAAGTGTAATTTATTCGCTTAGCTGTCAATCAGTTATCCAAGTAAAGTTGCACATAACATGTTTTTGGTTGGTTTCCAAGGTTTTACAGTTAATAATGACTTTCTTCTTGTGTCAACATCGTCAATTCCTTCCAAAGGAATAGGGTGGGTGATATTTACTTCAAATCGGCTGTAAATTATTTGTGTTTTACTAAGTAAGTTAAAAAGGTTATTTGTGTGTTCAAGAGGACACAAAAGCTTATCAAACTAAACCTGTATGCAGGCTATTCCTCTGCCACAGGTTTAGGCAGAATTCAAAATAAGTTTGAAAAAGAAAATAATTATATTTTTAAAGAAGTAAAATACGTGTTTTCAAAACAACAAATGAGCAAAAGCAGTGCAATATGAAATTAACAAGTTTTTTTCTCATACATTTCCGTGCATGATGACTATCAAGATCATTCCAAAGTTCATACTGGTTGACAGTACTTGTCAAAAGATCCTCCGGTAGATGGTAAAGCAATAATGTATTGCTTTACCTGATCAGAATATCAATATACCATATTACCCTGAAATTCCCAACACATGAGAGATGTACAATGCTTGCTCCATCCAGATGGACATTCTATAACCGTATTAAAATTTAAAGTCTTGATATCCCTTGATATGTTCTTGCAATACCTGTAATAGAACTAGCTCTGCTGCATTCGGTCTTACAGAAGCATAGAATATTATTTTATCTGATCTGTGGTAATGCCTTACAAAAAAAACTTTGTAAAGTTGTCCAAAGAGTTCAAATCTGTTTGCTGTTTCTCTAATGCGATGTTAAACTTTGATAGGTAACAAAATATGTAGTAAGGACTCGTATTAAAAACATAAAATACTATAAACTGGAAATCAATTAAAATATTTTTTTCTATTGCACGTTTGCATTTTTAAGATAAAACAAATTACCACATAATATTTCTTTAATACACTGTGGCTATTTTAAGGGGTTATATTGTATCGCTGGATCCGAAAGTGTAAAATTGAGTCATCCCACGAAAACAAAAAAAAACATGCCTACAAGGATGGTAGGTGCTTACCAAATTGTTTTCACTTTGGATTCTTAGCTATTTTACCAATCGTTGATGATATTCTGGAAAAGTTTCAGAATATGTTCTGGGATATGCAAAATGTAACACTTATATAGTTTAGCTGTTACCTGAAGGTCCGACTATTTTACAAATTGGCAGAAAGGGATTGAATTGATAAAAATATATCAATATTGAAAAATATTTACACTGATGTACATAGAAAATTTGCGGGACATTTTGAACAATGCACGAACAAAGGCATTCGATATTCATCTCTGATGATAACTTTGATGATAACTTTGATGATAACTTTGACGATAATTTTGATGATAACTTTGATAATATTTTTCAAATTGAAGTTGACAAAAACTGGTAACTTTGAGATACATTGAATTAAGAAAGTTTCTATGCGTTTAAATGTCTTTGGCATATCCCTTATTTTATAGTATGTACAGTATAGTATGCATTTTTTTGAATCGGATATTGTATGATGGCAATGCCGGTACATGTATTAGAAAAAGGCTGCCAGTCGGGTTGATTATCTCAGTGTACATGTAGTTTCAGAACTGTTTCCATTTCTTTGTTGCACATCAACGGGGTTAGGGGAATTACAAGTATTGGCTTCTATGTTTTCAGATGTACGCGATTTTGTCAAAGAAGTCACTAAGCCGTTTCACTCTAAAATAGCCACCAGACAATGGCACTTTACTAGTACCATTTATCTAATTTATACTTTAATGAGTTATCTCGCTTTTTACTTGCATAAGACCAATGCAGCATTGTGGTGACAAATCAAATCACTGATATGATATGAATTCTTTTACATATGACGCTACAGATTGGTCAACAACTAAAAAAATAGTGTTCAGAAACGGCCGTCCGCTATGAACGTTGGTCAAATAAATGTAACGCCATGTTATATATGTATACATGGAATACTCTTATTCCCACAAATACTGATAGTTGAGAAATTACTGTCTAGCTTTTATATACTCTAATTTATAAAATATTTATGAAATTATATTTATTAGTCCTTAAAGGTTTCAAGTAGACTTGTGAATTCTCATAGTTAAACATGATTGGACATTGCTTTTATTCTGTGTGTTATTACCTCATCCGATGTAGATTTGAAAGCTTTGTACTCGTCTTAAAGAATTCAATTTTGTACTCAACAAATTACAATAACCTCATAATGTTTTATAGATTATTAGACCATTCTCGATCAAATATGAATGAATTTTAAAAAATTAATGACTTTTTTTCAAAGTCAAAGTTTTCAAAAATAATTCATTTTGCTGGTTGCAACGACTACATTTTCACCAATCTAAAATTATTAAAAATTAATTTATTGTTTATCACTAATATTAATTCAGGGGGGAAAAATAAAAAAAATAATAAACTTAATATATAATCTACAAGTTTTATTTTTCACTTTTATTTTAAAAATATCGTTTTAATACTGCATTTTAGTTTTTTAAAAATGTCAGCTTCATTATTTTTTTATTTGTGTTAATTTAGTCTTTTAAAATTTTTTTCCCTAAATTTTGTCTTAAAAATAATGTAATTCCCACTTTATTGGCAAAACTTACGACACTTTTTCAATGAGAATTCAAGTATACAATTAACTTTGAACAAGTAAAATTTACTTAATGTTGTTTTTAAAAGCTTAAAAACAAATACATGGGTTTTGTTAATTACACTTTTGCCGGGGGAAAAAATAAAGAATACACGATCTTAAATGATATCGAAAAATGATTTTTACACCATTTACGTTTATATTCAGTTTATATCATTCCCTTGCCCTTTAAGTTGAAACAACTGTAAAACATCCTCATAAAAGTAGGGGTGCTTCTGGTTGCCCTTTTCCCCCCAAAAACAAAAGGGCCATCATCAAACCCCCTCCCGGGATTTTCCCTTTTCCCTTTTTCCCCTTCTTGCTTTAATCAATCCTCCATAAAAAATCCCGCCCACTTATGTGAGTTATACCGCCCTGCAATTCTCAAGAACAGATCTAAAACAAACTTCACTTCATCTTGGCTCTCGAATTCTACTAAATGTGCTCCTTCCTCTAGGCAGGTATTAACAGCATTTTCCCACTTGAGACTTTCTGTTCTACAGGAGTAACAAGACAAATCGTGCTTGGTCCATCCAGATGGACATTCTTTGAGCGTATTTAGAATTTTCAAAACTGTCTGTAGATTTTCCCCCATACCTTCTAGTGTTTCCTTAATTGAGACCAATTCATCTGTATTCTTTGCAACAGTATTATTAAGTCTTTCTAATTCATCGTGATGCTTTTTATATGAGAACTTAGTAAAGTTGTCCAAAGAGTTAAATTTTTTGTCAAGTTCTTCTACTTTTAAGGATGTTTTATTTAAATGAGCTTTTACATCAGCGTGGTCTTGATTTATTGTTTTTATGCTGATGTTGAACGTCCTTTCTAATTGTATGACATCTGTATTTAATGTGCGTATTACACTGCATATATTGCTGTCCCCGGATTTTTTGTATGATGCTTTTTCTTTTTGTTTATCCTTTCTCCTTAATTCTTCACCAAATCCTTGGTGCATTTCACAGAAATTGTTGTCATTAGATGTTCTTTTAAGCTGATCAAGATTCTTCCATATCTTCGCAATGTTACTTTTTAAACCAAGAATCTCACTAGATATCGCGTTCCAAAATTTTATTTTTGAAATGCTTGCATTATTTTGCAAAGATCTTGATTTCGTCCTTTCAGCTTTTATTGAAAACAAGCAAAGTGCTACAGTTACAAACTTCAAATAGAATTTCCCGCTCACAGTCCTCATATTGATACTGATATTGTAACACAGAAAGGATTTAAAAAAACGTCCGTTCAGCTATAGCTCATACGACGGTTTGCGTGTCTATATGTTTTTTCTGCATATTATAAACACTTAGTTATCAAGTCTAGACGCAAGACTTTATGTCAAGTATTTTTTCCGTCTCCTTTTAAATTATCTAAAAAAAACAAACAGAACTATGTGTCAGCATTGCTTGAAAATGTTTATATCAAATTTATTTCATATATTTACAATCTACTTGCATCTTTTTAATACAAAAGGGAAGAAAATGTTACTGGCATATTTTATTCTTTTCAACCCTTAACACCGTGGATGAACAAGTTTTGTCACGTGACCACAAATGCAAACGTCGATTTGTGATTTTGGCATACACGGACCCGATTTCAGGTAATCATTTGCAGATATCTTTTTTTCCACTGCGAACACAAAAATAAGACATAGACCGTAGGGCCCGGCGTAAATTAAGCTTTTATTTTATGTGAGTAGTCATTACTAGACTTAAGTAGTTTTTTAGAACACTTCGACACAAATTTTCTTTTTGCAAGGCAAACGCCGATAGCTTTTATCTTTTCTAATCTTTTTTGTTCACTGAAAACCCATGTAGAGGGAAAATAATAGAAGATATATCTTTTTACAAGAAATTCTCGTCCCTAACTTATTAATAATTCCATTGGCATGGTTATATTCGATATAAACACATGTTTTTTCATTTAGTGTCGATTTTGCAAACGTCGTTTGATCATGAGAAATATGCAAACGTCGGTTGGTCATTTGAAATATATACAAGCGCCCGTTGATGTCTTTTTGAACGCTGGACTATATTGTGTTTGCTTAATAAAATTTAGTTTGTTTTTAATTTCAGATGGCGAAGAGGAAGTCAAAACTTGCGTTGCATCGCCCAAAACGCAAACATAAATCTTATCAAGTTGGACATTTTCACACCGGCGAAGATTTTTCCCCCAAGCCATCATCACTGAAAAACCCCGAAAATTTTTCCCCAAGAAAATAAAGGGGTTTGCCAAACAAAACCTTTTACCTTTTAAAAAAGAAAAACCCCCTGGACGAAAATTTCACGCCAAAGCCAACCCAAATTCAAAAAAGAACGAAACGAAAACTTTACCCACTGCACCCATCTTTTGGGGTCTCCACTTTTTTTGCCAAAAAACCCTTCACCCAGGGTTTAAATTTTAAAATGAAAAAACCCAAAATTTTTCTAAATTGGGGCCCTTGTAACAAATTTGAACTGTTTTTTAACCCCAAATGCAAATTTCCCGGGAGTTTACTATGGGCATGTATATTTTTAAGAATAAAAGGGCTGCAATTCTGTGGTTTTTTCTGATTTTTGAATTAAATCTTTACGATATTGTAGGGATTTTCCTGTTTTAAGTTTTTTTTTAATGTATTATAATTTTAATTTTGCACGGCACCAGAGTTTTATAAATAGTTGCATCAAAATATCATTTTATGTTAATTTTTTACGACAGCTACACTTTATCCTTGCTTACACACCTCCTCTATTGTTTGTGACAGGTCTATATTTTTCGGATAGACCTGTTTAAACAAAAGAAAGTCCGTTATGATGTCTATCTTTTGCACGTGCACAGGTCTGTTTCTAGTCAGACAGACCCGGTCATGAAATACACGTGAAAAAATAGACCTGCCTATGCGCAGACAAAGAAAACATGAAATGCAATCAAATATTAAAACTCTTTTAACTAAGAAATTATTCCAGCATCCCTATATTCAATCTTTGAATAAAAAATGGGTAGCATATCAAAGTTAGGACACATTTAACATTTATTTAATCGCGTCATTTTTTAAAGTAATAGTTATTCTGTAATTAAGTTCATAATATAACAAAATGGACGCTTCAAGTTCATATCTATGAAACTATATAGCAGAAATCACAGCATACTCATTACGATTTTAAAATGTTTATAAAGTTATGATTGATTTAGTTTAAAACATTTTATGATGAACGATCATATTTTATTCCAGAACACTTTATAATCTGCTACATAAGATATAGTTTCGGTTCATGTATCTTACACTTGCCAACAATATACATATGTAAGTCTTTTCGTGGTCTGCTAGGTATCCACACATTGCCTTTCGGACAGTTGCCCCCTCGAAAGTGTGCCCCCTTTTTGCAGTGGCGGTCATTTGCCCCCTCTTATCTTTGGAAGGGGCGGACATTTGCCCCCCCCCCTCCCTGTTCAAAAATATATTTTATTGTTGAATTGTTTGCTACAATAATTCATCGCCTATTGTGGAAATTTCATGGTGCTTAAATACACAAAAACTCGCGCAATTTTTTTTAAAGTCAAAATAGCATCCATAAACAAATAATACTAAAAAATCTATGCACGAGATGACAAGTGACAAATCACAAGGGAAAAAAGGGGGCAAACATCCGGAGGGCAACTGTCCCGGGGCAAATGTCCTAGAATCTGCATTGTCTGATACGAAATACTATCAACATTCATTCTTTAACACACCTTCTATTACAGTCTGTTCACTTTATTATTGTATATATTTCAAAAGATCAAACGACGTTTGCAAAATCGACACTAAGTGAAAAAACATGTGTTTTATATCGAATATACCATGCCAATGGAATTATTAATTAGTTAGGGACGAGAATTTCTTGTAAAAAGATATATCTTCTATTATTTTCCCTCTACATGGGTTTTCAGTGAACAAAAAAAGATTAGAAAAGATAAAAGCTATCGGCGTTTGCCATGCAAAAAGAAAATTTGTGTCGAAGTGTTTTAGTCTAGTAGTGACTACTCACATAAAATAAAAGCTTAATTTACGCCGGGTCCTACGGTCTATGTCTTATTTTTGTGTTCGCAGTGGAAAAAAAGATATTCTGCAAATGATTACCTGAAATCGGGTCCGTGTAATGCCAAAATCACAAATCGACGTTTGCATTTGTGGTCACGTGACAAAACTTGTTCATCCACGGTGCTTAAATTTACAGATGAACATAATTTATAGATAAATTGGAGATTTTGATTTTTTGCTTTGTTTGCGGGATAAATTCTGAGCAGATTAAGCTAAGCTTCTGTAGATGCATAGAAAACAAATGTTTCTCGATTGACCATGTAAGGTGATTGACTTATCAGGGAATAACCCTCATATTATAAATCAAGTGTTTAGCAGTATTCTTTTTTCAGAAATCTTATCTCATATATGTCTATCACTGCACACATTAAATGCATGTACATACCTTTTAAAAATGATACAATATGAGGCTTTAAGATAAAGTCTTATCAAAGTCCCTTGTGATTTGTACGAGGCGATAATGTTTGCTTATAAAAGTTAACAATATTGAAGTATTTGCACTTTTAGCCACATGGTATGGTGGCTAATTTGGTACACTGCGCGTTGAGTTGTCGATAGCGAAAACACAACCTATAACGTTATTGCCTTTTCGTCTTGTCGCTAGCGACAACACGATAAAGCACCATACGGCGCGTTGTCGCATTGTCAACTTGTCTCTAGCAACGCCAAACGGCTCGTTGTCGTGCGGCGCAATGTTGCCTGTCGCTTGGCTTATAAGCTAATCCTTCCATTTGAACCGAGCGACCGCCTCCGTGGTCGAAGGGTTAGAGTCGATGATTTCTAATCCAGTTACCTTTCTGGCGTGGGTTCGATCCCCGGGAGATGCTTTGGTAGTTTAGCGCGGAGGAAGGTAGTCTAGTACTGGTGTAACTCTCCAGGAACGATGGTTAGGAAACTGCCCGCCTATATGACTGAAATACTGTTGGGAAAAGGCGTAAAATAAAACAAACAAACAAACAAACTTGAACCGAGCGACAATGAGACATCGCGACAACACGCCGCACAAAACGCGCCGTTTGGTGTGCATCGTACATGTCAAACTCCTCACACTGATTACCTCCCTTGGCAGAATTGTAATCACTGCCTTCACAGACGTCACATGATGATGAAAGTCACATGACGTAACGTCGAAATTCAAATGTAAATATCGACCGTTACATAGAAAATCTAACGTCATTTTTCTCTTTCTGTTTTATTTTTAACTTTTTGTACTACGTCCGTTATATTTTAACAAAATATTATCAAAAGTACACAAAATAATGAAAAATAAATTAAAAAGCTAAAAAATATAAATATCCAAATTTGGATATTTCAATGTTTGTGATGGCAGAGATCTCTGTACTGATAAGGGGAGATCACTGCGTAGGAGATTGCGTACATGTTAGCGACCGGACGGCAAGACGAAAGTCCGACAACGCGCCGTTTGGCGCTTTGTCGCTAGCGCCAACTAGACGCACAAAACTTACCAAATCAGCCACTATTATCTATTGAACGAGTAGATTCAGCGAGCCTCTTGCGAGCCTCTCCACGCCCCTAGCACCGGCTTAAGCAGAATTCAACATTTAAACACGATAATGGTGTACTTTTGAATTTAGAAACATCCGCAGATGTGATCATATGGCGGTTATCATGGAACCTTCAATGTGACACAGTAGTGCCATTCCATGAAAAGGCGCATTTATTTGGGTAAATTGAAACAGTTTATGCAATAATACAATACTTTATTTTTGTTTATCTATTGCAATAATACTAAATTCATTCGTAATGATAATAAATTACGTTATCTGCTACTTACCAACTATACATGTATATAATAAACTTGAATTAACTGTGGGAAAACACGTTCCATACAAGAGTAATGTCATATAGATGTACATGCATCAGCTATTACCTTTTAAACTACACGTCACAATCAATAGTTTATATCATTAACTGTAGCTTGTAAACATTCTAACATAATTAACGAAAATATAATCGTCGACTGTATATTTGTCATCGGAATACTGGAAAAAACCCCGTCGCCGTTTTTTTGTTCATTTTTTTTTAGGCGAGAGGAAACGTGTATCCGTAGCATGCACTAAATATACATTTCTCAGACTATTCCTCGAAATATTGGACTTAACAGAATTATGTCCAGACGTGCTATCTCTGTTTTAAAAAAAAAAAACAAAAAAAAAACTTCGAAATATAAACTTTGACAAAATATACATGCAAGATGTAACTCGTAGAAGT